GCACTTTAGCAGCAAAAAAATCTTTGGGAATGAATTCCGTTGACTAGAATGTCTACACGATTATAATCTTACTACAGTAGATCTCAATTATCTAGCACTCTCACGCTGGACCTACATCAGATAATTCTACTGACGCAAGTATTGAAGGTGAAGGTAAATCCACGCTTATCGCGGATGGTGACATAATGTTGAGATTTAGCTCTGTGAAACTCGTGTCGATTATATGCTAATTAACTATTCGAATTAATTATTATAGCGTAACCATGTTTATACGAACAAATCAGAAACAATGCTTGATGATTCCGTTACGGACTCTCGTGCTTTGATTGAAAAGGGCAAATGTTTGAGCAGGCACCGAAATGTTAAGTGCTGTGGTCGCGTGTTGCTTTTTGGCACTTGTGGAAGACTGCACTGGTGAACTTGTGCTTGTGCACGCTGTAAGTGCAATTAGCTCGCATTTTCTGACGCACTTAATTTGTTCTCTTGCATAACACTACATTTTCTTGTCTCCCTTTTTACCTCCTTTTCTGCTTATGTTCGTGTTCTTTCGTCTCCTTTTTTCTTATTTGCTTAGCTCTTTATCTCCATTTCTCCATTCGCCTTTTGCTTGTTCCCTTGCCTCCTTTGTTTTCTTTTTTCTTGTTTACTCATTGCCTCGTGTCTTAGCTCTTTTTTCATTCTTTCCTCGTTTCCATGTCTTTCGCTTATCCTTTTTGTTTTTTAAGTCTTTTTCCTAAGCTGTTTCGTCTTGTTAATCTTGAATTTTACCACTCTACTTTCAACCCTTCCTACAGCAAGTTGAAGGTCTCCGCTTTGTTGCCCTTTCGCTCCTTTCTTTGCTACTTTTCTTTTTCGTCACTTCGTTCCTTAGCTTCGTTGCTTCCTCACACCGTTGTTCATATGATTGTTTCTTATTTGTATTTTTTTTGGTTTATTTTTTTTTCTTACCTCTGTGTCTCTTTGTTCTTCATTCTTCATTATTTTTATCTTTTCTTAAACTTTTCTCTTTCGGTCTTTTGTTTAACAGGTTCTACTCGTCACTTCATAACTTCACCATTTCTATCTTTTCTTCTTTCGTCACAGCCATTCTTGATCTCTACGTTGCGTCGTCAGTTTCTTTATCTGCTTTTATTTTTTTTACTTAAATCTTTTTTCTTGATGATTCATTTTCTAGATTTCGTTCACTTCCTCCCATCTTTCATTTCTCGCTCCGTTGCCTCTGGCTGATCTTCTAATTTTAGCAATTGTAGCAACAAACTTCCGCATCTTTACATTTACAGACACAGATCATATTCGTGCATCTTTCTTTCTCTTTTTAAACGCGATCAAACAAGGACTTGGACGATTGGCTTGGGAATTTTTCCACGATTCTTCTGTAGACCATCAAACTAAATAGAGTGATTTCATTTTCAGGTTTTTCGCCATGGTGAAAGAACGCCGACGGGATTCTACCCCTTCGACCCGCACAGAAATGTCACCTTTTACCCAATGGGACTGGGAAATCTCACGAACGTAAGCGGTTGGGTTGCACTTCCAGGTGCGCTGATTTCGATTGTTCCCAGAAAGGCAAGCTAATGATGTTCAAGCTCGGCGAGCTCCTGAGGAGCATGTACGGCGAGCTGCTCGGCGACGTCTACCAGGAGAGCAAGGTGTACGCGCGCAGCCGATTCGTCACGCGAACGAAGGAGAGCGCGCTGTTGGTTTTGGCGGGAATGTGGCCGCCCGGTGACGTACAACGGTGGCATCCGACCCTCAGTTGGATGCCGATTGCTGTCGAATTTAAGCGCGCAGAGGAGGAGGATGTAAGCTCCTTGTCTTGGAGCAGCTCTTCAACTGTATTACTTGTAGTTATTAGATCCTGTGTGTGAACAATTGCAGAGCGAGCTGATTTCGTATTACAAAAACGTGACCATTCAGGAGAAGTACATAAAGCCGTACCGGTCGGTTTTCAAATACATTCAGAAGCACTCTGGAAAGGTCATTAACGATTTTAGAGATGCCGCGTGGATTTATTTTATTTTAAAGATGGAGGTTAGTCTTTCTGATTAATGTGTCAAAATATCTCATGATTCATTTGAATTGATCTTCGTTTGAAGAAATTTTTCAATCTTGGTGTAACCAAAGAATACCTAATAATACTCTTTGGTATAACTGGAAAGATCGCGCCTGCGCCCCACGCATGCGTTTCAGGTTTTCTGTTCCATTCTTGCTTCTTTCTCTTTGTCTCTTCTTATTTCACTACCTTTCATCTTGCCATATTCTAAGAATCTTTGATTGTTCACTTCAGGGCGCTCCACTTTCACTAGCTGCCCGGATTGCACTCTAACATCTCCCATAATCAAGTTTCCGGGTTTTTAGGAAGACAACGGACTTAAATTACCAAAATGGACCAAGGAGATCTACCCGGAACCGTTGCAGAAAATCGTCGCCTTCCAATACGTGTACAAAAATTTGGAGAACAAGTACAAGATTATGAATTCCGGTCACCTCATAAAGAAAATTCTGGACGACACAATGGCGAAAGTGAAAAACATACTCGAACCGCCCGATCGAAGGGTGTTTCTGTACTCCGGTCACGAGACGACGATAGGTAACCTTTTGTATAATTTGAACGTGTTCAAATTGGAGGTGCCGACTTATGGCGACACGGTACTGATCGAAGTGCACAGGAGGAACGTAGATCACTTCGTCAAGGTGCCGCCTCATACCGCTTCGACAGACATGATTGGTTACTCGCCGATGTTTCAGGTGAGGTATTTGAGGACACCTCTCAACTCAACCGTGGAGGATTTAGAGGTGCCGGGTTGTGGAAAGATCTGCCCAGTCCAGCGGTTTTACCAGATACAGGTCCAAAGAGGAGTTTTGCCGGGTCCGTCGTTCAGAAGAGACTGTTATTGAAGACTGTAGGTAACTGGAGGGAGACATTTTGATCGTTTGACCAATCCAAAGACGTCCATGGTGTCTGGAATATATTTGTGTAATTTACATTAAATAATTTACATAAATAAAAAGCAGTCTTCGACGTACCCGTTCGAGCCTTTTTCACGTTTCCTCTTCACTCACTCCTTCTTCGTGTTTTTTATCTTTTCCATTTCACCATCGCACCTATGTACTCTTCTTTACGCCATTTTCACCTCTCCTTGAATTTCTCTCGGCTTCTTTTAAAGTACCCTGAAGCTTTCCTAAACGCATTAAATCTTGCTCTTTTCAGCTCTTAAAACTGTTAAATCCTTACGGAACTCCAATCGTTTTGTATTTGGGATTCGGCGAGTTCTTAAGTAAAAATCGGGTGGGAGAGCGGCATTCTTACTCAAACTTTCAAAGAGAATCGTCTTATAACGCGTAATGAATTTTTGGCGAGACCTTCGAGCCAAACGTCCGTAACGTGAGCGCCGAATTTTGTACATCACGTTAAACGAAAATCTCCGCCAAACTTTCAAGGCCAATCTCGCGCTGTACGCCCCTTTTTGAGATCGTATAAAATTTTATTGTTAATTAAAAGTTCGAACTCAAAGCCGTATAATCGCAGTACATAAAAGAATCGAAGATTGTGCCACCGCCTGCGGCGAATTTATTGTAACGAGTACTTTATTCATTCAGTGGGGGTTGCACTTCTGAACAAGACAAATAACGAGGCGGTTTTTTGGGAACAATAAAACTTCGTCGTGTAGGGGGATTTATTTTCTATTGAAAATACAGTGCGAATAAGTTACATTCTTAATAAGTACGTGTACGATTGAATTCAAGTGATCGCATTGTAATAATAATAATAATAATAATTTTTTTTAGGACCCTACATAACTTCACCAAACACAGACACAGACACTAATAGTTACTTGATTTTAATCCGTGCGATTAGTTAACCAGGCTAGACCTGAGTTGTCACAAGATACACCGACCATAATAATAACTACAGAAAAGAAAAAAAAAAGAAAAATAATAATAATAATAATGTTTATTGACCGACAGATATAAATAAATCCAATAATTACAGGTCAATCTACTAGCAAAGCTAAAAGTAAGGCGCATTATATATAAAAAAAAAGAAATAAAAGATTATATTAAAATTATAAGTAACTTAAGAAATTAAAAATCAAGTAGTTTATTCTTGCCTAAGAGTTAATAATATACTATCTAAAGATGAGAAATGGATGTCGTACATGTTTGATATTTTATTGAAATTTGCACACATGAAATGAAATAAACTGTTACCACGAAAGCGTTGGGGTCCAAGGTGCAAATCATTTCGTTGCGCTACTTACGTGAAGAAAAAACTGTATTAATCAAAGATGTGCACCTAATTTGTTTATACGAAGTGCTAATAACATTATATGTAAACCGGTAAACACTGCTAACAACTGGTAAAAGGTTTAAAGACAATTAATTTGTGCTTTTGTTTGTCAAAAGGTGTAAGGGTAATTGCGAACACTTCCTTGTTCTGAAATTTTCCGAAACTTTTTGAATCTGTTGATTGGCCTAAAACTATAGAGCCCTGAAATTTTCTGAAAAATATTATGATTACTAATGTCAAAAATCTTGACAATCCGATGCCCTGAACACTCTGAACCTTCCAAAGCTCTTGGAATCCTCTCGAAACTCCAACACTGAAGCGTCTGGAAGCCTGCGAACTTTATAAAAACGTACTCCTGGAAGCGATTTAAAGCTCTAAATTTGATAAAATTCCCGAAACTACACAGAATTCCTTTTCGGAGGATTTCTGAAATTTGAAACTCTGTGAACCTTCGCGATGTTTTTTGAAATTTCTTGAACCACGTGAAACGCTCTTTTGAAATCGTGTCAATGGCCCATATGAATAAAAGGAAGCAAATGCTTATACTTGCAAAATTCAAAGTAAATACTCGTAATTGCTCCTTCACACTGGGCGATTTAGCAGCGCTGCTGAGCAGCAGGACAGGACGCAGTGCAGCGCTGCTAAACCATGCTAAACAGACCAGTATGAAGGGGCAGTTACGAGTATTTACTTTGAAGTTTGTAAGTATAAGCATTTGCTTCTTTTTATTCATACGGCCCAATGTCTGAAAAAAGACGCCTATCCGTTACCCTACACCCAGATAATTCTTGAGCACCTTCTCAGAAATAAAATGTTTGTCTATAAATGTACATGGTACTCCGTATTCTGTTAGTAACACCTCACTAGTTTTTCACCTTTACAATTTTATTGAAAAGCGATAATTGCAAATTGCAGCAGTTTATTATAAAGTAAAGTACAGAGTGATTCAAAATGATGGATACACTGTACCGGTCAGCTGGGTCAAACTTTGGCATCACGTAGAGAACTAGTTTCGCCAAATTGTTTATTCCAATGATGCGGTTTCTCGTTGGAGATTTGATTAACTGCGCAGAAGTTGCAGACTAGTTTCTACTGTACTCACACATACAAGGAAAGTAAGCCATCTTGCTTACAACTAATTCTGTACATGTTCGGCTCAGCTGACGGCAATACTGCAGTGCTGGAGCCCTCTAGTGGTAGTATTTAAAAATATAACATATAGTTTAGGAAATACAGCCAACTGAAATTGTATCATTTTGAATTACCCTATAAAATTAAGGAATCATATGCACTATCGCACTAGTTCAATTTTACGAAGTGTCCGATAACTTTTCCAATTATTACCAATAAACAGAGCGTGATTAACAAGTAAGCAAGTAAGACGTCTATAAATAAATATTGCCACCAAGGAAGATCGCACAAGGGGCTCCTCAGGTGTGGGGCGCCGTTATGTCGTAACACGTACTCCGTCCACCACACGGCGAGATCCAAGCCTCCCAATGGGCTATTCCTAAGTAGCTTGGCGAAGCGTTGCAAATTATCACGATACCTGGAAGAGAGGACATCGTATTTGCGTCTAGTTTTTGGGCAACTTACAGCGGGTTGAGAACGACCTCGTCTATTCTTCGCTTCAGATCTTCGCCATGCAAGGTTTCCGGATCAATAGATATTCCGAAGCCCTTATCGACCACAACCGTACGACAACTCTCTTCATCACTGGAATCTAAGGGCATGCAAATGACTGGGACATGCCCACTTACAGCATCGTCTAGCGTTTGCAAGTCTCCCGAGGTGACCAACAGTTTAATCTTCGGATGCTCTGGAATCAGTTACAATTTCTAACCGCTTGCACGTCAGCGCCACTTACCAAGTATGGCGCGCCTAGGCAGATGCTTCCGTGTAAGCATGTTGGGTGGTTTCTTCTGCTGGTTGTCCAAGATAGAGTCCCAAACAAGTTTGTAAGGGATATCGGCGAGCGCCTCCAGGAGGCCGTGTGGAGGTACGGCTAAGTTGATGTAAATAAACCCCTCAGTTGCCTCGTCTAGGAAAGGCAGGACATCCTGAAATTGCTCGGTTAATTAACGTCGCTCTTCCAAGGCGAGTTACCTTCGGAATTGCATTGTCATTGGTAAGTTGCCCTACTTGGATTACGTTGGGGACTAGGGGCCGGTTTTGCAACAGCATCTGATTGGAGAAGACCAGTAGTGCACTGGGGTCGCGTGACGGCGGATGATTAGAGCCAAATAACTTCTGCAATTCTCGATGGCGAAAGGCCACCAGCCATTCACTTAAGTAATTATTTACCACGTTCGCGATTCGGTCACGGAACCGACGAGGATAGGGATACGTCGGATTTCCTATGTCATAGAGTGCCGGAATCGGCACTTCCTTCGCCAATAACCCGATGCTCGGGCAATTAAATCTTTGCGAAAAGAGGAGCAGTTCGGGCATGGTGTAGTCGACCATCAGTAGATCAAAGCGTTCCGTTTGGTCGGCAATTAAGGCGCGCACTTTGGGGTGGTCCAGTTTTTCAAAAGTTGTCGAAAGCGCTGACCCAAGATTGATCTCATTTACTTTTTTCAATGACCAATTGGCTTGACTATCGGTTGTTAGGAGTGTAATGTGGTGTCCTTTCGATACCAGCTCCTTCCATAACGGTTGGAATGCAGCTTGGTTTTCATGGGACGGTGTCACTGCCAGTATTCGCTCACTGGAGCACGATACAACCAAAGAAAATACGAACCATATTTCTTTCATTATTTCCCTTGTAGGACAATCTGAAAAGATCACTACACAAAAAATATAACGTTTTAGTGTACCTATCTACAGTAGTTTGAATACTGATATGGTCTGACTGACGCCAAGTGAGATAACGATATTTGCTTAAATCTGGTTGTGGTCGTGTGTGCCAAATAAAGACAAAGTAAGTTTATAAATGAGGTCGCACTATTTAGGTAGATTGGTAATTTCGGTGTATCTACTTTTACATGGACAATTTGTCATGCATAAAGAGGTAGCACTACGAACGCTGAGTAAAAGTAGAGCGGGGTGGGAGTTAGGTGAATTACAATTGGGGTGGAGGGGGGGGGGACACGTTGCAACCGACTCCACTCAAAAAATACATAGAAAAAGAAAGAAAGACAATACCTTACCAGTATTTAAAAACATATAAGAGCATTTAACGGGCGATCAAAAATGAGTTGCTGTCGAGTCGCCTTTGGAAGTTCAAGTTAAATACGATTTTCCATGTAAACAAAAGTTCCAAGGTGACTCGACAGCAACTCATTTTTGATCGCACAGTAGGAGTCTTTGAGTTTAGGAGTATTTGTGAGTCATTGTAATCTTCCTCTCCGTTAGTTTGCAATGGTCACTACAACCCTTTAGTGTCCATTATAGCCTCTAACAAGTGTTTTTTATGCCTTAATGGCCTGTTTACTTAACTCTGTGCTTTATGAGTCTTTAATAGGTTAGCGTCGAAGAGTTTTTATGAACGGTATCTACTACACGAGGCGAATCCAATCAGCCCATTCATATAGATCGATAACATTAAGAAATATTTTTAAATTAATACGGTTAAATAAATATTTTCTTAAAGGGCACCAATCATTATTTTTATACAAATGAAAAAAAAATTACAGTACCATATTATAGTATTCTCTGGAAACGATTTTAAGGCATTCAGAAACTTGCTCAACGAAATGCCTTCTTTGCTTAGGTTCGGTTGGACCGTGCCTTTGCGAAATACTCGCGTACAAAAAATAAAACGGTAAATTTTCCGAGTTACATGACGGAATCTCGACCTGAGCCCTTTAACGGTCTCAAACCGAATGCTCTAATTCTGTACTTTCTGAACTAAACCCTACCATTATTTTTTAGCCTCAAAATGACGATAATTAGTTAACGCGGCCATCTTTAACCATAAACGAGACGGATTCGTTCAGCCCCACCAATCAAAAACGCTCGAATCCCACGGCTGTTTAGTGTTGCAAGTTTGATGCTTGCAATGGACTCGTATGGGCTATTCTGAGCACGTAAACCCCTTTAAAATTGTATTATCGCCCGCTAACGTCAGACAGACTGTCACCAGTAACTTCCCTAAGCCAACACTAGTCACGATGCACACGGAAACCAGAGCCCCTTAAAATTACAAATCGCCAATTCTATTAAGAATCTACTTAAAACCATAAAAAATGTTTGCAGAATCTAATCGCCTGTATACCTTCCAATGCCGGAGAGTTCCCGTTACAAAAACAAGAGGAAAATTGTCAAGGGCCATTAATTTTACAAAGCCTCGTAGCATGGGGGTCTGCCTGGCAATTGTAGCAATCATCCGGCGACTATATTATTCCAGTCATTAATATTTTTTCGACAATAATCTCATTACCGTATGGTTGTGATCGTCTTCACAATTAGATGTAACATTTTGATTTTCTCATGTATAATTTGTCTGAGGGTCACTGTAGTTTATAATTATGTCGTATTTAATTCATGGCAAATTATTATCTTTTCGTTTCCTTTTTCCTTAAAATCACTTTGTTGTATTGTGACTATTAACTGGATTTTGTGTAATTCTCGAGTTATGTTGGATCGAGTTTCTCTCATTTTGGAGGATATAAAGTTGGATTTGTTGAATACGTAACTAGCCGCCATTTGCATAGCCACCTGTCACTGTATGCGGTTTTTGTAGAATATTCGGTTTACTTGGACTTTAAACCTAGTTTTAAACCTTTGCCGTATTATTGTCATTGATTTTTAAATAACCCCCTTATTAATTGGAGGTGGGTTAAATTTGGTGTTCGAAGGGAACAAATGTAATTCGTTTCAGGGTTCTAGCATTAGTTTTGGATTAATTACATGTTTACCGAACCACATGTCATGACAATGATATCATCGCTACCCTTCGAAGTTATTCATCAAGACGACATGTACTTTCATAGATAATTGGAGTTGGAGGGGAAAGAAGTGAGTCGCCATGAAATATTAGTCGCCGGTGGTAAGCAACGATAGCGAATGTGCCGTAAACTTTCCGAGAAATTTTACGTGTTTGTTCGAGAACATTCTGAAGCGTTCTTGACCACTTGAGAACATTCTAGAAAGAATGTTGTTTGCTGTATAAGCAATTTGAATTGTGTTTCGAGTTTAGTTCCAACATCGACGCGCTTGAGTTATGTTATAAATTGTAAGTGATAAATAATTATTACTGTTATAAATTAACTAATTTTAAGTTATATATATCGCTATAGGGTGTCATATCTTTTCATATCACTATTTTTCATTACATAATTAAAGTGAAATATATGTAAAATGAAATCTAGTAGTTGACCATGCAAAAGTATGCACGCCGCTGACCACACATTTAAAATACGAATATTGCCAACAAACTTTTTAAAATTGTTGATACCAGCGGCGGCAGTCGGCGGAATGGTACGGAAACCTCGAGTGCCACCAAGAGGTCACCCTGACAAAAAATGTGAAAATGGAACTCGGATTTTCTATTCGAGCGGCGTACTCGGGTGATACGCTCAAAAATTAAAACTTAGAAATTAAAACACTAATCGTTACTTAATTTTAATCCGTGCGATTAGTTAACCAGGCTAGACCTGAGTTCTGACAAGAATCACCGACCATAATAACAATAATAATATTTTTTTTTTTTAGGACCCTACATAACCTCACCATACACAGACACACACACTAATCGTTACTTGATTTTAATCCGTGCGATAACCAGGCTAGACCTGAGTTCTCACAAGAAACACCGACCTAATAATAATAATAATAATAATAATAAAGGTCTTTATTGTCTTTTCCTGTCGCGCAAGATGTAACAGATACATAAAATAGATTAAACAAACAAAACAGCAATTAAAGACAATCTTGAAGCGCAGTACAAAATATTTTTGTTCTTTCACTGAACCTCAGTTAAAAAAGTAGGCATAATATCATCAAAAAAATAGATATAAATTGATATTCCAGGCAAAAATTCGCACGTATATGGCCAAGTACAAGTAAAACAACCTTTACCTTGAATAAAGTTAGACCTTGACGCCATGAATTGAGCTCAGTTCACGCATCCAAACCTGAAATCAATTAAAGAGAAACACCTCCAAAGCCGCAGGGCTCGGTCAATACAATTAGTTGATTAATGCCTGAAGGGCCTCGCTCTACTCGTATTCTGCTTCTGTACCAGGTACGGTATTTAATAAGAGGAAAAGGGCTAATTGTAGATGAAGCAGCAATTGTCGATGGCAATTACAGCCGAAAGTAAAGAAGGTATACCCTAAATAGCGAAATGCAACATGGCGCCATGGCGGTACTTACGATAAAAAAGGAAGAACGCAAATGTATAACTTCACTAACTATTCGAAAGACGGCAATTAGAATTCCATGCATTCTATCTTACGCTTTCAGCTGTTTTTTTTAATCGATGTGTACTTCGGTACGTTTTACGAAGGAAAAACAAGATGAAAGTGGACACACAAAAATCAAGGTGCTGGCAATCTGCGCGACAAAATACTTGTCTCTACGGGAACAATTAAAAAGTTCACAATTATGTTCGGCAGCTGGTTTCCTTATCAGCGGTTAAAAGGGCTCTACAAATTGAAACATTAACGTTTTATTTTGTCACTGCAATAAAAGAAATACATGGGTCCGGAACGACAATGTCTCGTAGGGATTTCTTCGAAGTACCGGGTGTTCGGTAAAGCTGGTAGCTTATATCAATGTACGGTGCGTTCATTAATTCTGGTTTACGAAAACGGGTGCATCGTTACAGAGATGTTTGAGATAATTATTTGCAAAGTCCCAAAGTTCTGCAAGGATCTCCGCAGATCGCCATTGAGCTCTTCGCAGTCCATCGGCGTCTATAGCCTGTCAGATGATATTCAAAAGCGCCCAAAGATCTTCAAAAATTTTCAGGGAGATAATACTTCAGGATAAGTCACTCAGCAACGAGCAAAATGATTTAGAAGACTTGTACGTTTCCGAAGAATCTATAACATTTATGGGATTTCTTTGCAACTTGGAACTTTTTTGAATAGGTACTTTTATTCTTAGGATTTTTGGAACTCTTAAAATCTAGAAAAGCAATCGTTGAAATCATTAAATTCTTTGGATTCGCAAGATCATTTGGTGCTCCACGAATCTTCTGAATCTAATTTTTTTGGATCAAACCTTGGAATAGATTCCTGGGTTCCTTAATTCTATTATTCTATAACTGCTCTTGATTCCTTAAGTTCGTTCGACACTTTGGATACATGGCATCCTCTCCTTCTGACTCGCTGGGCTAACTGAAATATTTCATTTTTTGGAGTTCTTTGATTTTGTGGAATTTTTGATTTTTTAGTATCACGATTCTTTGGGTAAGATTGGAATCCTAGAAAGTTAAGATCTTGATGGTCTTACTGTTTGGCATTTTTTCTACGTTCTTCTCGAGATCCTGGAACTCCTTGGGCTTTATTGGACTATTCGGTTTTTTTAGAATGCTGTTGATTCGTTGTTTTTGTAGGGGAACTTTTTTTGGTTAATTTTTGTTTTAAATCTGCCAAGAAACGAGAGGTTTGGCACCATATAAAAATAGTGTCGGTACATATGCGCATAATTTGACCTTAATGCTATGTGTGTTTTACTAAGGTCCATAATTTCTGCTTGACTTCCGTGGTTAATTATATGGTAAACCGTATGCGTCATTCACAATGGCAGTGATCTAGATGGTAGGTGGCCTTTAATTATTCTAATTGGATAATCTTCGAAGTCATTAGCAAATATGATTTAATGCCATCAGCTGACTAATTGACGCACTTCCCACCACGTACGTAGGTTGAAAGCGAATCCTCAATTTCTTCCGGTGTAACGCTCGCGAAAGTTTCACTTATTCAAATTAATTCAATACTAATTGACATCGATTGGATTAATATCGCTCCAATTTCATCGAAATGCGCCTTTTTTTGCTTAATTGAGTAATATTCGTCTTCCTTATTGGATTAGATCATCCATCCTTCGGGCTATAGTCGTAATCACAGTGCTACTTCAAGGTGCGGGTTCTCTGCATTTGAGAATGCCCAGTCGAAGTGTCTCAGTGCTGTTATGTTTGGGGATGATAATATGCTGTTGTGCTCCCCTGACGATCTGTGAGGAGAGTGACAGTGAGATCATTCTGGTGCACGCGGTAAGTGGCAGCCGCATTGGAGAACCATTAATGTTGTTATACGATTAGATCTTTCGGCATGGAGAACGGACGCCTAGCAGGTCTTATCCCACCGATCCCTACAAGAACGAAACGTTCTACCCTATCGGACTCGGGGGTCTCACTAATGTAAGTCAGTTTGTTATCCACTACCATTCACTGACATTTTAGAATGGCAAGTTGATGATGTTTAAACTGGGCGAAATCTTGAGATACATGTATGGTGGATTGCTGGGTGACGTCTACAACGATGGAATAGTGTACGTGCGAAGCAGGTACGTCCCCAGAACACAAATGAGTGCCCTCTTGGTGCTGGCTGGCATGTGGCCACCGAATGTGGACCAAAAATGGCACCCGTCTCTGAACTGGCAACCGATTCCTGTCCAATACGAACGTGCTGAACACGAGCAGGTGGGAGCCTCTAATTGACACATCTAACTGTCAATTAGCACGAATTGGTCCCGGGTAATTAGCGTTGATTGGGTCAATTAGTACTGATTGACATTTATTTGTGTCATTTAGGAAATAAAAGTTTGCAGAACTTCAATAGACATAATTTTAGTTGTTGGATCCGGTTTGTAAGAATCTTCAAGGAGAGCTGAATGCATACTATGAAAAACCAGAAATAGAGGAAAAGTACATTAGGCCATATCGCGAGTTCTTCAACTTTATAGAGAATCATACGGGATTAAAAATTAACGACTTTAGAGACATAAGTCGATTCTACTTCACATTGAAGACAGAGGTAAGGTTTCAGGTTTTGATTTTTTTGCTCTCTTTCTACTTTCTCACCGACCACTCTGTCTAGACTCTCGTCGAATGAAAACCATTCTAAAAAATCCCACGAGCCCAATGAAGTCCAAGAAATGCCAGGAACTTTTTAAAATTTCTTCTCGTACATTTACGGTATCTGCCACAATGAAAAATCCCGATATTGACTTAAAATTTCAATTTTGAAAGCTCAGCAGCCTCGATTAACTTCCGAAAATTCCAAAGGATTAACTACACAAATTTTAGTTAGCACCTAACACAATTCTTGGACACGGGAAGAAAAATTTGACACGAAAACTCTATCCGGGTTCCATGATGGGTTCGAATAAACACTGAATTAATTTATTGACAATAACAAAAATTTAATCTAAAACACGTGATATGAAGAATAAAACAACATTTATGAAATAAAGAAAGCTTGTTTCCTTCTTTATATCCAAATGTTCTGGTCGGTTTTCCCTCTTAAATTAAAAAGTAAATCAAAATTACATCAATTGTGACCATGTGACGGTGACCGGAGGTATTATTTGAATGCCTGTTGGCATCCTGGAATTTTCTGGCTCTTTGCATTACTTTATAGGATCTCGAGTGTATTGAATTCTTCTTGATTATCACCTGTCTTAGCCATAGTCTTTTTCTAAACACGTCTAATTTTCAGGAGGATAATGGTCTTATCCTGCCAGAATGGACTAGGAGCATTTATCCGGAGCCGTTACATAAATTCGCCGCATTCCACTACGCCTACAAGAACTTGGAGAAGAAATACAGAGTGATCAATTCCGGATTTCTGGTGAAACAAATCTTGAAGGACTCTCTGGCCAAAGTCGACGGAACTCTGAAACCGGCCAACCGCAAGATCTTCTTATACTCCGCGCACGAGACTACGTTAGGGTACCTTTTGTTTAATTTGAGGGTATTTCCCATGGAGGTGCCCGATTACGGTAACGCAATACTCGTCGAGTTGCACAAACGGCACCGAGAGTATTTTCTGAAGGTGGGTATTTTGGACATGCTTTTACTTTTTTCTAAAGTGTAGATATGCAGATAAGGTATTTGAGGACACCTCTAGCGCCGACTGTTGAGGAGTTGACGATTCCCGACTGCAAAACGCTGTGCCCGATTGAGCGATTCGAAGAGCTGCAACGTGCGAGTGATTTTTTGCCGGGTGATACTTTTCACGAAGACTGTTACTAACTATACATTGTGTTGTAGGAGAAAATATAACTATACTATAGCTGAAAGACTTCATCTACTCTATGATCCCCTCTTAATTACCAACGCCGACAATTGCGAATTAACTTAAAAGATGGCGATGTCTAAATTTTCTATTGGTCAGTGTCCTTTTTCTCACCAATCCCAAACGGCAGTTAATTTCGAAATCAAAGCAATCAGCATTTTCCACGATGAGTTTATCTTTATGATGAGCTAACTCGTTTAAGGTAAATTGAAGGCTAATTGAACACTCCTGCGTAAAACGGACACATATTCCGTTGACTTGTCATCCGGCTAAATTCTTTACAGCATCATGAACAATATTTGTCTGGGAAGACACATAAGAACCTCGTTGACGTCCGGCTCCTGTGTCAATGAAAAGTCTCAAATTATAATTTGATCATTCGATTAACTTCCGAAAACTCCAAAGAATCAACTACACACATCTTTATTAACACCTGACGCGGGCACAAATAGAAAAATCTAACATGAAAACTTTATCTGGCTCGCACAGTGGATTCAAATGAACACACAATTAATTGATGGGCAATGAAAAATGCCCGAAACATAAAAAATTAAATGACAACACAACACAAAGCTTGTTTGGGCATATTACTCCGTAGGCAGACGGGGGATAATTAGAATAAGAAGTTTTAAAATTAGTTACATCTTTTTTAAATAATCTTTTGCGATACTGGGTGCAATTAACTCACACGCAAACGCTGATATCTTTCGAACATCACTTGATAACACTGGACTTGTGACAAACAAAACTGACTTGATGAATAAAATGACAAATTTTCGGTAGCTGTTCGGACGGTAGAAACTTTTAACTTTTAATAAAAAGAGAACCTTAGCAATTGGAAATAGGCTACTCCAAAATTCTTAACGATTTTTTATTATGTGATTTTATTCTGTGCAATATGAAAAGTTCTTAAGAACTAAAAATTATCCATGGATTTCTTGAAGATTTCTAAAGTGGTTTTTAAGAAAGACTTTTGGTTAGCACTAACAGCCATTCGCACATTTCCTCAAAATTTCTAACCAAACTTTTAAGAAAGACTTGGAAAGAGGATTTTACTGAAATTCTCGAGGATTTTTCAAGTGAGTTTTTAAAAAAAACCGTGGAAAGCTATTTTTTCAAAAATTCTCTAAGACGTTTTAATTAAACTAAAGTCTATAAAACTTCCAAAGTATTTTTCATTAACTGATTTTCGAGACCTTGTAAAAAGGTTTTAAAAAAATTCTCTAGGACTGTTTAATTAAATGATTTTTTTTAAATATTCCAAGAAAATTCCCTGTAAACTAAGAACCATCAAGTAAGTTCCTTAAGATTCCTAAGCAGGTTTTCAAGAAAGACTTGAAAAGAGGTATCTATTAAATATTCTCGAACATTTTTCATTAAAGGACCATTCAACAGGTTTTCAAAAAAGACTCGAAAAGATATTTTTGCAAACATTCTTTACGCTTTTTCATTAAATGATTTCGATTTCGAATATTTACAAGAAAATTTCTTAAAAACTAAGAATCTCGAACAGATTTCTTGAAACTTCCTAACAGGATTTCAAGTAAAGCTTAAAGTGAGGTTTCTACTAACACTTTGGGAGGGTAAATAATATCGATGACTTATTTGTTCAATGAATTTCTTGAAATATTCGATGAAAATTCCTTAAAAACTAAGAACCATCCACAAATTTCCGGAAAATTCCTAAACAAAATCCAAAAATTCAAAATACTTGGAAAGTTTCTTAAAGATTTTTCATTAAATGATTTTTCCTCTGAAAGATATCCAAGAAAAGTCCTTAAAACTTATTTATACGATTTCTGAACGGCTTTTCAAGAAAGACCTTGAAAAGGACTTTTTACAAAAATTCTCTAGGTTTTTGTTATTAAATTAAAATCTATTAAAATTTTCCAAGGATTTTTCATTAAGTGATTTTTTAGCAGGTTCTCAAGAAAACCTTGGATAGGGGTTTTTCCAAAATTCCAGGTTTTTTCAGATTTTTTGAAGAGGTTTAAACAGGATTCTTACTTGGAAAGAGGCTTCCACAAAAGATTTCTTACTAAATGAATTTATCTGTGCAATATTCTGAAGAAACATCCTTAAGAACTAAAAATTATTAACTGATTTATTGAAGATTCCTGGTTTTCAAGGAAAACTTAGAAAGAGGTTTCTATTAAATTTCTCGAGGATTTTTTATTAAGAGATTTTATTTTTTAAGGCCTGGATGATGTTTTACCAAATATTGTCGAGGATTGTTTAATGAAATGATTTTTTTTAATATTCGAAGAAAATTCCTTAAAAACTAAGAACCATCCACAAGTTTCCGTTCAGTGATTTTTAGAGGTTTTCAATTAACGACCGCTGAAAGAAGTTTTTACAAAAAATCTCTAGGATTTTTTATTAAAATTAAATTCTATTAAGATCAACGGATTTTTCTCTAGGTGATTTTTAGCAGGTTTTCAAGAAAACCTTGGAGAGAATTTTCTATAAAAATTCCAGTTTTTTCATAAGATATTTTAAGAATCTACAGAGTCTACAGAGGTTTTCCAAAAATACTTGGAAAGAGGTTTCGACAAAAGGTTTTTCACTAGAATTTTTCCGAAGAAAAGAACTAAAAATCATCCAACGATTTCACGAAAATTTCTAAAATGGTTTTCAAGAAATACTTGGAAAAAACTAAAACAACTAAAATTCTGGTGGAGTTTCATTAAGTGATTTTTTCCAGGTTTTCAAGACCTTGGAAAGATGTGTTTACAAAAATTCTCTAGGATTTTTTAATTAAATTAAATTCCATTAAAATTCACAAGGAATGTTCATTAAGTGATTTTTTAACAGGTTTTCAAGAAAGACCTTGGAAAAGCTCTAAGATTTTTTTGGAATATTCGAAGAAAAGGACCATCAAGGTTTTCAGGAAAGGCATCGCTGTACACTTCAACCTGCAGGCGGCTAATTAGCTGTAATAATTATAGTTATTCAATATAGCCACAGATTCTGATCAAGGCTACTGGACTGAGGTAAATATGGGAATTACAGGAAGCTTTTTCCTCGACCTAATTTCTATTCTACACAATATACTTAAACGGAATAGAACATTGCCTCTCTGGTTCCCAAATAAGGTTGGCAACGATTTACCTGGCGGCGGCCTTTAAGGAAACTTTTCAAACTCTTAAAAGTCAGTTGAATCGGACGGCAAGCACGGAGATGATGATATTGGGTTCAAATCGGACCTATCAATCGAATGCACGAACATAAGATACCAGCGACGGATTAACGACGGTAAAATAAAACTAGCTACCAAACTAATAGGTCTGGGCAACAATCGTGAAATAAAAAGGAAAGCTTTCTGTGAATGAAAACAAACGAAAATGAATTACATGGAATTCTGGGTTTCTAATTTGGAATATAATAGTGTGGAATCTGGTGGGTGAGAGGAGCAGAAATTAATTTCTCGAACACTTTTATAGGGAGACACAAGCAGAAGCACAACACAGGTGAGGGATTGAGAAGGGATTTAATTTTAAAGAATGAGGACAACAGGCGACATCTAACGGAGGAATTTTACAACACATGCTACAGGATGTTTCTAAATAAAATTTCTACCTTCTGCAAAAATAAATAATATATTATCAAAAATAGTTATTATGTTATGTGAAGTATACTTTTGGTGTGAGCAAGCTGTATTTCACTTGCACATATGGCAATAAGCAGTATGAGGTAGCCTACGTACGAGATGGCGTACAAGAATTCCCACAGTTTATTACAGAAGATGGCCAGAAGCAGCAAGTTGATAATACTTTGGAAGTTAAGCAAACGCCAAACCCACGTGGTGCTCAAGAAGAAGAATGATTTGATCACTCCCTCTTGAAGGACCATTTGCTCCTGGGAGGGATGTCCACCTTCCAATATATCCTGATAGGCAGCCACGTAGCGGTTCCACATGGCCGATGCGATAAGTACTTGCACACTAAACAACAGTAACACCTTGAAGACCTCCTTCAAGGGCGAGTTGATTCGGAACGGCTTATCATCACTCTCCTTGGTATCGATCTGTTGCAGAGGAAGTTGCAGGTACCCGCGGCGTGGAGGATTGTTCTGCAAAAACAGGAAGCACCCCACCAGCAGGGCAATGCAACCGAGGCCGTCGCACAAACCGTCGATGTAATAACCGGCGGTGCCGACTTCAGACTTTTCGCCTTTGATGTGCTTCCGTGCGCGCGCGACGTGCCCATCCAGGTCGTCCAGCATGGTCCGAAATTGGAACAGAAGGACGCCCACCCTTCGGTACCCCAAACTGTCACTCGACACACACTTCGCGCTGACAATCGCGACGAAGATGTGGAAAAAGCTTATCATGTTAGGCGTAATCCACAACGTTTCGGTGATGTTGAAGGTCTTATCGAATACTACGGCTAACGGCCCGAAGATGTACAGATCGAAATGATCCACCAGCATCCCCTTACAGGTCACCTCGCAGAAAGGCGATAGATCACATCCGATCCAGGTCGTGTTAAACTTCGCCGCCTCCTCGTAGCTTCTCGGGTACTTCAGGATGCGGTTGTAAAAGAACCCGTCCATCACGATGCAGTAAACCAGCAAGAAGACCAGAACGCAAACCACGATCCTCTGGAAGGTTAGGGAGGGCCTCAGCATCTTGGACACCTAGAAAAATTGGACGATTAATTTACTTACACCGAGCACTTACACGTTGTACCTATTCTAGCGTTCGGCGATTTCATTCCGTAAAACACATTACCGCATTGATAGCGCATAATCTAATCAGTTCGTGAGTCAATGTGCGCAACGAGCGAGCCCAAAATCGGACGATTCTAAAAAGGAGGAGCATCGAAAGTTGTGTTTTCGTGTTTGTATAATCTCAAACATGAGAGAATAGGCGCGAAGGTCGTCAAATAATCGTTACGCTGTCCTTTGGACCACGTACTCACCTACAATTACCTATTATAGTGTCATTACTTTGTTTGCACACGTTACACACGACATTCAATCACTGTATACGTAATCGCAAGGGAAAACACACCACGGGGGCTGTCGATAATTAACAGGGTTATCAAAGATTCGAGCCTATTAATAAAGTTCGCCTTGGTTCTGGTTCAATTAAACCACAGTAATTATATTCGAACGTACACCGAACTTTTGAATACTTATACAATGGTAATACTACTAAGACTAAGCATACGTGGAACGTTCCGAAGTTAATCTTGGAGGCTTCATAGAGACCCCCCGTGCTCTTTGAAGATGAATTTTACAAAATCCAATGATCCAAAATTCTACCTCTATCACTGTTGGGATAGTGGTAGAATTATACAAGAATGTTAATAAGAAGGATTAAATTAATATTTTTATTTTCCTTCAAAACATTAAATAGACAATACTTTTTCTTTATTATTGTTACTATGCCAACTAAAATTATAATCAGGTATAATGATTAGTAACATTCTCCCCCAGAAAAGATTCTCCCCCAGAAAAGATAATCAAACATTATACAATTTTAGAATTAAAATTAAAACTAAAATTATGTAACTAAATAAACTTATTCCGCATATCTAGGTAATGGGAGGTCGAGTAACTCTACCTTTACTTGCTACAACTAAACCATCTATTTTTGATGGTTCATTGTTCGTATTACGATTAAACTCGGGTTTTGGGTCATTTTTAGGAACATCTATATTTAATTCTAGAGGATATAGTTTTTGAACAGCCCTAATTATAAAACCGTTTTGGCATTTTAACTTTGCTGTACGAATCACACCATCCGAGGGGTAAACCGCGATGGGAAATCAGTGTACACGTTTGAGGAAATCTATGGGAAATCATAGGAATTCCGGAGGAACTCCTAGGAAAGCTAAGAATTCCAAGGAATTCCATGTGTATTCAGGAGGAATTCCAAGGAAATCACAGGAACTCCGAGGAAATCAAGGGAACTCTAAAGAAATCAAAGGAGTTCGTGCTGCATTTTATTATTTAATTTGGTCTTACTAATTTTTTTATTTGTTTATGGTATTTTTCTCATTTAATAATGAGTTTTTCTCATTGCAAATAGGTCTATTAAAATATAAAATAGTGTTTCGTCTAAGGTCGTGTCTTTATCCGTCCGTCCGTCCGTCCGTCCGTCCGTCCGTCCGCTAACTTTGCGACGCTACTAGTTCTTTATCTTAAGAGCTATTGTTCTACTTTTTTCGCTATTTGGTTCGTTAAGGTGTCGAGTCTTGTACCAAGGAAGGAATTTTTTCTGTACCGCTTACAAAAAAAGTTATTGTAAAAAAAACAAAAAAACCGTTTTTTACATGTTCCATAATTTTACACTTTTGCCGTTTATTAACGATCCTAGAGATAATTTTGCATTGCTATCTGTCGCCTGCCGGTTGGTCTGTCCGTCTGTTCCTTTGCCTGTCTGTCCATCTATCTGTCCGTGTGAACGATAACTTTGTTTAGAAATGTTCGATCGCTTTTACATCTCCGTTAGTTATGAACTGAATTGCATGAAATTAAATATGGGCATAGATTTAGCCATATAATACGCAATGCCAAAAGTTGGATCGAATCGATTCAAAATTCACAGTGCCCTTTTCGCATCTCGACCATTTATAAGCCGAATTGCAAACTTTTTTACTTATAAAAGTATTTGAATGAAATTTGATACATAGGCACTTGGAATAAAGGAAAATCAAACCCCAATTTCAAAATTTGGTTTTGCGCATGCGCAGTGCCAACTTTTTTATTTATGGAAGAATTTAAACGAAATTTGATACATAGGCACTTCGAATAAAGGAAAATCAAACGCCAATTTCAAAATTTGGTTTTGCGCATGCGCAGTGCCAACTTTTTTATTTTTGGAAGAATTTAAACGAAATTTGATACATAAGCACTTCGAATAAAGGAAAATCAAACGCCAATTTCAAAATTTGGTTTTGCGCATGCGCCGTGCCAACTTTTTTATCTATGGAACTATTTAAGTGAAATTTGATACTTAGGCGCTTGGAACAAAAGAAAATCTAACATTAGTTTTAAAATTTAGGTTTGCGCATGCGCAGTTCCAACTTTCTTATTTAGAAAAGCATTGAAATGAAATTCTTCTCATAAACTAAAATTGAAGTAGCACGTCAACCATGGATTGCCCATGTGCAACGCTATCTTTCATATTTGTGGCCGGATTTTTACGATTTTAACAGAAGTTGCATCTTAAATGGGAAATGGATGCAAGTGGAAATGCGCTTTATGTAAATCGTTTACGATTACTTTTTAACTCGACACTTGACACTTTTATATTTTTTTTATGGTTTTACCTCGGGTTTTACTTACCAGGAAATTGCTAAATCAACGGAATAACAATGAAATAATTAAAAAACTTTAAAAAATCAGAGGAACTCACAGGAACTCCAAAAGAAAATCGAGGGAACTCCAAGGAAATCAGAGGTATTTCGTGGAAGTCGGAGGAACTCGGAGGAAATCAGGGAAACTCCGAAGAAATCAAATGAACTCTGAGGAACTCGAAGGAACTCGGAGGAAATCTAATATTTATAGGAAATCAGTGTACAAAATTTGGGTTGCGGTTTACCCCTCGACACCATCTTTACTTGTAAATACTTCCACTATACGTGCGATAGGCCAATTCTGGCGTTTCTTATTCGAATCTTCACATAATACTAATTCACCTACTTGTAAAGGTCGTGTAGTTTTGCGACTCTTCTTTAATAGTAAAGTTAAATATTCTTCGGTGAAACGCTTCTTAAATTCCTGACGTAATTCACACAAATAAACCGCTCTCCCGGCCAAATTTTGAAATTCGGGAAGTTCCTGATTTCGTAATTCATGCAAAAATAAATCCGGTGTAATTGGACATAAATCATAAGGATCTTCGCTGATGTAAGTTAAAGGACGAGAGTTTACAAGTACTTCTACTTCACATAAAATGGTAGACAACTCATCTGTTGTAACTCTTGCCTTTCCCAGGGTTTTTCTTAAATTGTCTTTGCAACAACGAACCATTCGCTCGAAGAATCCACCGTATCAACTTGCTGCTGGTGGGTTCCGAATCCATTTAATTTTCGGAATTTTCTCTAAGTGATCTTCAAAAGCATTCAGTATATTGATAGTTCATCTAGGTAATGAAAGTTTCAGTAGACATGTCATGAACAAGTTCAAGATGTATTAAAACAGCACATGTAAATAATGTAACCCACACTTTACCATTGTATTTTGTATATAATGTTTGGCCGTATATCTGCGACAAATAATACATCTTTTGATGACCTTTTTGACATTTTGTAAAACTTTCGGAATCCAACATTTTTGTCTTAACAACGTCACAATTGTGGAAATGCCAACATGTAGATTTTTATCATGCTCATCCCAAATCAATTGACGAATAAGAAATTATCTCCAGGTAATAACAAGACTCGATTGACGGTGTTAAGATTTGGATTGTTTAGAACTCTGGTTTCGACGTACAATAAATCGTTCTTTTCAATAATACCCAAGTTCTTAATATGATCCGTAGTGAGACTTGTTTTTTGTATGTACCTGTATAAAATTTCTTCGACATTCCTCAATTCTGCGATACTCAATGGGCCTTTAATTCTGTTGTTTATATTCTTCTTTCTGGCATTATACGTGAATCGAAAAAACATTGCGATCATTCTTTTGCTTCGTACAAATGCAGTAAAATATTTCGTGCAGGTTTCATAAGGTACTCGATTTTCTAATGCAATAATTAAAAATATTAGTGATAGTTTGTTGATTTCTTTCAGAGTCCACTTCTAGCACATGTTCAATGTTGGATTTTGGCCATTGATCAATGGAACAACGTAACCAATCTGGTCCTTTCCACCACTGTGATTGAATCAATTGTCCAACATTGCATCCTCGACTTGGTAAATCAGCTGGATTCATTTCACTAGGAAGGTGTTGCCAGTTTTCAAGATTTGTGAGTTCTGCAATTTTACGCACTCGATTAGATACAAAATTTTTCCATAGTGTAGGTTGTTTTAACCAACATAAAACCACCATTGAATCAGAATAAAAATATGCCGGAAGATGTGCTCAAATTAAATCTCTAACAATATCATGATATTCGACTTCCAATTAATGCTGCCAATAATTCCATTCGCGGAATTGTATATACGATCTGTAGGTGTAATTCTATTCTTCGCTTGAATTAATTGTACTTCAACTGCACCTTGATATTCAGAACGTAGAAAAATACATGCTGCATAAATTGATTTTGATGCATCTACAAATATATGTAATGATCGTTTAGCTTCTTTAGGTAATGACCCACCCAAAGCCCTTGGGATACGACACCATATTAATTTTGGTAATTGTCGATGCCACTCTTGAAATTCAACAGTTAACTCAGACGGTAAAGGTTCGTCCCACGAAAGTTTGATTTTCCAAGCCTTTTGTGAGATTAATTTTATTATTACAAGTGTTGGACAGAGAAATCCAATTGGATCAAACACGCTTTGGGTTTTTGCAAGCAGTGTACGTTTTGTGTAACAAATATTGGGTTCAACTTCAATGTTTAGATACATATAAAAGATCATTTTTGGTATCCCATTGTAACCCTAAAATGGACGTAGGTTCACGTTCATCGCCCGTAGTCGCCCACGAATTAGGTTGGAATTTTGCGAATTCCATTATTTGCTGAGCTTCAATTTGGAATTTCTTTGCATCTTTAATATCATACATATAGAAACCGCCAGATCATCAGTGTAAAAGCTCTTTTTTGACAACGTAACAGTTGATTCGTTACCTTTAATTTCATTCAAGTGATGTTGAATTGTAGCAGTTAAATGGAAAGATGAAGACGTTAACCCGAATGGCACCCTTTGAAAGCGATATCCTGTTATGTTTCCACTGGTATCATACCATAAGAATCGTAATGCATCACGATCTTTATGATGTATTCCAACCATTAAAAATGCTTTGCGAATATCTGCTGTTATACCAAGGATATCCTTTTCGAAAACGAGTTAATACAGATTTCTTGAATACAGGTCGATGTGGTAGATAATGAAGAATTCCTTCGATCTCAGAGGGAGCGTTTTCGATGATGCCTTCTTTTTTCCAATCTACAAATACTTCATTGTAAAGATCAAAATTTTGTTGTTGATGTAATTGTGTGGTGATTCTGTGAAGACGAACTGTTGCCGCCTTTTTATTGTCCCCTAAAGGAGGATGACCTTTTCTCCAAGGTAACAACACATTATATCGACCGTCTTCTCCACGTGTAATTGATAATTCAAAGTTACGTTTCACATCTAATTGCCAAACGTCTGTGACATTGAGACATAAATGTACTTTTCGGAGTGACCGCTTGGTGCTCGATACTCGAGCGTTTACTTAAAGTGCTCGGCGCTCGAGCGCCTTATTTTCTGCCCATGAGCGGTTTTTCCGCTCATGAGCATTTTTTTCCGCTCGCAAGCTCTTTTTCCGCTTGCGAGTGCTTTTTCCGCTCCCTATCGCTTTTTCCGCTCCTGAGCGTTTTTTTCGCTCGTGAGCGCTTTTAACCGCCCTCAAGCGCTGAAGGATTAAGCGCCGCTCGCAAGCGTTTTTTCCGCTCCCGAGCGTTTTTTTCCGCTCCCGAGCGCTTTTTCCGCTCGAGATAAACCGCTCTAGCACTTTTAGGAGTGTTCGGAACTCGCAAGCGGTTTCGATTTGAAAAACAACTCGATGCTCGCGAGCATTTTTGAGACAATTAGAGCGCTCGTCGCTCGTCGCTCGAGCGGTTTTTTAGAACGCTTAACCTAGCTCTGATTGTACAGCCTGGGAAAGAAAGATTTTGTTGCGTACGATTCATGGTTAAGTAGAAAAATGATTTTTAGCGCGATATTGAAAATAAGCAGCGCTTAAACAGTGTTCTCAAGATAAGGCTGTTTATCATGCGAAACCATAGGAAATACGACGATGGTCAAATTAAAGGAAAGATGCGAATTATTATCATGTTTAAAGAAAACCTGAAAATTCCGATTACTTCCGAAGATATGTCAGAAAAACCGAAAATTGCCGATTTAACTTTTTCTGATGGTATCTGAACAGAAAAAAATTCTAACACTTTAATTGCCATTTTTTGAGCTCTACAAGACAGCGTTAACAGATTTTCAATACAATTTCCGAGAAATCATCATCAACTTTCTTTTTTTTTCAAAAGTTGGAAGATATTGGTTCCAACACGATGGTGCATCCGGGCACATCGCCCTAATTGTGCAAGAATACCTATCGGACATATTTTCCATTTTCCCGAAAATTGCCCGATAGGTATTCTCGCACGATTAGTCATTGAACCATTCTGTTGAAACCAAAAATTTCCAACTTTTGTTTTTTGTGTGCCCCGTAGGTACGTCGTTGTATTCGTAATAACAAATTCTACTCAATCAGTGGCGTAACTTCATTTTAGAGGCCCGTCTTCAAAAATATTTGGGGGCTCTTTCCTTATATCAGCAATTTTTAAATGATGTTAATATAATAATATTTAAATAATAATGTAATATGTAGAAAATAGGTCTTGATTTAGATTTACTGATTTTGCATTTTGTAATTCATTGGTTCACAGCCTCACAGGTCCATTGTAAAGTTTAGCGTCCCTGCTTTTTGCGTTCAGTCGATTTTGTTTTACTTTAATTGTAAAGATTTTTGCAATATTTGTGCCAAAATAAAAGGTAATAATTCATTTTTTAATTGTAACTCTTCGTTTTATTGTGACTTGTATTGACCTCAGGTATTTGTAACTAGGAGTAGGTAACCCTTGAATTTGTTGTTATTTAATTGTTTCACATTCTTATTTTGATGTGTTTAATATCAGCCAGTTCCTTCGATGTTTAAACTCGTTTAGTTTGATTAACGGCTTCAATTATTTGTGTAGGAATCTGCCCTTTTTAATGTCTGTAATCCGTGCAGAGGTAGAGTGTTAAAATTACTTAGCGGCATTCATCTCGAAGAAATAAAACTTCAGTCTAAGGTTACCGTATTCAGGGGCTCCTCTGGATTTGAGAATGTACCGCTAATTAACAAAGTAATTCATTTATTTTATGTAAGAAACTTCGGAATGTTATTTTTCACAAATAGGAAAGGAGTGAAGTTGCTTTTAAATCTATTTGAGTTGGCTACTTTTCAGCGTATCAAATTTTGTATCAAATTAAAGAAAGATTTAGATTATTCAAATCCAAGGGTTACGGATTGTTAATTTTTGTATATTGCAGATATTGCTCCATATTTTTCACCTATATTTAGCCTCCGTGAACAATGATTCAGAATTTTTTTTGGACTGTAATTTGTAAACCGTAAAAAAAGCAGGTTCGTAAATAAAACTACTAGTATTATCCAACATTTGCATTAAAATGCATCTGAACAAACATTAAGGTAGTCTTCCCCTCCAGCAGAGCAGTACCTTAATTGGTGCCCCAAAATTTGTCTCTTATAACTCCTAAACAACGTATCCTAGTGAAAACCTTATTTAGAGACAAATTAAGCAGTACTGAGCTTAACTTGTTCAATTTTCTTATGGTTGTCTCTGACTTTGCAGCAGAATAGAGGATTATACATTGCAGTTCATTCGTGGCATGCAATATGCCAATTGGCCCCTTTATACATGCGCATAGTCGCGAGAAAGAGAGAGAGAGTTCATTAGAGAGACCCTCTTTCTCGCATTGCTTACGCATTGTCCGATAGCGGATGATAAAAAAGAAACAGATACATAAAAAAATCGAACTGTATAAAGTTCTGTCTCCACGGTATAAATGGTTAATCAAAACATACAAGACAACATCATACGTGAACATATAAAAATAATAGTGTCTATTATCACAATATTTGGCGGCATAACCAATAACCATGTACACATCCAAACCAAGCTCAAAACATGACTCTTCTTACTGTACTAACACAACAATGACGTCAATCACCAGGTATAAAATCTAGAGCAAAATCGAGATCGTAACATATAAAATATAAAAATTGAATCTAATATCGCAGAAATAAAACACAAAATTAAAACGAGTGCTACCTTGATAACACTTGGAAAAATATCCATTCTCTTCCCGATTGTGTTTCACGTCGCAACACCAAGAAAGTACCGCCATAATAATGCAGGAGTCCTATCCAGTCCGAGCACACTGTTACCGAGATTGCAAGGCGGCGCGAAACATTCGACGTTTTGATGGAATTTGAAAACGGCTTGAGTGCAATTTGCAAACAATTCTTACAATACAATACAATACAAATTACAATAACTTGACAGGAAGATTGAGGTGTTTTTGCCAAAGAATTGAAGGATGTATGAATTCGAGCTTGAGGGAACCTGAGAAGAGAAATTCAGAAAACTTTACAAACACGTAAGAAGGTGTAACAAAATTCTGTAACGTAGAAATCTTATTTGTAAAAACAACTGTTGTAAAATTCCTCCGTTAGATGTCGCCTGCTGTCGTCCCTATCAGTTGAAGTCCGTTTTTAGTTTCACACTTGTTTGTGCTTCTCCTTACCCCTATAAAAGCTTGCATTTGTACTTCACGAAACCGACTTACCGACCAGAACCCATAACTTGATCAAAAACCGTATTCCCGTGAATTTCAGACCCGATTGTTAATTCATTATTCCCCGTATATTCCAGACCAGAAACCAGAATTTGTTTTTCATTGACCAGATAACTTTCCGTTTCCGACTTCCGTTACTGGAGTGATCTTTGGGTTCGTGCATTAAGTTGACAGATCTGACTCGAACACAATTGCCACCGTCTATTTTGGATCCAGAAGAACCAGAAGAGTCTCTGTTATACAAGCCTGCGTCGGGATTCGGTACCTTAAATTAGCCCACGTGGAAAGCAACTTTCACCTTCCATACCTCCGGACTGTACCTTTCGCTTTCCCAATAAAATCGGCTAGGTCTAACACTTACATCCCTTAAAAGGAATCTTCCGAGCGATTCAAACAACAGCCAGTCGAATCTATCGGCATTCACGGAGGACTATATTAACTTAATGCACGAGTCCAAAAGTAGATACTTAGTAGTAGATCTATACTGCTTTAGGCGTCAACTTTTGACTACTACTGAAATGTTCAAATTCTACGAAATTAGCTACCCCAGTTTTAAGCATCAACATTTGGGAACAACTGATGTATACATTAGCAGCCCCGCACACTCAAAAAATAAAGGCACATAAATAAATAAAATAAAATACATATCCGAACATTTAAAATGTACCTTGTATATCCACTATCTCTAAAATAGGCACGCGTAACTGCTTTTTTTATCTTTATTTTAGTAATAATCAATAAACCTTACGACCCTGTCATAATCGTTTGTATGTGTATTTCAAATGACGAGTCTCATTCTGAATCCGATGTTCTCCATCATGTCAGTATTTATAATTTTGCTTTGGTGGATATTGCGTAGTGACGGTGCGCGAATTTTGGCAATCATTCCAACGCCGTCGTTCAGCCACAACACTGCGCTTCAGCCACTATGGAGGGAGCTATCCTTGCGAGGGCATAGCGTGACCTTACTGACTGCGGAACCAATCGGCGACCCCCAGCTCGTGAACCTAACCGAGGTGGACTTGAGTTTCTCCTACAAAACCATGTTGAAGAATCTCCAAGAGAAGATTTACACAAACCGCTTGGAAATGTACAAGTTTGGATACCTACGGCACGCGGAGGTTTGCGACGAGCAACTGGGCCATCCCGCGCTGCAGGCGATTATCAGGAACGAGAGTGAATGGTTCGACTTGCTGATAACCGAATCATCTCGTCTGCCTGTTCTCGCCTTTGCGCATCGTTTCCGTTGTCCATCCATAGGGGTAACCGTTCTCGATGTTTACCCCACGATGCACTCACTACTAGGTGATCCCACCCATCCCCTAGTTTATCCCGATATCTGGTTGGGTTTGGGAGACTGCACGTCAATAGTCGGTCGAATTAGGTGCGTTCTCTACGATTTAGGAACCTCCCTCCTGCAAACGAGGGTCTTGTTCCCTCTCTATGACCAGATGATAGAAAAGCACTTCGGAGAAGGTTATCCTCCAATTGGAGAGTTGGTTAAAGGGATTAGTATTCAGTTTGTGAACACGGATCCCGTCCTTCACAAAGTTCGCCCGCTTGTTCCGGGTGTTATCCAAGTCGGTGGTACTCTGCATCGCCTATCCCGCGATCCGTTGCGTCAAGTAAGTACCTCATTCTTACCGCAACTCAGTGGGAAGCTTTCAGGATCTGCGATCGGTATTGGACAAAGCAACCAACGGTTTCATATATTTTAGTCTGGGTTCGTACGCCAAAAGCAGCTCGTTACCACCTAAGGTGCTGGAAGTTATCCTCGAAACCTTCGCCGAGATTCGCTACACTGTACTGTGGAAGTTTGAAGATGTGCTCAATAAAACCGAGAACGTCATAACGTTAAAATGGGTGCCGCAGGTGGATGTCTTAGGTGAGTCCTCACCCCCACAGTCGTGGCCTTTCACTTTATTTGCAAGGTCATCCGAACATCAAGCTCTTCATCACTCACGGAGGCTTGCAATCCATCAACGAGGCCATTCACTTCGGAGTGCCAATGGTCGGTATGCCAATTTTCGCCGACCAGCAGCAGAACGTCCATCTAATTGTATCTAGAGGCTGCGGCTTATCGGCGAACTACAGAAACTTAGACAGGGCCGGTTTCGAAAAGACCATCAACGAGGTCATAGACAACTCAAGGTAAAACACGCGACGGCAAACGCAAATCGTTCCAAATTCGCAGTTCAGGTACGCCACCGCAATCAAAACGCTGAGAGACCGTGTTAGGGATCAGCCAATGACAGGGTTGGAGCGAGCTGTTTGGTGGACGGAGTATGTGTTGAGACATAAGGGCGCGGGTCATCTGAAAAGTGGGGCCGTAGATGTCGCTTTCTATCAATATTATCTACTGGATGTTTTAACTATAGTAATTGCACTGTTTACATTGATTATTTTTGGTTTTTATTTTGTACTGGCGTCTTTTTTCAGGATTATTCGTTTATCGTGTTATTTTTTGTGTAAAAACTAACAATGATATCAGTGATTGTTGTGACGCTCGATCCAAAACTTGGTTTTACATGTCGATGCAAAACTTGTATTTTTTATTTTATTTTGTGGTCACTTACTAAATGCTCTAAGAGCATAGTTTTAGGTTCGTACAGTCACGAGTCAGTAGTGATCTTTACGAAATTTCACACGATTGCACAAAATTACGCAATCCGTCGGGAAACGAAAATGTGATTGGAAATAAGTTACCTGCGCACATATGGCCGCAGGCGTGCATCTGAATTTCGTGGTCTTTTTTAGTCCTCTCTCCTAAGCTCGAGGTCGAAGAGCTCGGTTTAACACGTACGTTATTCACGATTAGTATCTCACAGCGTATTGTCTCGAGGCTTCTGCGTAATTGCTCACGGTTTTCTTCGAACGAGCCCATTGCTACCACTTTAACTTTTTGAATCTACGCCCATCGACCATTTTAATCTGTTCAGTAGTAATCATTTCTTTTAGCCAATGATATTCCAGAAACCTAAAATGCCAGATACGTAGATTGGCGGTAAACGAGAACTATAGGAACGACAAGAACGAATCCACAAAGAAGAACGACACAAACCACATGGACGACACAGAAAAAAAGAAGGGCGAGACTGTAAGGAAACGAATGACAAGAACAACAACAAAGATTTCATTCTCTTAAACACGTCTTGAAAACGCTTTGTGTTGTTTTGTTAATATCCGAGGGGAAAAGGATACTTAAGATAGAGAATGGTATTTTGGATTTGTTATTTTTTGTACTTTGTACTGCTATATCTTTATAGTGTTTTGCCAAGTAAATATTTATAAAAAATGAATGGGAGGTATTACTGAACTTTTTGCAGTATTGCCACTTCTCATGAATTCAAACAAGGGGTGCTGAACGAAAGTTGAACCTGCTTTGTTCATTGTGAAGTGTTTAAAAATGGACCTTTCCGTGGGATACCTTTCCATCTACGAATTTTTTGACTCCTGGTTGAAGTTTTTTCGGACGTTAACTTTTAAAATGTTTAACTACCACAGAAGTGTAATACGAACTGTTCTTTGAAGGTTCTAAACTTCCGGTGTATTCAGTTTAGAGTTCCTTTCCCTTTTTTATTTGCACACATAATTCCTTTACGCTTAATTTCACTTTTAATTACCTGCCTACGGAGATTTTTCATTCGGCTAGACTCTGAACGGAGAACTCTCTTTTGCTTCCAATTGTTTTTATCCTTTTTTAAATGTAAGTCTCGCGAGACGCTAATTCACGAAGAAAATAGTAATCTACGCTGTAGCAAACTCGGAAGGTGGTTGCCTTTTGGTAATCTAGACCGAATGCTTTCAAAAACTTTCCGGACTAACCCCTTCCTATTTTTTCATTAATTAATTGACGCCTTTATCAAGATGACTTTGAGTGATTGATTGAAACACTTCTTCCCAAGAGTCAATTATGTTGGTGGTGCCCAAACTCTGCTTAACTACATCTTTAAAATAGGTACGATAGACTTGTATCTGATGACTTTTCTGGTCAGCTGTTTTTGCAGTAAAACCCGACTGACTTAAGATTACCCCTTATTATAAGAGACTTTCTGAAGTCTAGAATTTCCTAAAGATATGAGGAGGACAGCACGCTATAAAAATTAAATGATCATGATCATTAATTCCACCAACAGGTTTACGGATTGTTTCTGTTCCCCCAGTCGTTCTACTTATTAGAAAATTCAACTCTCTATTTTGACACCCTGTACAGTATGTACTGCACAAATTGTTCGAACCTTAATTCGGAACAATAGATCCAAATTAAAAGCTACCGTTACATTCGCTACCTTTGGCTGTACACGCCAAATATTGACCTCGAGCTCTTAAACAGAGTACCTTGATCCTCCACAATCATATATTACTATCATACCCATGTTCATCTGTAAACTTTGAAACTTATCGGCCAATATTGAACATAATGGCTTGAAACATCGACCTTAAGCTTTGTCCTTTAATCACTAAGCCTTAATTCAAAAAGCTTAGCTATTGAACCTTGAATACCGAATACTAAACTTGGACCATTGGACGAAAGTCGAATTACAGAAGTTTCGAATAATAACTGAGAGGTTCAATGTTGAACTTTGGATTTTTGTGCTAGAACATTGAACTTTGAACTGTAAATGAACTTCAAACTTAAAAATTCTGCTCAATTTGCAATACTGTATTTTGATATACATTACATCGCCATCTTTAAAGTTTGAACCTAAAACATTCAGTAACTGGAACACTAGTTGAGTAACCAAATTTAATGTCAGTTTCTTTGTTTATCACTTCGTAATATAAACACAAGACAGATTTGCAACAAAATTCCAAAGAAAATATTCATAAAGTAATTAGTCTAATTTAGTTTGCGTGTGTTTGGCGCACCCATGAAATAAAAAGTGAAGAATTGTTCTTGTAATACAAACAAGAACAAACATTGGCGCGACCAAAAATAATACTAAAAGAGAAAATACGTCTAAAAGATAATACTGATAGAAGGGCACGTTGGCCGCTGGACTTCTAAGGTGTTTCGCACCTCTGTGCCTCAAAACATACTCGATCCACCACACTGCACGTTCTAATCCAGTCATCGGCTGATCTTTCGCCAGTTCGGCTAATTCCGCGATCCTATCGCGATACTTTGAGTTTCCGATCACCTTCAAAATCGCCCTCTTAAACTCAGTCTTCTCCAGGCGTTCCCATTTGAGCGACAACGCGCAGCCGCGGGAAACCATCCGCTGCACGTTGTGGTGCTGGTCGGCGAAGATGGGCAGCCCGACCAATGGTACGTTGGCGTGGATCGCCTCGTTTACGGATTGCAATCCTCCGTGGCTTATAAACAGCTTCACGTTCCGATGACCTGAAACGGGCGGTTAGGGTGGCGGAAAGGCTGCCGGGAGACTTACTCAAAACGGATATCTGCGGCAGCCATTTCGCTATGACGACGTTGCTGGTTCTGTTCGGCAGCTGATCCGACTCGAACTTCCAGATGACGGTGTAGGGGAGCTCGGCGAACGTTTCCAAGATGATGCGCAGAGTCTTCGGGGCCAAGTGCTTGCTTTGGGCGTACGATCCCAGGCTGAAATAAATCACCCCTTGGTCCGCGACGTCTAATACCTCCTGAAGATCCTGAAAAGCGCCGTTACTGCGAGTGGTCTCGATGAGATCGTACTCACGTTTGGCAACGCTTGTTGTTGTAGGCGATGGAGGCCGTCTCCAATTTGAACCGTCGCAGGTCCCAGAGGACGAACTGTGTGGAAGATTGGGTCGGTGTGAGTCAACTGTATACTGATGTCCTTGGCCAGATCTGCAACTGGTGGGTAATCGTTTCCGAAGTGCTCTCGGACGATCGCGTCGTTAAATGGTAGTAGGGTTCGTGTTTGAAACCACGAGAGCTTCACGTCGGATAAAAACCACCACAGACGATCGAGTAGAGTTTGTGAACCCTCCAGGTTTACCCACGTGTCCGGATACAAGAGCGGATGAGTGGGGTTGCCCAGAAGCGAGTGCAAGGTAGGCGTAGCATCGACTACCGTTATTCCCACGGATGGGCACCTGAACCGGTGGGCGAAAGCTAAAGCGGCGTATCGACTGGATTCCACTATGACCAAGTCAAAGGTCTCGTTTTTGTTTTTGATGAGAGCTCTAACCGGAGGGTATCGCAGTTGCGCATTGAGCACGTTCGCCAGTAAGAGCTGTCCATTGTTGAATATTTCATCCTTGTCGACTGTGCGCACAATTTTAGACAGATATTTATAGGAGAAGCTCAAGTCTATCTCTGTCAGGTTGGTCAGCTGAGGATCGTTGATTGGATTCGACGTTAGCACGGTGATCTGATGGCCTCGCAACGATAATTCCTTCCAAATCGGCTGCACTACGATGTTGTGGCTGTACGATGGTGTCGGAATGAATCCCAAAATGCGTGCGCTCTCGCAACTTAGCACACACGCGAGCAAAACTGCTACTATCATAATAGTCACAAATAAACAACTATAAGTAAATACTTTTATAGATACTATTCCGATTAGATATATAGCGTATCTTTGGCCGATATATGATACTTGAAGAACGACAATGAACTGACTGGCTACGAAATGGGCTGAAGATGATGACGCGACTAATCGAAAGTAAGATCGAGTACAAGGTTCATCGGCGACAGGAACCAATTTCACGTAGCGAAATGCCATTCTGACACCACACTTAAAAATTTCCATTAGACATGGCTTTGTTCTAGGCCAAATACCTACACATCGTCAATCCAGACTGGGAAAACGTGGAAAAAAAGGCCGGCCAGTCGACCAAACAATTTTATTCTTCCCCAATTTTCTTGGTTCACTTTTGAGCATCTGAGTTTTTCGAGTTATGTAGCCCCCCCCCCCTCCCAGGAAGCTGGCTTAGTGGATAGAGTGTTTCATGGACAGCACGGACAGGAACTCGAGGGGCGACTTGCAAACAACTGATTTGAGTGTTTTAAATCAAGGAGCAGCCTCTATCGCAAAGGATGCGTTATCGATCTGAAGTTGGACTCCTTTTCAATAGCTCACCTGATCACGAGTTGGAGGGTGTTTGATGAGCCGCCCCTTTCGGACCACAGGCACGTAGATATATGTCTACCGTGGGTGAGGCTTTCATATGTTTCCTGGAATAGTTATTTACATATGAGTATGGTAAATCAAGGTTTACGTTAACGAGTGAGATGTTTACTGCCGAAGCGTAGCTGAGGCAGGAATTTCGAAACGAGTAACGTCAACTGATTTAACATACAAATAATGTAAAACATTTTATTTCATACTGCTCTTTTTTCTATTAAAATGCCATACAATTTTTGATTAGAACGTGTACGCGTTCAATTGAAAGCAAAAGTCGATCACTTGATTTGTTTGATCTGACAGTAGTTTGACACATTAATACATAGGTTTAGATGGATGTCAGTTGATGTTGCTAGGCAACATTTCCAGTCTGGTAAAAATTTTCAGTCTGGTAAAATACGATTTACCAGACTCAAATCAGTCTGGGAAAGCGGTGATTACTAGATAGTATGAAATAAACATACTTTCCAGGCTCTGGAGACTACGTAACTTCGGACCCAGCACAGGAACAACCCGGGTCGGTGTAAGGTCGATCGACTGGAAAGTAGCTACCCGGGTGGTTACCGAGGGATTTATAGGATGGGCGTTCTACAGGGGTGATCCTGGCTCAGTTCGCTCGCTCGCCAGCTGGTGGTGACCTTGGAAAGTAGGTCAAGGTCACGTGGCGCTTTAGGTCAATGTGAAAGTTGCGTGCCACGTGTGCGGTGACCTTGGAAATTAGGTCGCGGTCAAAAAAAGGGCGAACTGTAGTTATCATATTGCGTTTTTTTCGGGGTGTCGAATTACAATTACAAAGTCAATGAATGAGCTCAATTGATGTGGTTCTAATCCCACTTAAGAGTGTAGGATCGGACGGGATATTCCCTGCTCTTCTGGAGGGCCTGGATCCGCTGCTCCTACATTTGTTGCACCTCCTTAGAGCTTGGGTATGTCCCCGAAAGACGAGTCGTTCCAAATATAACATGGCGATATGACTCATCGTATCTTTTAAAAACGGTGGAGCAGATGGTGGATGCACACATAAGGACTGGGATACTGATCTTTAGACTACTACATCCATTCCAACATGCCTATAGGGCTGGACGCCTCTTCACAGTCTCGGGTGCAGGGAGAAGGAGCACAAAACTTAGTTCCTAGGCATCAAAGTAATATGTTCTGCAGTTCCCGGATGAAATTGGTCCTTAATTTTGCTCTGCCAGCTCGACGCAGACAGGAAGACTACAAGATCTAGTTCCTGTAATTCCAATGTGCTTTGCCATTGTCCCGACGAAATTAGTGCTCAATTAAAAAGTTTGTCTATATCTGGGCATCATCTCGAAGTGATTAAGCACAAAACCTGGGGGGCCTGTATCCATCAAAGGAGACAAACGAGCTTTCTAGGACTCAAGATCTCATCGGTCTCACTTGCGGGCGGACGAGAAACTCTCGTAATAGCGCATTTTATTTTTCGAAAAATGCTCTAAACACTCATGGAACTTTTTGCAATATGGTTCTTTTTTCTGCTAAATTGGTTTTGTATTGTTATTGTTACGCTTGCATTGTTAGTGGCGTCAATGAATTGGTACATAATAGAGGCAATCTTCCGAAGACCTCAAGAACTGCTCCGACTTTGATGATTTTTTTATTTTGTTTGTTTTTTGTTATTATATTACAAATCAGAAGCCTTGTCTGATGCTAGAAAGGGATTGGAGTAGTACGTTGAACGCTAAGTTTAAAAGCTTCATGAATTCCTCCCGATAAATACATTGCTGTTTCCCTATGGTGCGTCTTACCTGGGACACCCTGTATGTACAAAAAAGAAGGAAATTTAATTTTCATAGTTGCTTTGTGATTCCAAGATTCATTAACAGCCAACGTGTATTTATGTGTTAAATCCAACATATCTGTATAAATAAGAAAGATGACAATGCGTAGTGCATTAAACGTCAAGATTTTTCTTGGTACAGGTGCCCAAGCTATCGGCTCCAGAATACAAAAAAACGAACTAAATATATTGAAAACTGTAGGAGTAGTTAGGGCCTCGGACGGACAGGCGGACAGATGGAGAAAGTGACTGCAATAGCGCGCATAACTTCATTGGAAAATGCCCAAAAATTTACCGGTTGCACTTTTGTTTTAAAAAAATTAATAAAATAGTATGATGAGAAATTCGATACCAAAAAACTTTTATTTGAAACATTGTTCGATAAAATGGATATTTACTTACTTTTTGAACATCCTGTATACAATAAAATTTGTTAAAAAACTATAAGGCGCAAAGATATCTTTTACAGCGTATTTTACCGCATACCTAAGAGTACAATTTAGTATAGAAGCATGATAGAAAAAAGTAACGTTTCGGAACGATAAGTTGCCGCCCTCCCTCACCCGCTTTTTGAAAATTCATCATGACTGATTCGTGGTGGTGCTGGCTTTAAAGTGGCGTAATTAAGCGTATAACCAAGTGTACCGGATGGCATAGATACCAACTACAAAATACGTAGTGGGGGAGGGGGGCTACGGAAAGTTGCCCTTCTCCTCAAATGTATTTTCGGATTTCTGAAGGCGATAATGGCGCAAGAGTTATTATCGGTGACGCATGTGAGAGCATAACGAGCACATTACTTTCTAATAAAATAACTAACAAGTCTCATGATTGTGTGTGGGGGGGGGGGGGCAAGTTAACAGACCCTTAGCTTGTAATGTTTCCCATTTTTTATTGTGCCAGGTCGAAACACCTTACACTATTTGTGCTGATTTTGAGAACCTTCTATGTCTTTTTGTATATGAGGGAGAGATCTAGATAGTCTGAATACAGGGTGTTTTCATTTGAAAACTTCCCACCACGGATTTATCGAAAACCACTGATCAAAGGAAAAAACGCCGAGAAACGTCAAAAGATTTGTCAAGGGGGACAATTTTTTAACCAAAAACTACTTCACTCCTTTTCATCCTTTGCCCGCCAGGGTCATTCTCTTACCAATTTTAAATGACATGTGGTATCGAGAAATAATGGGAAATTACTTACCAAAAAACTTTTATAGGAAATATGTTTCGATAGAATGGATATTTACAAATTTAGCTACGACATTCCATACTTTTCGGACACCCTGTATACAATAAAGGGCTTGTTAAAAACCGACAAGGCGCAAAGATATCTTTTACAGCGCATTTTAGCGCATATGCAATTTAATATATAAACATGATAGAAAAAAGTGACTTTCCAAAACGTTAAGACGCATAACCAAGTGTACCGAGTGGCATAGATACCAGCTACAAAATACGTAGTGGGGGAGGGGGGCTATGGAAAGTTGCCCTTCTCCCCAAATGTATTTTCGGATTTATGAAAGGTGATAATGGCGCAAGAATTATTATCGGTGGCGCATGTGAGGCCATAACGACCACATTACTTTCTAATAAAATGACTAACAAATCTCAAGGTTGGGGGGGGGGGGGAGGCAACTTAACGGACCTTTAGCTTCTAGTTTTTCTCATTTTTATGGTGTTTGGTCGAAGCACCTTAAAGTCTTTGTATGGATTTTGAGAACCTTCTGTGCTTTTTTGTATATGCGGGAGAGATCTAGAAAGCCTGTATACAGGGTGTTCATTTGAAAACTTCCCACCACGGATTTCATCGAAAACCACCGATTTCAGGAGAAACGTCGCGACACGTCAAAAGATTTGTCAAGGGGTACAACTTTTTAACCAAAAACTACTTCACCCCTTTTCATCCTCTGCCCCCCAGGGTTATTCTCTTACCAATTTTAAATGACAAGTGGTATCGAGAAATGATGGGAAATTAAATACCAAAAAACTTTTATTGGAAACATTGTTCGATATAATGGATATTTGGATATTTACAAAGATATCTACGATATTCCAAACTTTTCGGACATCCCGTATACAATAAAGCGCTTGTTAAAAAACGATAATGCTCAAAAAGAGATCTTTGCAGCGCATCTTAACGCATATACAATTTAGTGAGCAATTTAGTATAGAAACATGATAGGAAAAAGGAACTTTTCAAAACGTTAAGGTGCCCCCCCTTCTCTTTTTTGAAAATCCATGATGCCCGAATCATGATGGTGCTAGCTTTAAATGAAGTGGCACAATTGAGGGCATAACCAAGTGTACCGGGTGGCATACCAGCTACAAAATACGTAGTGGGGGAGGGGGGCTACGGAAAGTTTCCCTTCTCCCCAAATGTATTTTCGGAATTCTGAAAGGCGATAATGGCGCAAGAGTTATTATCGGTGGCGCATGTGAGGCTATAACGACCACATTCAATTCTCAAGGTTGTTGGTGGGAGGGGGGGGGGGGGTTAACGGACCTTTAGCTTCTATTTTGTTCCATTTTCATTGTGTCTAGCCAAAACACCTTAGACTCTTTGTGCGGATTTTGAGAACCTTCTGTGCCTTTTTGTATATGCGGGGGAGATCTAGAAAGCCTGTATACAGGGTGTTAATTTGAAAAATTCCCACCATGGATTTATCGAAAACCACTGATTAAAGAAAAAAAACACCGAGACACGTCATAAGATTTGTCAAGGGGGTCAACTTTTTAACCAAAAACTCGTCATTCTCTTACCAATTTTAAAAGGCATGTGGTATCGAGGAATAATGGGAAATTAAATACCAAAAAACTTTTATTTGAAAGATGTTTTGGATATTTACAAAGATAACTAGGATATTCCCTACTTTTCGGACATCCTGTATACAATAAAGAGCTTGTTAAAAAAACGATAAGGCGCAAAGATATCTTTTACAGCGCATTTTAGCGCATATACAATTTAGTATAGCGACATGATAATAAAAGTGATAATGGCGCAAGAATTATTATCGATGGCGCATGTGAGGCCATAACGACCACATTACTTTCTAATAAAATGACTAACAAACCTCAAGGTTTTGAGGGGGGGGGGGGGGGCAACTTAACGGACCTTTACCTTCTAGTTTTTTCAATTTTTTATTGTCTTTGTACGGATTTTGAGAACCTTCTGTGCTTTTTTGTATATGCGGGAGAGATCTAGAAAACCTGTATACAGGGTGTAAATATGAAAACCTCCCATCACGGATTTATCGAAAACCATTGATTAAAGGAAAAAACGCCGAGACACGCCAAAAGATTTGTCAAGGGGTACAACTTTTTAACCAAAAACTACTTCACCCCCTTTCATCCTCTGCCCCCCAGGGTCATTCCCTTAAGACTTTTAAATGGTAAGTGGTATCGTGTAATAGCTCGTTTGAAAGGTCTTTCAAAGGGGCGCTTATTGCTTGGGCGGATTTCCAGAATTGGCGAGATGATCGATTTTACTTCCGGTCTCACTGCTTGCTTTAATTGCTATCGCTGTTGAAGGACGTCGACGTTCCAGTATGCAGATAAGGCAGTACCTCTCAAACAATTGTTATTAAAGCAGTCCGTGGAAATCTCGTGAATAATGAATACGAATCTCATAACTGCACTCAGTTAAGTTTCCCCAAAGGTTTCACGAAGAACTGCTGTTCGCCAGAGGTATGGGCCTTTTTCTATTTTTATCTAAAATTTACGGCATTATCTCAAATTTGTCCCTGATAAAAATGAATGCGTTGTCTAGCCTATCTGCAAAGTATTTCCTATCTTTTATATACGGGGTTAACCTTGCTCTTGATAATTTAAACATTAAAATGCAAGAAAACAATATTCTAATGCAGCCGCTTCGAATTAATTATTATTATTATGGTTGGAAACAGGTTAAAAATGTGTGAGGATTGTGTTAAATAATGTCAGATAGATTCTTATGCAGCCTTTTATTATAGTACAAGAAGAATAAATTATGACCTGGGAAATATGTCAAGTGATCCTTTCTGCATGTTCTGTGGGAAATCTCTATTCATATTCAAACTCCCCGTTAATCCCTGCCCAGGAAATTAGTCAAAATCCAAGATCGCAGCTACATTCTGTATATTTCATTTATAAAAGTTTGTTGTTTCATTGAAATTTCGCAAAGATTGTTCCGGAAATCCGTTTTCGAGATTAACGGGAAAATATCCGATCACGATAAGAGATCGAGGAGGGGGACTATGGTTGGTAGAAATTAATTCCTTTCATTAGAGTACCATGAAGGATAGAACCAGTTTCACTCCCCCACCCCGCCCCCCAACCCCCTCTTTTGATAAAGCGTCAGAAAGTTGGTAGAAAACGGTTCCTTTCGTCGAAACCTTTAATTAGAATACCATGAAAAACAATAGTATATTAAGATACAAGTGTATAATCAAGTCTTTAAAGCATGCGCAACGAGTTTAAAGGCACGACGCAAAGCGGAGTGCCTTTAACGTTGCAAGTGCTTTAAAGACCAATTATACACATGTATCTTATAGTATTTTTTATTATACCTGCAGTATAATTTAAAAATAGGAAATACAATGAAGTCATATTGACGTTATACTCGAATACATGTCTAATTAAGTGGGCTGGGTGTTCGTAATTTCACGATTGCCATGGAAATGTCACTTGACGTTTGCTTATAAAAATCATCGTCTTTGTGAAATAAACGATTTCCGTTGAAAAAGATAATACACCGTCCATTAAATCGATTGTTGTAAAATCTAAACAAACGTTGGTAGGTGTAAAATCCAACTCCAGTAAAGCCTATTATAAATAATATGAAAAGTTGTTTGCACGGATGAATAGGAAGTTACGAATACAGTCTTAAATGCATCCATAATGCTGGCATATATGAAGGAAATGTCAAAGGTATTTAAATCTTCTATATTTTGGTGCATTCATTCAAAACTTAAAGCAATGCTGCGATTAAAAAGTGGAACAGATTTGGAAGCATACCTTAAATTACGCGCGTTTGTGAAAGCTTCAACCAAAGGATAGGTACAAAAGCCAAAGAAATGTTCTGCATTTACAGAAAGCGACCTAAGATGATTTTTTATTTCATCCAGATGACAGTTTCAAATGTCATACTTGAAGTATCGTTACTTAGCAACTTTAAAGCACGTGTGTTTTAAAGGCCCTTTTTCGCACGCATTTGAGTGTTTAAAACGGAGATTGTGAATCAGGTATAATAAAAAATTAATTTCTGATTTCACGTTTTACATTCAAAAACAGCTTCTTAGGAAATAATTCATGCCCCCTCTAAGACAGCGAAATTTGATGGCCCTCTGCCACACCTTCGCGGTATAAGGTACCTATTCTAAAAAATTCCAGGACTGTTAGTAGGTATGTGTAGAGTGTATGAGACATAAGGGACAAGACGCCGTTGGGTTTCGAATTTTTCAAAAACAAGTAAAGTTAGTATTTTTGAGATTTCTTTAGTTTCGAACTGCTTTGGCATTACATATCATAGAGACGTCAAAATGTCAAGGTTAGAGGGTTGAATTTTCCAATAAACTTTATGTTCGGTGGAATTGTCTGTCTGTTCTGCGTCCTTTAAATTCTGTACGGTATTGCTTTCATAATGGGTTTCGGAAACCGTGGCGACTTCAAATCGGAAATAACAGGGTAAATCTTAATTAGGGTTTTCGTAACCAAAAGTGCTGAAATAAAATCACTCCACCGTGAGATTAATTCGCCTACATGGTAATAGCACGATTAAGCGCAATTCCCGTGCACGCGTTTTACTAAGCACAGACTAAAGCTCACGTATTCCGGGGGGTACCGCCAACCAAAATGGTTCATTTTATTTACGGGACGCCATGCTGAAAAGGATGTTAATTATTTAATAAACAATAAGAGGAATGCATCTGTGTGGTTCAAGTTCACACATCACAGTTTTGATTTTTACGGGTTAAGGCGCGAAAAAACCCGTGGCTAATTTACGGGCAGAAAGAAAATCGTAGGGATTTGATGAGCCCATCCCGAGAGGCACCTGTTATGGTATGGTATATTCCATGCACGAGAGGTCCATTGGTTGAACGTTTTAGTGAAGAACGTAGCAGCGGGGTGGCATACCACTCAGCAAAGGAGCACTTGATGACCTTATCCCGAGAGTAACTGTTATGGTAGTTTTCCGGAAAAGGCAGCCCCCCCCCCCAGACCTCCCGGTGCTACCCTTTTGCTCCAAATTATTACGATAATTAGTGTGGTTGTATTTGATTTGTAGGGAGTGTCACCAAAGTCTTCTTTTTTGAGACATTCCATACACGAGAGTTGTAAGGATTAAACGTTTCAGTGAAGAACGTAGCACTGGGGACTCTGGGAGTATGTTATGCGTTAATTACGTGGCGGCTATCGGCAATGGTGTCACGGATGGTTTTAAGTCCCTCTGTTCGTTGTTTGGATAACAGTAGACGCTTATTCTGGTAGAGATTCGTTAACAGTTGGCTTCACATACCGGTAGGTGGTGTTGGAGCAGTGAATTCATTAAATTCCACATCGCGTATCATTTACAATTTGAAAACTGAAAAGAAAACACTTGGACTCTCCGCGCCTTTTTCTATTTATATCAAACAAAAGGGAACCAACGCAATTTGGAGACTGGCGTCCTCTTTAAACCAATAGTAGGATCTTTTGTTTGTAGATACACTGAAACTTTAAGCGTTTGTTCTTCAGGTTGTGCATTTACATCAGACATTTGAGCTTAGGTTATATTACCTTGGACGCTAAGCGTTCATTGCATTATTTATCTTATAACAGGTAATGCTGAAAGACATTTAGGTCATTGTCAGGTACCTACCTAAAGCCTCAAAATACATCAACTTTTTTGAAATTTTAGGTCGTCAAAATGGAATACAATAATATCATAGTCAGCATTCCCAACGAGAGGTTTTCCTGCACTCATGGATTGGGAGAGGTCATTTACAAAGAAATGCTAGCCGCACCTTCCGACGCGATTATCCAGGTACATAAACCTTTAAGTTAGCTGTCGCTTTTTTTTTAGCTCTTTTCTAGGTGGATGATACAACTGATGAAGTGACACCTAGAGAGATCTCCTGAGACGCTGCATCCGAACGGCCAGAACCGAAAGTCTTACATTTTCAATCAAGCAGCAGACCTTGACATTTTGTCTACTAAACCCTGAATAATAGAGGAGCTGAAAACCTTGAACCTTGGGGTTTCAAAGTGGAGCCTTAAACTTTGAACGAGGTTGGATTTTAATTCCTACATCTTACGCCTTGAAAATGGGGTGTACAAGTATGAATCTTTAATCTCAGACTTCGGCCAGGGTGCAACCCTCACACATTAAGCAATTCATTAAACCATTGGAGTTTAAACATATTATTTGGAATATCTCCAAACTGGAGTTTTAGTTTACAATTTCAGGAGTCAAGGCCAATTACTCGATGCTCAGGGTTCAGGATGAGAATTGAAAACTCAGCATTAAAGGCTTATGATTTAAGGTCCAGATCTAGTGCCTCAGTATTCAAAAAACAAATGCGCGCGCACTAAGATTGAAGAACAGAAACAAGCAGCTGATAGTTAATGGGTTTTTAAAACGCGCGAGGTTTCTGGCAGCGGGTGTTAACATGGGATTGGTCAATTGGGTCCAAAGTTATAAGTTGAACGAGCAAATGTGGCCATTACAAATAATTAGCGACATTTTGAAGGCGTGTTTATAAAAATTGTAATAGTAGAGATGAAGCAGAGAAACATTTTTGTGGATTCGGCGATTCGTGGTCATTTTAGACAAAAGACATTCGGTTCCCTAGGGAGTAATTCATACCCATCAGATCCCCAGGTGTTAGATTCTCCCCAAAAACAATTAAATCCTTCCAAACTCTCGTGGTCATTTTTGACAAAGGACCATAATCTCTTCCTTATCTGGGTTACCCCAGACACCTCGGCCCTACATTCTCCCCAAAAACAACGAAAACCCTCCGAACTCTCTGTAACAAAAGACCTTCACTATTTTAATGTTTCTGAACGCTTTGAAACTTCCACAAAAGAAAAACTTTCACCAAGCAAAATCAGACAACCTACTTTTGTTGATATTTTGGCAAATGCAAGCGTTTAAACATTTTATTTGTAGCGAGTCAAGCCCTCTTTGTTCCGTTTCCCGCGTAAAAACAGTAAACTAATCCTTTGTGGCACGTTTATTTAATTTGTCCTTCACCGAAATTGCCTGTCTTAATTTATGCGACGGACCGCATGTATGACGTTCATTTTTTATTTTTGTCTTACTTGCACAATTTGACTTGAATACCTCCGACACGTTTAATTAATTTGTTCTCTGGTTTTGTGCTCCCGAGTGAACTTTTTTGTGTCGTTTCTTAGTCTCTTTGTGGCTAAAACTCGAATTTCGTTACCGCTTGTTTGATCGCAAAATAGTTGCGAGCTTTAACGCGGCTCGAGCCGTAGACCCTTCAGAAAATCTCTCCAGATTAATCCCTACCTATCCCCACGCTTGTATGCCGGCTACGTTTTTTTGGGTTAGGGCGTATACCTTTCTCGTTATAACACGACTCAGGTACATAACTTCCTTGCAGCAGAACTGACATTTGGTTCGATTGGCACGAAGTTCCTGGAGAGCCTTGAGGACAATCTCTACGGCTTTGATGTGTTCTTCAAGCTTTGGCGACAGTGGGATTAGATCGTCCAAGCAAACTACTAGGTGAATATTGCGCAGAACAAGTGTCGCCTGTCCATGTCTCTGGAAGTTTGCAGGCGCGTTGCTTAACCCGAAAGGCATCCGTGGAAACCGGTACATTCCAGAGGGGATAACGAATGATGTCTTGTCTTGATTTTTTTCGTGGACTTTGATCTGCCGGTATCGTCCATATTTTCCCAGAGACGGTCGAACTCGATTTGTTGGTACCGCTTAGATGCTCAGGAGGAGGTCGGGAGGCTGGTTTTCTTAGCTGATGCCAAACCTGCCCAGATTACTTCGGCTTCCTCAATGATTGGAGTCTTTTTGGTGGTGGAATGTGTTCGTTCTCTCCAAGTGGAGTGTAGCATGAGAAGCCGGTACTCATCGGGCGTGCAGTGCACCTCCTCGTTTGTTTTTCGTAGCTGTATCTAGCAAGCGGGTTGTGGTGAGTGAGGTTCTTGGAGACATTTTCTTTTTATATAAAAGAAATCCTTTGCGCCAGCCGGTCATGTTGGTGACGATTCCGGCCTCTTCAATGGCATCTACCGGCAGCATATTCTCATCAACCAGGGTAACGTCCGTGTCTGTATTGGTGCACTGTGGTGGCTGTGTTTTTCCAATAGCCGTTCTAGTTCGTGACTTCTGATACTGACTCTGGCGCCGGGGTCCTGAAACACTGTACTATTATGCCCTAATATGAATAGGAGGACGGCTGGGCGAGAGCGGGCCATACATTCCACATTCAGAGCGCAGAAACTGACATCTTTGCGCCTCGGAGTTTTTAATTCCAGCTCCTTCTTCTTTCGACATAGTTTGATATCGTGGCCTCGAAAATTGCAGAAGAAACATCGTTACTTCTTCTTGCCGTTTCCGAATTTCCTCTTGGTTCCGTTTGAGTCTGTGTACCCCATGGTCAATGCGGCGGTTCGGGTATCATCGAGGAGTTGTTTCCCCATCAGAACTTTTATTCTGGTCAAAAAAGGGCAAGGGTAGTAACAGCGCAATGTAATTAGAACACGTTCTTCTTATCCAGCGACATTTACAATGCAAACGGCTCTAGTACAAACTTTCGTGACTTTTGTTTAATTTATAACGTAGATAAATACGTGGAGCAAGTGTGTGCATCTCATTCGTGTTCAGTATGGCGCAAGCACATCTCGTTATTGCCTTCATCGTGGCCTTCTCCATTTTAAAGGTAATTTCGATCTTGACCTTCCGATGTAACCTTTTTTTTTGTAATTTAGATCCAATCCCTCGTCGATCAGAAAATCGCCGAGCGCGATTAGGGCGTAGAGCCTTTCATGACCGAATGCATCTGTGCCTCAAACGCAAATCCGGATGAGTCGTACAGCTGGTTCAGGAACCGAACGTTTTTCAAATCTTCGTGTTTCAAGTGTTTACTTCGGTGCGTAACCACAAAGATGGGCCATTTCAAAACGGACGGTACCGTGGACATTGATGGTACTGTTGCACAGTACCGTGGCGTGCTAACCAAGGATCAGGTCACCAAGTGCGTCACACCCCAGCAGAATAATCTGGATCTCTGCGACAAGGCCTACCAAATTTTGCTGTGTAACGAGAAAACGATACGTGGCACCGTGGTGGTCTATTAATGGCTATGCACAAGGATTTGTACTGAGTTGGTGTGAGTCCATTTGATGAAAATAAATGTAAATAATAATGTAAATGGAATGCAACCGAACCCTTTTCCAGTCTTCATCACAATCTTCTTGGTCATATGCAACGCCTCCTTTCCTTTTAGCAAAACCGCCAATCTCTAATTGCTGCAAGTTTCCACCAGACCCCATTTGCAACTTGCTTTGCAACCAAGGCCTTTTGTTTCATTGTTTAACTGTTACGATGCACATTACTCCAAGGTTCTGTAGTTTCTTTACTTCAGCACCAGAACGTTCCTAAAGAAAAAAATCCCAATTTTTCATCAAAACTCTTTTCGTGGCACCAGTCCCTTTTAAAACCACTATCTGGTGCGTCGCCTAGTGTTGAGTTTATTTAACCTTATCGGCAGAACGTCAGTACCTGTTGCCAAACTCTTCAATTTTGAGACATAGGTCGCTGGTTTTATTAGCCATTTTTTTCTACTAAGATTGTTTTATCAATCACATCGGTGGTTTAGTATCACCAGGGCTTTTTGTACTCACCATTTGTCGCTTAGCCACCCAGTTTAGTTTTAAATTTTGCTAAAGAAAGAAGCTTTTTGGTTTTATAGTCGGGCCCAATTTGGTGGCCCAGATTCCTCTTCTTTACCACCTAAAACCACTTCGGTTTGATAACTTATGTATTGCCGGGAACGCTTTTACTGTATTGTCGCCACAAGGATGGGTTTGTTGACTCGATGGGTGTCAACTTCAAAACCTTGAATAATGTTGTTTTTGTCTTTTTTGTACATCAGATTGCATTTGGAGTATTTCTTTGACTGTAAGCTTCTTTTTTTCGCTTAATTTCTCTAGCTCACCATGAGGGGAAGCCACTGTTGAATTCTGGTGTTCAATCTCTTCGAATTCATTGAATTCTTACGGAATTTCTTTCCCAAGTTATGGTTTAGGATTAGTAGTAGGATAGTTTCTTACAAAGCTCCCTAGGTCATCGTCCGCTTTTCAGGTCTCGTTTTATTGTGCCAGCAAATAGCACGTAGAGGCCGCTTCTGTCGCTAGCTTCTCTACTTTACCACTATCCTGCTGCCATCTGTCGTCCGTCTCTCATTTTTTGAATTTTTTTTAACTTCTTTCGGTTTCACTATCTTCCCACAAATGTTTTTTTTCCTTCTGCGATTGCTTAGTTAGTCTATTTCACCACCACAATCCTTTAACCCTCCAAATCCGCTTTTGCGCCATTGTATGTCTCTTATTTCGCCTTTATTGGAGTCTCCCTCACTCAGTTAGTCTCTGTATATTACCAGCAGTGGAAAAATTCTTCCTCTGTGCCACCAAAAACCCTTTTAGTACCATGACGGTACGGTAAGCTCTTTGCTGTCTACAGGAGCCATTTTACTTATTTGTCGGTATCTTGGCTCAAACTTTTTTGACAATACTTTCAATAGTCTTATTTTGGCACCAGATCGGTAGTTTTTTAATTGAAGGATTTTAGGCTGGCATGTATCAAACCTTAAACGTTAATAGTTCAGGAATTCTGGTTCCACGAAGATTTCCATTACAGAATTTATTGTACGATTTCCCAAAAAGGATTCATACCCGTTGCTCTACGTTTACGTTATTCTGGATACGTATAACTAGCAAAACTTAAGTACCATAGCAACGATTGTCTTAATAATCGTTGCCACAGATTTTAAGTTCGACTTAACTTTCAGCAAGGCTTACTTTTGTTGGTGCAACTGGGGCTCAATGTCATTTTCCGTGGTACCATTGTGGGATTCATTTAGTACCACAAAGGGTATTGGACGGTTGGTGTCCAAATCGTTTTGAGTTTTGGGAATGGGTGCGAGCTTGGAAAGATGAAAGATTCCATGTTCAACGTTCCAACCCGAAGGTTTAATTCAAACCCAATGTATGAGATTTTGCAACGGTTAAGGTTTAGTTGAAGATTAAACCCCCAGGGTTAATAGTCTTATGCTTAACGGTGTTAACGAAACGTTTTAACCTCAACGTTGGAAGCTCAAGGTTTAAATCTTGAGAAACGTTTAATAGTTCATAGAGTTCAAGGTTTGAAATTACAGTTTAAGGTTTTCCCTGAATAATTCCAGTTTTATGAGGGAAGGTTTTGATGCATTGATTTAAAAGCTTAAATTCTCAGTTGCAACAGTAAAGGCTTACAATTCCCAGATGAAAGGTTAAATTTTATTACCTTTAAACAGAAAGGTTTGATTTCAGGTTTAAATTGGAGCATAGGTTCTATACCTAACGGTTCGAATCCGAAGATCTGGCACTTGATGCTCAAGGTTCACGCTGTTAGTAATGAGAAGGCTTAATAGGAAACCCTCAGGGATTAAGTTCAATGGTGGTGAGTGTTGTTCATTTCCTGTGCTGTTGAATCCCCTTACGAAAGTGGACGAAACGTTGACTATTATGCGGATTCCTACCCGTTGCGTTAGGTGTATGATATTCTTGATAAGTAAGGCTTGATTACAATTCGATTACAACTAAGACATAAACGAATTTGATATTGTAATAAAGTAGTGCGTATAACTAAATTTGATTGAGAATTTTCCCGTAACCGTTACAGGTATTTTATTAATAAACCGAACACCCTCCCCTTAACTGTACACTATCCAGAACCTTGGAATCAAAGTACCGTCTAATGTCATTTTCCTTAGTGCCGTTGTAGGATTCATTGAGTTCCACCAATGCTATTGGATGGTTGGTGTCCAAATCGTGCGGCAGGTCGGTAATGATGGCATCTTTAACAGCCGGATGGGTTTTGAGAATGGGCTCGAGCTTGGACGGAAATATGGACACCTTCTTGTAATAGAAGACCTCTTTGATACGGTCGGTGATGTAGAAACAGAAGTGCTCGTCGTAGTAGCCGAGATCGCCCCCCATTCGTCCCATTTGGACGCGTTCTTCAGCATACTCGGTTGGAACACCGATCCGAAGCGTATCTCGCCGACTCTTCTCTCCGGTCTTCGGATGGACAACCTTATACGAGAAACCCACGTTAGGTCTTCTGTACGATGTGCCAATTTAATGACGTTCAAAGTTCCGAAGTCCCATCCCAACGTCACACCGCCGAACTCGGTTTGGCCGTAGAGTGGCAAAACGACCGTTATCAGTAGAATGTTTCGCAGCTAGTCATACGCAGTACGAACACGTGGCACCACACACGAAAAGAAAAGCCAAACTGTAATTACACGGTTGTGGGCTGTTGAGGAATTGCTGCACCAGAGAGGGCGCTAACAACATGATGGAAATCTAAACCGTAAGACTTAGCTTAATTCGGTTTTCTGACGTCAGCATACCTGATATTTCATCTGGAGTGAAATCGGAAATGAAGACGTCGAAGTGTGCAAAGTCGACAATCGGCACGTCTGCTCCATGTTCCATTACTGCTTTGTTTAGTTTGCTGCCACCGGAAGAGTCAGTGAAGATGATGAGCGGTTGGATTTTCTTTAGGAACTCCACCGTGTCGGTCAACGACAGATTGAAATCAATGCACGACGGAAGCGCCCCGATGAAATAGCTGGCGATTAACGGAACGACGGTGTTGATGTCGTTATGGATGTGCACCAGTACAGGATCAGTAGCGTCGACTTTGGAAGCCTCAAACGCCCTGGCCGTTCGGATGCAGCATCTCAGGAGATCTGTATAGGTGTCGACTTCGCCAGTTGTATCATCCATCTAGAGAAGAGCTAACCTGAGCGTACCTGAATAATCGAGGCGGAAAGTGCGGCTAGCATTTATTTGTAAATGACTTCTTATAATCCTTGAGTGTGTGGGTTTTATAGCGAATGCTAAAGAAATATTCGTATACCACTGAATGTTAAAATTAGAAAGGTTTTTATTTCAAACGTTACAAAATTACTGTTGTTTATTTTTCTTTCCATCTCCTTTGTACCTCATCACTAGGTTACTTCTCGACCACTTCGATATTTCGTTACCGCCGCAAGTGTAAGGAAACCTCCCGTTGGGAACACTGACTATATTGTTATTTTGACGGTTCTGAAAAAAACCTTCAACGAAACTGTAGCCACACAGGCAGTAAGCGTGCTTAGCAGTAGTAAGTTTCCTGTGTACGGCAGTAGTGTTTTGCAGAAGAGTGGCATAGTCACCCTATCGCAACCAACACCATTCTCTCGCTCATTTCCCTCCATGGAGGCAGAGGAGGGCCCCTCCAAGCGCTCCCGACACTTCTGCCGATAGGAGGTCGTTAGCCGGGCTCTCTAAACTTGCCTTTGATGAGTTTTGAAGTATATGCAGTCCTCCTTGGATGCATTGGTGTTCAAGGCGTCCTTTCCTACCACATCCAGCATCAGTTACTCCGCTGCTATCAAAACAGTAATTTGCGAACGTGTAAAAATTCCTTTGGGTAAGTTCATAAGCCCACTGTCATCGTGGTACCTAAAGCCTCCGACGTCATAAACACAGCCGACGAGACAAGGACAGCACTCACCCTAAAAGTGCAGGCTTATGTTCTGACAAGGTGTTCAAGATGGGCAAGAACGCCATTAAACTTGAATCGGAGAAGAGCAACCTCTCGAAAATCCCAGTAGGTAGACTTCCTCGAGAAATCCGGCCTCACTTACAAGTCGCAAGACGCCAGACACAAGTGAAACTCCAAAATTCTCGAGTTGCGACCTCTGAGGTTTTGAGGTTCTCTTCTGGCAACGAAATCGACATATTTACTGGTGCAAGATCCATATAAGTGTGTCCGAGCAGGTAGTCGGTATTTAACGATCTCGTAGCCCAAAAACGAATGCCTGCCGGGATAATCCCTACCTTTTCTTACTTAATTGAAACTCCTACAAAATGGATTCTTGTGCATGAAAGACAATCATCTTTAATCGTTGATTCATTTCTTTCGTTTCTACACTACGAACCAAACGAAAGATAGGGTAATAAATCAATCTGACGCATAAATCAAATATGGCACGTTGCCTTTTCCACGCTGCCGAAATGACATCATGTTTACTCTGTGATTTGATCAGTTACCGTAGCAAGACTTCTTGAAGCTATTAAGAAAACAATGCGCTATAGAAATCAAAAGACGCGGAAAAGACGATTGTTAATTCCACTGATTCCCTACAGACTGTTTATTACAAGCTACATGGCAACTGACGCCTTTTTGGTGTCGTCAGCGGTCACTTAGATTCTCTACTTTACTACCACAGCCTTGAGTTCTACAAAAGAACTCCCGGGCCGTTTTTGCATGTTCGTTCGTCCCTAATTTTTTTTTTAAATTTTGTAGTAAAATCGCATTTGTAGCCTCCTTCGTTAAGTTGATCTCTTCAGGTTCTCACTACTACTTTTGATGCTCTTTGCGACTCTATTTCACCAACACAAGCAGCTGGTGAAACTCTGTTGGCGCCTTTCTTGCCGGATACCTTCTCTACTTTGCGTCAAAACCCTGTTAGTTCCACCTTAGACCGCTTGGTTCCGCTATCTTCGAACCAAGATTCCTTCAAAATGATCTTAGTTTATCCCTTTTACTAACAGGGTCGCTGTGCAAACTTGGCTGCCGATTGAAAACAGTAGACTGAAGACATTTTTGAACAAAGCAACTGGAAACCAAATGCTAGGTAAAGGGCACTGGAAATGGAAACTTTCGCAACCTCGCAGTTTAAATATGTGCACATGTGCTCAAATTAAAGTGTTTTTCATTTATTCTTGTGTAACTTCTTCTTATCAGCCTCGATTATGCTAAAACACGATACCTTTGCGTTTACCAAGCAAACAAAAATTTCTCTGATAGCGTAGTGTTATCTTGCTCGTATATATTTTTTTAAGACCACTTAGCAAGTTTATTTTGGGTAATTTCTGACTTTAAAAGTGCTGAGAATGAAACATTATGCGTCATGAACCTTCCAGTTGTAAAGTGGACACGGAAAAATTGAGTTTCGAAAATCTCACACTCTTGTTTTCTGTATTTCAAGTATCGAATTTTAAATCTTCATTTTGGAATGTCACGGTTCTTTTAACTATCAGATTTAAAGGATTTGATCATTGAATCCAATCCAATTATGAACACAACTTTTTGACTTTTTTCTTAATCCGTAAATGATCAAATCCTGCAATTTAAACAATCTTAACACTGTTTTGAATCTTGGGCCTTAACCATGGATCACAACTTTTGCATTCCAAATTATCAAAACTTAAAATCTCAATCTTAAGTTTGAGTCTGAATCCAGCTTTTATTTCGGAAATTTCTAATATAAAAATCTCCCAATATCCTAAACCTTCAAGCTTGGATCTGAAACCACGAATCTTGATCCTTAAATATAAACTCTTGGGTTTTGAATGGGTTCAAAGAATACTGAAGTCCTCAGAGTAAAGAAGAGCTCTGTCAGTTTACGACGGCCACGTGTCCCAGCAGAAAGGAAGGAGCTAACAGACTCAAGACGTCAAAAAAGCCATCGATGAATCGAGTAGTCCGTTCCTCCGATGGTACTGGTAAAGCAAAAAGACAGTTCTATCAAATTGACGTTCACCAAACGCGCGGACTGTGTTGATGGGACATTTATTTCCGGACAATTAGACTACATGCAAGTTTTTGAATTATAAGGTTACGTGCAAATGATTATGTATTCAATTCAATTAATCAGTGTTAAGTGAAAAGAAATTACCCTGAAGTACTCCTAATGGTAAATTGGAACTTAAGTAACTCTTGCGTGGATCCGAAGTGACTGGCCTAATGTAGCATCCAAGATGGCGGGCTAACTGCAAAACCACTGTCAAAAACCTTGAAAAGTAGGTCAAAGAGCAAGCTTTGGTTACCGTATCTCGTTTTTTGTGGTGTCAAATTACATTCCGAAAGTTAATGATCCCAAAAAATGGTGTCATTGGTCTTGGGGATCAAGGAAATGTAATTTGACACCACAAACAATTTTGATGCCCTTAAATATGTAATTTAACATCGCAAAAAATGCGGTTATGGACAATGTGTGACCTTGAGAGGAATGCTATTCATGAAATACCAGGATCCCACAGCATTTTTGCGAGATTAATCCCGCACATAAATGGAGCGGGATCCCGCGGGATTTGCGGGACTGAGGAATTTGTCCACCAAGGGGACGACTCTGTTTACTTTGTTAATGAAACTGATAACGGCGAATTATTTTTTAAATAATTTATTGACTCTTTTCGTTAAAAATGTACTATGATTTTTGAGGCACTTTAGAAGACTTTTTGTGCTTTACAGGTAAGGTTTTTTTGAGTTCTAAGTCGAAGGTACTTTTTTGTTAAATATTGTGATAATTAGACATTTACTTTAATACAGAAGTTAACCGGACCGGATTGCTTATTTGCCAATTTGTTTAAAGTTTTGCGAGATCCCGCAAATTCCGGGATCCCGCGGGATTAACATCTAACAATCCCGCAAATACCGGGACTGAGATTTTCCTGCGGGATTGCATTCCCTACTAGAAACCAATTTCGAAAGAAAGTTCAAAGGACTGTAATTTTAGAACAAGTAGCCCAATATTGGAACTGTTAGAAATTATGGATTCTACAGGCCACATTCTATAAGAAAATTTTTTTTCCGGGTCGATCTGAGACAATTTTTTTTGAGGGCCTCAAAAAAATGCAGTGTATAACCTTCCTTTTATCTCAAAAATCGACTGGACCAAAATTTCTCGAGAAAACACTTTTTCTTATTAATTTTGGTGCGTATAATCCAAAACAATTCGTACTTTTTCGATCAGACTCCTCAATCAAAAGTTATAGACTAGAAACCAATTTCAAAAGAAAATTCAAAGGGCTGTAACTTTTGAACTAGTAACCCAATCTTGAAACTGTTTGAAATTATGGATTCTACAAGAAAAATTTTTTTCCGGGTCGATCTGAGACAATTTTTTTTGAGGGCTTCAAAAAAAGACAGTGTATAACCTTCCTTTTATCCCAAAAATCGACTGCACCAAAACTTCTCGAGAAAACACTTTCTCTTATTAATTTTGGTGAGTAGAATCCAAAACAATTCGTACTTTTTCGATCAGACTTCACAATCAAAAGTTATAGACTAGAAACCAATTTCGAAAAAAAATTCAAAGGTCTGTAACTTTTGAAGTAGTAGCCCAATCTTGGAACTGTTTGAAATTATGGATTCTACAGGCCACATTCTATAAGAAAAATTTTTTTCCGGGTCGATCTGAGACAATTTTTTTTGAGTGCCTCAAAAAAAGGCAGTGTATAACCTTCCTTTTTTACCAAAAATCGACTGCACAAAATTTCTCGGGAAAACACTTTTTCTTCTTAATTTTGGTGCGTAGAATCCAAATCTGGGAGAGGTCCACAAGGGATTTATGGAGGCGCCGTATGGAGTCGAGAACGATTCGACAGCTACTCGCCCAGCCACGGAATTTCACGTGACTATCACGTCTGTTTCGTAAGCTCTGAAGGAAAAACTACTTTTCAAAGGATTCGTCGAATAATGGACTGATTTTCTCCAAACCATCGGGATGATTAATTGATGGGTACAGAAAACAAATCAAACACTTTTAGAGATAATTGACTCTATTCTACAATCGACTCCGAAGAACCATTTGTCTCATTTCCATTCTCTTAACCTTCCCCAAGGATGTTGTGCGAATTTGTTCGACGAACCTAAGCCCACCCCTTAACCTTTCCCCATCGGCGACTCTTGCGTTGTAGTATTCCACAATGTCACCGTCCGAAACATCCCCAAAGCCATTTCTCCGAACGACCAAACCGAGTGGTAGACTTCCATCGTAGGCGTGCGGCAGTCCGACGATAACGGCATCCTCGACGGCGGGATGAGTTTTCAGTACCGCTTCCAGCTTGGACGGTACTATTTTGGTTGTCCTGTATTTGAAGACCTCCTTGATTCGATCGGTGACGTAGAAGCAGAAGTCGCGGTCGTAGTAACCCAAATCGCCGGTTTTGTAGAAACCTCCATCGTCCCACTCGGACATCTCGCACGAGTCGGGCGAAAAGCAGTCGGCCTTGATGCGAATTTCGCCGACCCGATTCGGACCCAAGACCTCTTCCGTGTCGGGATCCACAACCTAAATCCCGGATAAGCTTGGCAGTTCAATTTCCGACCCCTTACCTTGTATTGGTAGCCGGCGTGGGGGCGTCCGCAGGAGCTCACTCTCTGGTACGCGAACTTGAGATCTTCCGGATTGATGACGTTGAAACTAAGCGAGGCTCCACCAAGCTCGGTTTGGCCGTAAACTGGCAGTATTACAGTGTCGGGCAGATGGGCGCGTAACCGCATTGTTTCGTCGGGCGTGAGCGAACCGCCGCTTACCAAGAGCAGTGCCAAACTGGAGATTGGCCCCTCGAACAGTCTCGGAATGAGCGAAGGTACCAGGACCAGGACTGACACCTAGAACTTGAAGATGGTCTTGGTCGAAGTCACATTGACTTACCTCATATTTGCGAATCAGCAACCAGAGGTTGCTCGATTCGATCTGCGGCACTAAAACTCGACAGGCACCGTTTAGAACCGCATTGAGTAGCATGTTCGTTGTCGAAATCCAGAAGGTGTTCTGGGCGATTGTCGTGAAGCGAACCGATGTGCTTCTGAAATGTTGAGATTAGAGCGAACGGTGGCTTTCTGCCTCACTTACTGGAGATTAACGACGGAGCGCAGCAGCAGCCGATGACTGAGACCAATCTTTTTGGGCAAACCGGTCGTGCCACTAGTAAAAAATATGGCCGCCGTTTCGTCGGGGTTTTCGATGGTAATTGGCGCGAAGCCATCGTTCGCTGTAAATTTCGCGATGAGTTCGTCCAACTTGCCGAAGTCGATTATTGCGCTATTCATCCCTAGCTGGTGGGTTGCCGCCGATATTTTCTTGATCCCCTGGGAGTTGGTAAAGGTGATGCTTGGCGGTATCTTTTTGAGCAGTTGCTTGGTGCTGCTTAAAGGCAAGCTGTAGTCGATTACTGCTGGAATTGCCCCCAGAAAATAACTTGCAATTACCGGTACAATCGCGTTCTTGTGATTGTGGCTGTGGACGACTACGATATCGCCCGCGGATACGTTTTTTGACCTCATTGCTTTAGCGGTGCGGATGCAACGTTCGAGAAGTGTTCTGTAAGTGTCAACTTCTCCAGTTCGATCATCAACCTGAAACCAAACTTCCTCTATCGACTGCCCAAGTGAAATGGGCTAATACTTGCGCGATAGCTGATTGAGCTTCATGCATCTTCTCGTACAAGATTGAACCTACTCCTTTGGTGTAATCAAACTTGGTATGTGGTGCACAGCTGATGATGTTGTTACGAAATTCCATTCCTGGTGGGAACACACTCAACAAAAGTCAGAAATGCAAAAACTTACCGCGGAAGGAATTTGAAAGCAACTTATCTTTGAACGAGTGCGTGAGAAATAGTCGACATTGAAGAATGCAACTCGGCGTTTGTTTTTGTTAACATTTCTTCATCGACGTTAAGAAATTGCCAACAGTGTTTTTTTTATACGACACACTGAACTAGTTTAGTGTTTCAGTAACGAAATATGTTGGTTCTGTCTCATTCCTTTTACCTTCTGTATAATACTCGTTCTTTAGGAATGCATTTTTCACAATTTTTTGGTTGTGCAAAGCTCCCAGTACCATTTTGACATAAATCTAGATCTTGGTAGAAGAATACCGCGTGCATGGGACGGATTTGAGTATCCAACAAAATCGAAGACTCATCATGCTCGTAGAAATTCTTGGAGACCTAGGTGCCCGTAGGGTTTTTCAATTCCCTAACATTTATTTCGACAATTTTCAATATCCCCTGTCGTGGGTTAAATTCTTAAAGGGCTCTAAAAGATTTTTGGAAACTTTCAAGAGATCTTAGTAACTTTTAAAGGTTCAGAAAAATTCTCAAACCTTGAAGACTACAGTTAGAAACTAGGGAGTCCTTTTAATAAAGGATTCTAAAAGATTAAACTCTTGGTTTTTAATTTGCGACCCTTGAAAGAATCATTGCGACTTTTGAAGTCTGCGGAAGTCTCTTGAGGGCCCTTGAAGCGATTTAAAAATCCATAGATGCACTGATTTTGAGTTTTAGAAATTTCGAATGTTCACCTACTGCTTTTGAGATCTTTTAAAAACTCACAAAATACCTTAGAGTCTCGTTTCTTAAAGAAAAGAGAAAAACTCTTGGACGCACGGTTTTCGGAAAACTCTTGAAGACTTTTTGGGACTGTTCTTTGAAACCCTTTACAGGTGCTTAAGGTCCCATTCACATTTTTACAGAAAATTGTACGTCTTGCTCTTAAAATTTCTGAAAGCGGAACCGCCCTTGGAGGCTATTAAATGTTTTCGAAAGTTCTCGCTCTTTTTAAAAACACCTTGCTGTCCACGAAACCCCCCAAAGACACAAAAAACCGAAAAAGAAAGGATTTAAAGGGCCTAAAATGCTGTAGTCTTTGAGGATCAAGAAAGCGCTTTAAGACTGTTTGCGATTTTCAAAGGCTCTTGCAGGTTTTTAATTGCTTAACTTTTATAAATCAAGAATCAATATGAGTTCATACAAGGATCTGAATGCTTCGGCTTTTACACATTCAAAAACCCTTAAATTGTTAATTTAACAGAAACCTCCCTTAGACCGTATGCAATGAGAAGAGTCCCTTGGGAAATGATGCGATCCACCAAAGTGTTTTACCATATTTTCGTATCAACGAGGGACGAGTTATTTACATAAAAGTCAGGAAAATGACACATTACTGGGGAGGAAATATTGAAGTACGAGCTCCTTTGGGGTCGAGTACTTTAATTTCCGAGTCGGGTAATGTCATTTTACTGACGAGTTTTGTATTAAATTTTACCCGGAATCGTATTTTAATATAAAATTTCAATTTTATATACACGGTGTCCATTTTCCGAGTGCCACTATGGGAATCTCACTTATCTTAAGAGATAGAAAGTTGGTTGAATGGGGGCAAAGTTGCCAATTTTCATGCTGAATAAGAATCTGAAAAGAAATTTGAAATATCTTCAATAGTTTTGATTAATTTTTTTATGATAAACTAATAAAGTTAATAACTTTCAATATACCGGAGAAACACGTAGCAACTTTAGTTTTTCTTATGGGCGCAATTTTGAATTTTCACTTTGAGATTACGTCTTTTTTTCTCTTTACAACAATATATCACACACATGGTGGTTCAGTATCATATTTTTCCTAAAAATACAATTTTTCATTTTTTGAAAAGAGTGCTTCTCTGACAATGCTGCAATCAGACAGATGGATCAAACTGTCCAACTTTTGTTTACAACAAAAGAACGTTTTGTTTTTCCAAAGCACTCTTCTCAAAAAATTAAAAATTGTATTTTTGGAAAAATGCAGGAAAAAATGTGATACTGAACCGCCATGTGTGATATATCGTTGTAAAGAGAGAAAAAGACGTAATCCCAAAATGTCAAAATTCAATATGGCGCCCATAAGAAAAACTAAAGTTGCCACGTGTTTCTCCGTCATCTTGAAAGTAATTAAAAACAAGATGCCATATTTGAAATCTCCATTAAAAAATGTCCGAATAATGTGTCAATTAGAAATGTCTACTACTATTAGTTTATCAAAAAAAAATTAAAAACAAAAATCAAAAGTTTTCGTTTTTTTGCGATATCTCTTTTAAACTATTGACGATATTTCAAATTTCGTTTCAGATTTTTATTCAGCTCGGAAATTTGCAACTTTGCCCCAATTTAACCAACTTTCTATCTCTTAAGATAAGTGAGATACCCATAGTGGCACTCGAAAAATGGACACCGTGTATAACTCTCGCCAGGAATGATTGCCGGTCACAGCACACCTTGTGTCGATCTACAATCTCTGTTTTTCTTAAGATGCGAGCGACTTCCGGAATAGGATCGTGCCAATGTTGAACGAAAAGCCTTTTTGTTCAACATTGACACGATACTATCCCGGAAGTCGCTCACATCTTTGGAAAAACATAGATTGTAGACCGGGATCAAGTGTTTTGTGACCGGTTTAGAACTTTTGATTAATGTCAATCTGTCAGTGACGACAGGAGTCATTATAGACATTCACCAATGTCACAGATGCGCCCGGTAAAGTCATGGTACAGGTAAAGCGACAGGTACGGCTCTCTGTCATGGAAACTTTTAATTTCCTGATATAAAGTAGACATGAAAATGAAGGGTTCAGGACGATTTTGGGTAAAATCCTTTCTAAAGCTAAGTTGGAGACGTTTACTATACAGACGGTAGGAGTGGACTATCCAATGGAGCGTTTCATCATATCCTTTAGTATCCGGATGATATGTTCCCAATCCACCCCACCAGGACCAGCAGCAACATTGAATTTCCACGGAATTTTCTCTAAAACGGTATCCTTTCCAATAGCTTTCCAATCCAATGATTCGAAGAAGTTACTGGACCATTGGAAGGTAGTTGTGTTGCCACTCATCAAGTCTTGTCCTACAAATCTAATAAACTGTTGCAAAGCTCCAATGGAGGCTTCCGTAGACAATGAAGTGACCATAATCTACTAATCTGCTACAGGGTGCAAAACAAGTTTGCGAGCCCCTATAGGATGAATCTCATAAACGGACCATATATTATATTTGACGCAGTTTCGATCCTCTAAATTTTCGTAACTTGTACAAACAAAAATGCATGGGCTCTATTATAGTTTCAAAAAGTAATAAATGAACGAAATGGATATTTAACTTATAAATAAAGCGTTCAGTAGGTAGTCAAGCATACCCGTTGACAAAGGTGCAACTTATACGAGCAACTTTGTTAGTAGAAAGGACGTGGAATGTGAAATGTAATCTTGGGAATAAGGTAATAACTTTTCATTGATATTGAATAAATTGAATACGTAATTTAATATCACTTTTGTTTATAAGTCGCAAAACTAATTGCTCTAATTAATGGGGGCGCAAACGCCGATGTTGGGGGGCGGTCCGAAGACCGCCTTAATTACTTTGAAAGTTGTCAAAATGATTACTTAAAATTTAGCCTTTGTGACCGTCAATTATTTGTAATTGGAATTAAGTTTGCTAATTACATAAGCTGGTAGTAAATTCTATTAACTTAACTGAAATGAATAATTAATTCCTCCCATATTTTAATTGTATCACTTCATGAAGACGAATTGAAACGTGTCACAGAAAGTTCTACTGGTTTCGGTGGGTTTTGAAATGTTTACTGCGGCTGACAGACTATAGGACATTTCGACCCTAACACTATAGTCCGCGGTTGCGTGGCCAAACGGTGCCGAGTAGTGCCATTTATGCGGTGGCTCTATCGGTAAAATGCCATTTGACTATTGTGGAACGCCCGCATGCTTTCTAATTGTCGAGGGAGATTTCTTCCATGACGCATTTATTGTGAAACGTTTGTGTGGATTGCAAGTGAAAAAGAGTTTACTTCCAAAAAGATTAATTAAGTAGTAAACCTAATTAACAGTTACCTACGATGTCTTTGATTTACCTTGTCTTTGTGCTACTTCATCATCTTGAAGGGCAGAGTCTGGGAGGGGAGTGGTATAATAAACAAATGTAATTATCGCTGTACAGTACAGTACAGTAATTACCTACAGTGTTGTAATGATTAGAGATTAATGGTAATTGAACATAAATAATACGTAATCTTGATACGTAGATTATGCCTAATTTTTATTCGTAATTTTGAGGAAGTAAATATATCAATATTCCAGCATGGTATATCAAAGTGGTATTATATACGTTTATTAAATTATTGCTAAAAGAACGTTTATTTATATACATGTTATCAACGTAGAACGTGAACTCTATAGCTTATACGAGTATATACGAACAAAAATCGTATTTTAAACGTAGAGTATAAAATTGGTCTACAAAGAAACGTTTACCATACTACCAATACCGAATTTATCCTTTCAAAACGCTTTAAAAGCGTTTATTAAACCGGCTGGGGTTGAGGTAGGCTGAAATAATTTGTTTCTAACTTTTTTTTTGGTTTGACCTCCATTCCAAATCCTCTTTGAGTCTTTGGGCCAAACAATTCTTTACTTTCATCATAGGCAGCCAAAGAACTACGCCATCATGTCATTGAATATAATAATGAAACTTATCACTGCCGTGTAGGTAAAGAACCATCCTGGTCAATTTTCTCAAATTGAGCCCAATATCCTAGCCAAGCCTTGAAATCTCCTGAAAATTTCTTCATCTCGATCTTGGACGGTCGAAATCCTCTGGTCCACCTTCAGAGCTAAGTGGAATACTGGATGGGGGCAATACCACTGGTAACAAAGTTCCTACGATTTCTTCAGTCGTTATTTTCTGTCGCATTTCTATAATAGCTTCATATTCCGTGTCTTGATCCGTTTTGTCAACTCCATCATCCATCATGTGACCTAGTCAAACTCTGCCAAGGTAATCCGTTTCTCATTCAGCATCCTCAGGACAAGTTGAATGCTCTCCTTCGGAAATTTGCTCAGCTATCCTCTTTATCTCCATTCTGAACTGGGCGTCTGGCTCTCTGAAGGGCATCCATGGTAGGTACGTTTCAAAAATGAAGGGTTACCAAATGTTATTTTAGAATGGAAGGGTTTAACCAACCGCAACGCTTTCTTTACTCTTATCTTTGCGTAACTGATTGCAAATAGTGTGGACGAGACTGAAGCTTAATTTTTTATTGGCATATCTCGGTTCTCGGCAGCTTAATGCAACCATCAAATCTCAATCCCAAAATTCCAAAAAAAATTTTTTAAAAATGTACCCAAGCTAACCGCTGCCAGCGTCTCAACGACAACACTATTCTGATAATTTATTAGCAAACATAATACGGTTTACTCATCAAAATAAAGTTTAGTTTCATCTCTACATTCTTGATTTCTGCGATTTTACTAGACAAATGCCCTTAGAAGTTCATGCAAGTATGCTCAGTTGTGTAAGAAATTCACGTAATCACTCTACAAACAGCTTTTGAGATTCATAGAACTGAAATTATACGCGTTTCAACATGTTTGCCCGAAAAATGTTTTGACAACGCTGTTGACTCTGATTTCAACACATTTCTCAGAGTCTCCTTCGAGGTTGTCAAAAGCGCGCAATTGCAAAACTGTCACGGTTCCATATCCGATATTAAAGGTTCCTGCCAATAGTGTAGCAAAGGTATTGGACCAAGTGACTTTTGCGGTGTGCATTTCACCAGTTACTCAAACAAAATTTAAATTGAGAAAAATAGGGGAATATTTCATCTTTATTTGTGGAGTGTCAGCGACGGAGATAAGCCGCTTGAAATACGATACGATTTCGGAATAAGCGACGTTTAAAGAAACACACATTTTGCAATGGGCCGCAGATCTTTGCGAGCGGTTAGCAATGAAACTTGAATTGATCGCGTTGGTCGTTGGTCTTCACCTTGTGGTAAGTGCGAGAAAAGCAGTTTTGGCGTTTCATCAACTTTAGTTACCAGGTTTCCCAGACCACGGAACAAGAGCTCACGTCGAAATGGCCGACGATTTCCACGTGCATCTGCAACACAACTGTGAAGGCGGATCAAGTCTACCAGTGGATCAATAAGAAGACCTTGTTCAACAATGCAGAGTTTAAGTGTTACCTGAGATGCGAGGCGCAACGCACAGAAGTCATGAGCAGCACCACTGGCGTCGTTAGCGTCACGGGTTTGGTGAAGGCCTATCCGGCAACAACGCAGGCAAAAGCTCAGGCGTGCATTAATCTATCCGCGAGTGTGACGAATCGTTGCCAGAAGATGTACGATATCTTGACTTGCATTCTCGTATACCCTGCATGTGACGATATTTTCTGGTAAAGTGTCGATAGATTACGAACCTACATGTTGTTTCTGCAAAGGGCACGAATTATTGGTCAAAATCTTTGTTTAATAGCTCTATGAATAAAATTGTTAATAAATTCTGTTCAGTACCACCCATCAGCAAATATCCAAATTACTTAGAAAGGTTCCAGTAAATTCAGTAAGTCGGTAGTAAAACCTTTGGCGTGCAAAGGGTGGAGGAAGTGGTCTCAGGTAGGCACAATCCACTAATCGGGAACAAACATCACGTGTCGCATGCTCATTTGTCACATCCAAATTTAGAGGAAAGGGCCAATCAGAACGTATTGCAAAAATAACCCCTCTGACAAGCCTATGACCATCAAACTTTTTCGACAGTCGATAATGTCTAATTAAATTAGAGACGCAGGTAAGGAGTGTGAAATGTACCAATCAAAATACTCCAGGTTGCTTGGAAGCAACCAATCCACCACAAACATGTAGGTCAGCTTGGAAACGCGAGACTCTTCACTTCATTGGATCGTAGTAGACCAATAGCAGTTCTTCTCAGTAGCTCATGATTACGAACGCGAGGATGTCGCGATCCACATGCGCATGCTCGCAACAGAAACTGTAAAACCTTCCGAGGAATGAAGCGAACACCTTGGCGAAACTCGGACCACAAAAAGGAAAGAAGTGTGCAGGCCATGCGAGCTAAACGGCCACGGACTCGCTCAGCGTAATCTAGGCTCTTTTGGGACAGGAGTCTTTGTACTTAGCATTCAATGACTTAGCTGAAAGGGCTCGGGTTCGAAAGATTTCCATATGGCTAAACGATTGGGGTGGATCTGGGATGAATCCCTCAAATTCGATCCCCTCGTCTGAAGGAGGGATGTGGCCCGGGCTCTATCACTAGGACCAAAAAGTTATAAAGTCACTGTCCCGGACAGGGAGCAGTGGAAGAAGGAGAACCGTGGACACCAGTCTCAGTGACTTTCCCAGCTCGATTGGCCCTCTAGGCTGTTACGACGTTGCTTATATTTCTGATGGGCGGCTTTGATTGGGCGAGCCACGCTGACCAATCGCAGGCTCGATTCGTTTTCGGGCTCGTCCGTAACAGCTGGCGTAGGTGCTCGCAGGTCATGGATGTGGACCTTAGTGAGCTCGTCGTTCGCGCTCCGGACCCAGTAGGCGTTGGTTCCAGTCAGAGCTTCGATGGTGTGTGGTCCCGTCGATTTAGGGTGTAGGTTCCCGGATTTCTGGTCGCGGCTCCTCTCAATAACCCGCGCCCTTACTTGGTACTGGGTGATCGCGGGTCCGTAAGTGTTGGTTTCGATGTACCAGCCTGGCGGTCTTCACCTGTGGGTGGAGGTTCTCGTTCGCCACTTTCCCGGTCGGGTCAGATCGTAGCTCAAAAGGGCTTTGCTTGGGATGACGCGTTCCTTCTGGTTTGGAGGTTGAAGGTGACGAGAGACGAGAGCACCCTGTTTACCTCTTGGTTCCTTCGTTCAACTGGGTTTTCTTGGGAGTGCCAGATAGGTGTGGTACAGTGCTTACAGCCCCATTTGTGTAACGTCGCGTCCAAGGTGATGGTGGTGAATTGCGTGCCGTTCTCGGAAATGATTGACTTCGGGAACCCAAATCGTGCGAAGACATGTTGGTGACATCCGAGGTCGACGTCGACGTCACCATGCTGAACAAATCTGTTATGGCAAAGATCTGGCGGTACCCGGTGGGTGTGGTGGCGTACGGTCCCATTAATTCCAACGATCCGGACCCCAAAGGAGGTGGGTCGTGTCCTGAAATGGGCCCCTCTTTACGGTGGTGCAGATCGTCGATGGTTTGAGTCACCGTGGCCGGAATCGTTGTTGGCTCTGAGGTCGATCTGGTGATAGCGGTGGTCATGGTGGCAGAGGTAGTGGTACTGGAGGCACTGATATCTGAAGATGCATTGGCGATGGTGTATTTCATGCTCCTCGTGTTGACCATGACTGAGTCGCTCATTGGCGGATTCCAATGCGTCTTGCACTCGACTGTGTTCTACGTTGGGCGCCAATTGTTACCGGGTGGAGGTTGGTGGGAGACACAGTCAACAAGCGTCCAACAAAGTCCACGGGAAGGAGTCGGTGTGGCAGCGCTGCTGAGCGGCAGTGGCTGGAGTGCGCTGGGGAACGGCGCGGTTGACTCGGCGTGGCGGCTAGATGGTGCGTAAGGGCGGAGGGTGCTGGAGTGCCTCGGACTGGCAGTGGAAGAAGGAGAACCGTAGCCACCAGTCTCAGTGGTCGCTTTAAGGGTGACTTTCCCAGCTCGACTGACCCCCCTGGCTGTTTCGACGCTGCTTGTATTCCGCGGCTGCGCGATAGCAGGCTCGCTTCGTTTTCGGGTTCGTCCGTAACAAGGGTAAGCTTCATATCGGAGCCATCGCACTGTCTTTGTCGGATGAGAACCCGGTCTGGTATTTATCCCATCCGTTGGCAGGGCTTAGATTAAGGGCCGGATGACCAGTCAATTCCAGGCTCAGTCGCAACGAAATTTGAATCTTTTAGGCTTCTAAAACTGAGACCAGATTAGGAGGATCATCAGGGTCCTCGAGAGGCGCTGGATGGTCCACTGTCATCTGCAGAACATTTGGTTTGTAGGAGATCCCACGTGCAAGCTTTTTGACGTTTCAGCTGTGATGTCACCGTGACACCTGAATCAGAGACAGAGAACTGTTATCTGGAACCGAAGAGGGTGAGGTCTAATTTCTTCTCTTATCTTTCCTTGTCCAGCTCCTTCTTATGTCGCTCCATTCTTCTAAAGTTGAGGGGCGAAGAGGAAGTGTAATAGGCGTCGAAAACGAAGGACGAAGAAAGAATGAAGTAAACGTGAAGAATTTGCGAAAGTAATACATGTTATAAAAAGGAAGACAAGCGCAAAGTAATCCTGACATATGCGTGTGGGTGGAAGTATAGAGGAGTGGAAATCGCTAGAGAAGAAGAGAAATTGAGCTGTCTGAAAATTCGTCTTGTTTTTGTATTGTTCTGCCTCTCACTTCTTTATCCTTTTTCCATATCAATTCTAACTTCGTCCTTCTTATCCTCATCACCCTCAATCTTTCCTTCCTTTTTCCATATCAATTCTAACTTCGTCCTTCTCATCCTCATCACCCTCAACCTTTCCTTCCTTTTTCCTTATCACAATCTTCGTCGTCTTCTTTCTCTTCTTCCTCTGAAGAATTAAATGCGCGGCTCGTTACCTCATTATATCGTACTAGACCAATCGAAAATAACTAAATAATCATTCAGCTAATGCCTTTTCGGAATGCACCAAATAGTCCAAACGTGAAAAGTAAAGGACACGTGAAGAAAACATGAAGAACGTGTGATGGGAGCGCAAAGAAAAGAGCAATAGATAAAGGCTGAAGGAGGCACGCACAAATGGTACGTTGACAGGACCAGACAGGTAACGTGAAATGGGACTGAAGCAATCCCGTAGAGAGTACCTAAGGGAGGCAGAATACTTTGAAAAAGTATTTGAATACTAAATACTTTTACGTCCAGCACAAGCGAATATTAGATACAGATATATTGAAAGGTATTCAAATACTTTAGAATGTATTCGAATACTTTCAAAAGTATTCTAATGTAATCAAAGGTATTCGAATACTATAAAAAGTATTCGAATACTTTGAAAAGTATTCGAATACAGTAAAAAGTATTCAAATACTTGTCACTCAAATACATTAAAAATTTAAAATAGTATACTAGATAAAAGGCTTAATACTACTTAATATCTCAAGTTATACTTTGTATGGGGTTAGCTTTTTTTATATTTCTATTGTTATATCACTTATATACACATTTAAGGGGAGTAAAAGCGTATTATTATTATTATATTATTATATAGGAGGTACCTACCAGGACCTTTCTGATACCAGTTATATCCTTAAGAATACGTGTACCAGTTTTTAAAGCGTCGTGCACATCATACGTGAGCCTTTCTGAAATTAATCCTAGCGATTTTGGAACAGATCCATTTTTGACCATCCGTTAGTCCGTGTGCATGATAGTTTGTTTAGAAACGTGCGATCGCTTTGAAAATTGAAATTTTTTTCTAGTCTATTTTTTTCTAGTCTATAACTTTTGATTAAGACGTCTAATCGAAAAAGTACGAATTGCTTTGGATTCTACGCCACATAATTAATAAGAAAACGTGTTTTCCCGAGAAATTTTGGTGTAATCAATTTTTGGTAAAAAAGCAGGTTATACACTGCCTTCTGTTGGGGCCGGAAAAAAAATTGTCTCAGATCGACCCGGAAAAAAATGTTATATAATGGGGCCTGTAGAATCCATAATTTGAAACAGTTCTAAGATTGGGTTACTAGTTCGAAAGTTACAGCCCTTTGAATTTTCTTTGGAAATTCTTTCTAGTCTATAACTTGATTGAGAAGTCTAATCGAAAAAGTACGAATTGTTTTGAATTCTACGCCTTAAAATTAATAAGAAAAAGTGTTTTCCCGAGAAATTTTGGTGTAGTCGATTTTTGGTAAAAAAAGAAGGTTATACAATGCCTTTTTTTGAGGCTGGAAAAAAATTGTCTCAGATCAACCCGGAAAAAAACATTTTCTTATCGAATGGGGCCTTTAGAATCCATAATTTCAAACAGTTCCAAGATTACTACTAGTTCAAAAGTTACAGCCCTTTGAATTTTCTTTCGAATTCTTTTTCTAGTCTATAACTTTTGATTGAGAAGTCTAATCCAAAAAGTACGAATTGTTTTGGATTCTACGCCCCAAAATTAATAAGAAAAAGTGTTTTCCTGAGAAATTTTGGTGTAGTCAATTTTTGGTAAAAAAGGAAGGTTATACACTGCCTTTTTTTGAGGCCCGAAAAAAAAATGTCTCAGATCGAGCCGGAAAAAAAATGTTCTTATAGAATGGTGCCTGTAGAACCCATAATTTCAAACATTTCCAAGATTGGGGTGCTAGTTCAAAAGTTACAGCCCTTTGAATTTTCTTTCGAATTTTTTTTCTAGTCTATAATAGTCGGGTCTAGTTTTGTGAAAATCGCAATGCAAGAAGCATTTCATGTAACAATTGAGTTAACACCGGTTCCCCCCTATTTCGACCCCGCCGAATCCGAATATGCCATTTGCCAACTCGAAATTTCAACCGGAAGTGAGATATTCAAGATGGCGTCCAAAATAGCGCCAAATTTAAGTGTTTTTTTTGCTTTTGGTCATATGTGTGCGATCCAAGTGTCTATCCCTAGGTTTTTTGGGGCGTAGAACACGATTAAATACTTAAAAATAAATTTGGTTAAGAAAATCACCATTAAAAAGTCATATTTTAACAAAATTTCACCAATATTAACCAAAAAAATCATTTTTTTATCGAAATGTGTAGAAAATTATGTGCTGTGTCTGAGGGGATTTAGAGCATGTTTAAATGCTCAAAATTATTTTAAACAAGTGTTAAAGGACTTTTATTTTCTGAATTCAATTGACATTAATACTCGTCATTCATCGTCATCGTCACCTGCCCCATTCAAGCACTTTACTCTGCACTTACACAGTTTTGTGCAAGGGACCCAGGGCTCCTTTCTACACCCACACTGCTTTGTGTTACACAGTCCTTTGCAGCCACAAACACTAAACTCCGGGCATGACTTTGGGATAGATGGCAGAGTCATGAGAATAGGCACATATCGCCCGCCTTCCACCTTCCACCCACAATTTTTAGGGTCAGGTAGTTCGGGGAAGGCCACGTGGGAGTTTTTCCACACAAAAACCTAAATAAAATAAATTAATATGAAAATACCTGCGACAGTTAATGTACAAACGCCACTTAAAATATTAATTTTACCTGATAGTGGCACCGAAGGATATGCAAGCGCAGTGCGTCACTGGTAGGCGGCAAGAATTCCAGCACCTTTACAGCTCCAAAAAGAGAAACGCGCGCTGCATTTGACATTGTAATGTCTGGCCCAACCTAAAATAAAAGTGACATAATTGTAAAAAAATAAATATTTTAACAGCAAATAATTTGTGGTGAATAAGGGGACGCAACAAACCTTGTACAAAGCTTGCACCACGAATTGCTCGATATTGTCGAGTACATCGCTGGCCAGGTCAGAGGTAGCTCCAAGTCCACTAAGGAGTGCTGAATTTTCTTCTGTGTAATGTTTCCATGCGCCAGTTTTAGTTACTGATGCCAACTTTGATGTGGTATCACACCCAGTAACTGCATGGAAAGCCAGTAAATGTTTCATCTGGTTGGGTTTAAGCTTTTGACAAACTTCGTGAATAGGAATGTACTTTCTCTCACGGTAAGTCCCGCACATTATCCAACATTTCTTGCAAATCATTTGTTCAAAGTGGTAGATAAATAATAGTAATACATCGGTGTCCCTTACAGAAACAACAACAGACTCACAGTCGCTGTGGACGGCGTGGAGCACCATCCTTGTGTCAGCCTCTTCGTGGTTTGCAACGAAGTGCGTGAGGTCTCTTGCTTCGTTTGTTGACTGGACATGTGTAGCTTCTACAAAACCACCAGCCACAAGCACTTCTAAGCCGCCAAAGTCATGCTTCATAGCTTCTTCACTCAAGAAGCGCGTGAGGTCGGCCTTATTTTCTGACATGGCAAGGAAGCTTGTCCAATCTTTGGGCAGGGGAACTCCACCGTTCTTGATAACTCTCCGTACAGGGACAAAACCTTTCGACCTGTGTTTTCTTGTGCCGGCTTTGACAGAAAGATCACGATACCTATCAAACACGACGTGAACTTGGTGATTTTCTTAACCAAATTTATTTTTAAGTATTTAATCGTGTTCTACGCCCCAAAAAACCTAGGGATAGACACTTGGATCGCACACATATGACCAAAAGCAAAAAAACACTTAAATTTGGCGCTATTTTGGACGCCATCTTGAATATCTCACTTCCGGTTGAAATTTCGAGTTGGCAAATGGCATATTCGGATTCAACGGGGTCTAAATAGGGGAGAACCGGTGTTAACTCAATTGTTACATGAAATGCTTCTTGCATTGAAACGGAGAGCTTTTCTGAGATTTTAGCCCCGACTATAACTTTTGATTGAGAAGTCTAATCGAAAAGTACGAACTGTTTTGGATTCTACGCAATAAAATTAATATGAAAAAGTGTTTTCCCGAGAAATTTTGGTGTACTCGATTTTTGGGATAAAAGGAAGGTTATACACTACCTTCTTTTGAGGCCCTCAAAAAAAATTGTCTCAGATCGACCCGGAAAAAAATTTTTCTTATAGAATGTGGCCTGTAGAATCCATATTTTCAAACAGTACCAAGATTGGGCTACTAGTTCAAAAGTTACAGCCCTTTGAATTTTCTTTCGAAATTTTTTTCGTCTATAACTTTTGATTGAGAAGTCTAATCGAAAAAGTACGAATTGTTTTGGATTCTACGCCTCAAAATTAATAAAAAAAAGTGTTTTCCCGAGAAATTTTGGTGTGGTCGGTTTTTGGTAAAAAAGGAAGGTTATACACCGCCTTCTTTTGAGGCCCTAAAAAAAATTGTCTCAGATCGACCCTGAAAAAAAATTTTCTTATAGAATGGGGCCTGTAGAATCCATAATTTCAAACAGTTCCCAGATTGGGCTACTAGTTCAAAAGTTACAGCCCTTTGAATTTTCTTTCGAAATTGGTTTCTAGTCTATAACTTTTGATTGAGAAGTCTAATCCAATGAGTACGATTTGTTTTGGATTCTACGCCCCAAAATTAATAAGGAAAAGTGTTTTCTCCCTCTCCTTCATAATGTCGCGTAATTTCAACATATACTGTAGACATGCAGACATTAATTTTTCTCCTCTATCTGAAATTTTGAAATTTGTTTAAATTTGTTTTCTTTTATGTATTTGTTTTCTTTTATGTAATGTCATGGTTTAATTTAGTTACTTAATTACATTGTAATAGGTTTACTCTTATTTTTATTGTATCTTGCATATTATCTTTTTGTCTATAGTGCCGCTTGCGCAAACGTAACAAACTTTAATTTTGTTCTGTTATTGGATACTTTGTATCTGTAGAACAATAAACATTATTATTATTATTATTATTATTCTCGAGAAATTTTGGTGCAGTCGATTTTTGGGATAAAAGGAAGGTAACACTGCCTTTTTTTGAGGCCCTCAAAAAAATTGTCTCAGATCGACCCGGAAAAAAATTTTTCTTATAGAATGGGGCCTGTAGAATCCATATTTTCAAACAGTTCCAAGATTGGGCTACTAGTTCAAAGGTTACAGCCCTTTGAATTTTCTTTCGAAATTCTTTCTAGTCTATAACTTGACTGAGAAGTCTAATCGAAAAAGTACGAATTGTTTTGGATTCTACGGCCTAAAATTAATAAGAAAAAGTGTTTTCCCGAGAAATTTTGGTGTAGTCGATTATGCGAAGTATTCCAATACTAAATATTTGTGAAAGTATTTGAGTTACAAATACAAATACTGCTTCCATAAAAGTATTTAATTACAAAGTATTTGAATACTTTAAAGGATTTGAATACTAAAAAGTATTTACAAAATCGAATACTGCCCAGCTCTGGCAATGGATACAATTATATTGCCACAGTTGTGTCCGGTGATATAACCTTGGCTTCCAGAGGTTAATTTCAATCCATCCCGTCTGTTTGCTCAATATGGGGGATCTCCCAACTACCATCGTATGGTCTCTATGGAGTCGCTGTTGGAGTTCATCCCTCAGATTTTGAGAAGTTACTAAAACAGTGCTTTAAGATCTCACTCAAAATCCCTCAAACTCTTCATGTTTCTAAATTTGTTGGCTTCCTTAGTGTTCTTGAATTTATTGGAATTTCCGAGGTTCGTAAGGGAACCGAATTTTAGAAACTTCCTCAAGTTTCTAAAATTCCTGTTGAGGTTCTTAAAACCACTTACAGCCTCTAGTAAACTCTGCAGTTTTGGGAAGAATGCAGTTGCCGAACATTGTTTGTGCGAAAACGGTGCACCAAAGAGGAGTGAATTCAGGAAATCTTGATAGAAGTCATTTCTCAAAGTATTTCTTTATTCATTCTATTGGTAAAATAAATAACTAGTTCTTAGCAATCAGCCTATCTACAATGTATATACAAATCTACCACAAAGCCTAAGCGTATAAATAATCTTCGCAGATGCCTAAATTACTTAGTGAGATTAGGACCAATCGGGTGAGCAGTCGGAATTCGCCGCAGTTAGTATGGACCGGATCCACCGCTTGGCCCGCTGCTCGGGTAACCATCCGAGCCTCCGCTTGGGTAACCCCCCTGCCTCCCGCTAGGACCGCCGCTCGGGTAACCGCCGCCGCTACTCGCATCGCCTGAAACACACGAGGTTAGTGCGTACGCGCCTTTTGCGCGCGTCCAAGAGACGTGAACGGAACCAAAGCGTCTACCTTCGTAACTAATCTTTGGTTTATATCCTTCAGTATCTGCTTGGTACTGCACAATCTGTTTTCTACCGTCAGGAAGAAGTACATCGTACTCGCCTGTTGCTACGTCGCCGTCGCGTTGCTCTTGGTGGCTGAACTGCGTGCCAAACTGTTCGTCGTTCACCTGGTATTCGAATTCGTACTTTGCCGGCTCCTGCGAGGGAAGATTTCATTAATGGTCAGAAACGAGGGCTAGAGAAAATGTACCGATGACTCCTCAGCATTGCTTCCGTAACCGTTTCCGGCGCCGTGTCCGCTTTGTGGCGGTAGGTACCCTTGGCCTTGGTTTGAGGGATATCCTTGTCCTTGTGCTCCGCCGCCGAAACCGGTATCTTGTCCTGGTGCTCCGTATGACGAACTCGGCCGTCCGTTACCTTGACCTGGTGCTCCGAACGCTGAGCCATGGCGTCCATTGGAACTGTGCCCGTTGCCGTTACCCCGACCTGGCGCACCATAGGTGGAGCTGGGGCGGCCTCCAGATCCGTGACCATTGCCGTTTCCTTGACCCGGAGCTCCGTAAGTTGAGCTGGGTCTTCCACCTCCAAACCCATTGCCTGAGGCACCGCTGGGGCGACCGCCTGAACCGTGTCCATTACCACTTCCTTGTCCAGGAGCTCCATAAGTTGAGCTGGGACCGTGTCCGTTACCATTACCTTGTCCAGGAGCTCCGTAAGTTGAGCTGGGGCCGTGTCCGTTACCATTACCTTGTCCAGGAGCTCCGTAAGTTGAGCTGGGGCCGTGTCCGTTACCATTACCTTGTCCAGGAGCTCCGTAAGTTGAGCTGGGGCCGTGTCCGTTACCATTCCCTTGTCCAGGAGCTCCGTAATTTGAACTGGGGCGACCACCTGAACCATGCCCGTTGCCATTTCCTTGCCCAGGTGCTCCGTACGTCGAGCTAGGGCGACCACCTGTGCCGTGTCCATTACCGCCGCCTTGTCCCGGTCGTCCACCACCAAATCCATTACCACTCGAAGGTGCACCATACGATGACCCGGGTCTTCCCTGGCCCGGTGGCAGGTAACTGGATCCCGGCCTTTGGTCGCTATCAACCCCGTGACCGTTACCAGAACCAATCGGCGAGCCAGGCTCGAACCCGGGGGGACCGTAGGTGGCCCCCGGCGTTTGACCTGATTCTTAGTTTAAATTTCGTTCCTGCAACACAAAGATACTTACCCCGTGCCGGTGGGTAGGGTTCGACTGGTGGTTCCGCTAAAATGGCCCCCAAAATACACAAAACCACCAACGAAATCTGCGGGAAAAAAGGCACTGATGCGCTGGTTTCCACGAGAGAACTCACCTTATGCGGCATGTTTACTGATCGAAGCAAAGCACTGAGATGAATCGAATGATGATCTTCCAAAAGCGTACCCCTTTATATACTTCTTTAATCGTGATTCAAGTTACACGCTACTGCCACATACGGTGCAACTTTTCTGCATTTGTCGCGCGCATCCTTTCTTCATTTTCTACAAGTACGATCGAGTATTGTCCCAGTAAAATAAATCGCTCACCTTTCACACGTACGGAGATGCTTTATTTATTTCGTTAGCTCATTTAAAGCGCGCGTTTTTTTCCTCTTCCTCTTCGACGTACGCTCAAGGGTTGATGTAATAATTCGAATCGACAACGACATGGGTAAGGAATTTCGATCGTGCAACGCTACTTCGTTAGATAATCTGCATTGGGAAATTGGCAAAATGGATTCTTCAGTCTTCCGATTGAATTAATGTGCGGGTAATGGGAGCAAGGACGATTTTTTTTTCAAATCTCTTAGAGCGAATTTAATTCTGCACATGACAGAGCAGTTCGTAATGTTGCTCATGTCGTATGTCAAGAAATTAGTGTGTCCGAAAAGTATGAGAGCATCAGCCAAAGAACCCCCCCAACTTAAAAACCCTAATTGGGACACCCTATATTTTATTCGATTTTTTGATTCTACGTTAAATGTTAAGACGAATGATCTATGGAGGATAGATCTATACTTTTTAGTGCATTTCCAACTAAATTGCAGCTACTTTCTCTGTTCATCCGCCTGTCTGTACTCCCTCGCATTAAATTAATTGTAACACAAGAAATTTGAGACCTACCTAACGTGTCGATTATCTGGTTGTCAAGTTTCTTCCAATCCTAATCCTTTTTGTCAAGAATTTACAAATACAGTTGACACAGTGGGGAATTTGTATGAAGATGTTAATAAACTCTCCCTCCTCCCCATCTGCCAATCTGGTTGTTTCTCGACTATCCTGTGGAAGCTACCGATGTTTTACTACAAAAAGTAGTAACAGCTAACCCCATCCTTTCTTTAGGTACCATACATAATTTGATTGATTTGCAAGTGATTTAATTACGCCCTTCCCTGATGTCTTAAAAATACGGGACCGGTGTCAAAATACAAGTTTTTTTAGAGTACACCTAACGAATGTAATCTCGACTGAATCGGATTGTAATTGATGCAATTAATTATACTCGTATCCAAATAGTCGGAATGAAATCTCCAAATTCGGCAGTCCACGAATGCCCTTCTGTTCCTTGGAATTTTAGGTGGAATCTTTTATCACATGGACATTTCTGTAAACTGCACGACCTTTTCGGTTTTGTAATGCTGGATTTTCGTATAGGTAAGGTACCATTAGAAAACTATAATCAATTAATGGGTAATTCACAAGCTTAAAAGGTAATGAGATTGATTCTCTCCCTTCTGCCCTGGTAAGACAGCTTTCGGTGGTTGTAAAAAACAATTTAAATATTCCTACGGGAACGGTTGCAAACTGCGGATTAACTGCAGATTTATTTACGGTAGCGGCGGCTGAAGCACAACTCTCGAAATTAAATCAGTTACCTTCAACACCTAAATACTTTTGGAGCGACATTGTTCGTACAGAGTGATCACTAAACCTGGGTCTTTCGTTACACTGCATTCGATGTCCTTATTGAATGAGCATCCACGGTCGTGTAGCGCAATAAATTGAAAGCTGGACTGCGTTACTCAGGGTCCACGGTTCAAATTCGGGTTCGGGAATGAATGGACTCGAATCCAGGTCGGGGCATGGATATTTGAAAATGTATAGTGGGTTGGGTTGGTAGAGCAGCCTTGGCTGTAACCCCGCCCACTCGAAAATAAAGGCAAAAATAAAATAAAATAAAACTGGCAACTGCCTTAACACGATCCCTTGCACTCATCTGTGCAGAATCGCGCGTAATTGACCAGTTAGCTTGCCACATTTATCAATAGGGGTTGCATTCACATGTTACTTTTAAGATCCACCATAAACATCGTTCTTACAGTACTCAATAAGAACAAATAATTCAATTTACGTTTTTTTTATCGACAACGAATCGTCCGTATAAATCGATGAGGTATAGAGCAAACACGGAGTGACAAAAACAATGCAAGTAACATAGATAAGGGGTACTGCGTCACGTGATTAGTTGGCATTCTTGTGCAATAATGGAAAATCCAAAATTCTGCGTAGGTTTCCACAAAGGATGTCGATGTAGATGGCAATAATTAGGTAGATAATAAAGAAGAAATTAATAGCTAGAAGTAAAGACCTAAACATCATTATTCAAGGTTAAAGTTAACACGCAATTCTAGGTACAAACTGTAAACGGCTTTAGAACTTAAAATATATCCGCAAAAAAACGTCAGTGAAGCGTCTAAAGCAAATCACAAGAGAAGAACTTTACCAAAATGTCATACAGTCCCTTTTAAATAGGCACGTCGAAGAAAAGATATGTATCTACTTTACAAGTAATGATCGAATCTGTTTTTTTTTTATAGGGAATAGTTGTAGTAGTAGCAAATTACAGAAAAGGTACACTCGGATGGCCTCTAGGGGAAAAATAAAGAACTATTGTAATACCAACTCTACGACAGAAGTAACTTGCATCTAAACTAAACGGGGTTTGCAGAGGAAATACATAGATGGCGTAAGAACGGAATATAAATTTGTCATTTTAAGTTGTTAAGAAAGGAACGTTACAAACTGTAGGATAATGTTAATATTAATGCGTCTGCAGACGGTAGAATACTAACAGGAATTAGAAGGTCCGTGCTACGTGATTCTTCAAAGGCATTCGAAAGACAAATGAACCTTGCAAAATGAAATGACCTTGTAAATATCAATAACAAAAAATTTTCAAACTAGTTAACCTTGCAAAAATCAAATGACCGTGCAAATACCTATAACCTTGTAATTTAATCATGTTGCGAGATATTGGCGAGTATCGATCACGTGGTTAACGATGAAAAGTTCTAGATACTGCTCATAATTAAACATTTCAAAAATACAGAATAAGGACTTTTTCCGCAGTTCGATCGGAAAATGCATTTTGGTATACACAATTAAAAAAATTGCAAGCATTGTCAGGTTTTGACCTCTGGGAAAGGAAGTTACTGCCGAAATTAAACTAACGGTAAACTCTCCCTGCTGCGGTAGGGGGAACGGAAAATGGTCGCAGATCGAATGAGAAAAAGTTATTAATGGTCCATCGAAAAAAAGCGCTGCTAATATGTCCGATTTTGTAGAATCCAAAATGGCGGAAGAAGGCTTAAAGAAAGTAAACCATAAAAAAAACGACTCTCGCCTCTAAAATGTAATGTAAGCTAAACCATAGAAACCAGAGAAACCACAGAAATCACAGCAACCATAGAAACCATAGAAACCATAGAAACCATAGCAACCATAGAAACCATACAAAAGATAGAAACTATAGAAACCAAAGCAACCACAGCAACCATAGAAACCATAGAAACCATAGAAACCATAGAAACCATAGAAACCATAGAAACCATAGAAACCATACAGAAACCACAGAAACCACAGAAACCACAGAAACCACAGAAACCACAGAAACCACAGAAACCACAGAAACCACAGAAACCAGAGAAACCACAGAAACCACAGAAACCACAGAAACCACAGAAACCACAGAAACCCCAGAAACCACAGAAACCACAGAAACCACACAAACCACACAAACCACAGAAACCACAGAAACCACACAAACCACACAAACCACAGAAACCACAGAAACCACACAAACCACAGAAACCACACAAACCACACAAACCACAGAAACCATAGAAACCACAAAAACCACAGCAATCATAGAAACCAGAGAAACCACAGCAACCACACAAACCATAGAAAGCACAGAAACCACAACAACCATTCAAACCATAGAAACCAGAGAAATCACAGAAACCACAGAAACCATAGTAACCAGAGAAACCACTGAAACCACAGCAACCATACAAACAGAAACCACAAAAACCATAGAAACAATAGAAACTATAGAAACCACATAAACCATAGAAAGATAGAAACCATAGAAAATTGTGGGCTAGTCAGCTAAATTTGTCAACAAAAACTTCCAATTCTATAGGCTTGAGAAAATGTGCATCCGAATCACACCACAATTCATCTTAGACCAACAGACTCCTTTGTAACACACAGAAAGAAGAGAAATTATAACAATGAGTTACGTAATATTTTATAATACAAAAGAATGCATTATCGCCATTAACACCAATTTGTCCGCGTAAGAAGACATATTTTATTGCTAATGGTGTTAACACCGTTTGCCGTATATAATTTATAAACGTTAATCACGATCTTCTTCGTGCGCTTCTCTGAATGACTTGTTTATCTTAAATCTTATCATTGCAGATTTCGTCCGATTGAACTGTTTTTTTAAACAGAAGGCGCCGTTTTATTGCAATGTTCGATTGAAACTCTCGGAGGCGGTCACGATTCCATTTAAATTTCTGCAATTTTGTCGAAATAATTGCTAAGCGAGAAAGGGAATTTTATGATATAAATCAAAACAGGAAGCGTTACCGTTCAAACGTTTCTGCACGATTCAGTACATGTTAAATATATTGCTACACATACGTGTTTGTCCTTCTTACTATTGTTATTGCGAATTCTGCCAAAATCGACATTTGCACACTAGCTCAGTTGGGAAATCTATTTTGTTTCCTGACGTCGAATAAGTTACTTGAGTCGCATAAATAATTATCGCAATTAACGTCATTACATGGTGTGATGAAAATTGAAATGGGGTTGTGTGGAATAAAGTCGTTAAATTAAACACAAAACCCAAAACCTTCCCCATACTAATTTAATTAAAAAACCTATTCGAAAAAAACAGGCAGTGAGAGGCATAGATCGACGGTGGTTGATTTTTGGCGGAGGGTCCTAGTCAGAGGACAGAGGCAGGTTGTGTATCCTAAATAATACACGTGCGCGGGGCGCAAGCCTATCTCAAATAGGTATGAGTTCCATCGGATGTCATTTCCATAGACGCATTCATCCCCAATCGCCAATCAGAGTGTTCAGAGGTCCAGGAGAGCTCAGCGCTCACCGTGTGTATATGACCCTTGAGCGCGAAAAACGACTAGTCACACTGAAGGCTGCCATGTCACCTCTTATGACTGTAAGTGCAAATTACAGAGGGCCGTTTCTAATTAAAATCGAAACTAATCCCTTCAGACCAGCATTAATGACGGTTTTAGTATATGAGTACCAGCGTGTCAAACGTTAGAAATTGCTATTGCAATACTCACGTGCCGCGCTATTCACTATTCCTTTAATTTTTTGTGTTTTTGTCTATTACGGATAAGGCAGAAGGGAGTCTTTCTGAGCTCAAGCAGCCGTAATGACCAGAGTTCTTATTTTCAACCAACGACTGCTTGATATACCGTTACCAGAACAAGGAGCTCTTCTTGGTCCCTCTTCCGGTAAGTATTCTCACTTCTCTATTGAAATTGACTAATGGCTATGTGCCGCCTATCCGGTTTACTATATTTCCTTTCTTTTCGATTTGGTTTGCAATATGCCATCTCTCTCTCTCTCTCTTTTCCTCTACAGTTTCCTATTCACGCGGATCGCTTAACTTATATTATATGCAACTCATGCTTTTATTCTGAACTATTCAATACGTCACCAGTTCTTGCAATAATAATAGTAACAAATTAACTTAATTCCCATCAGTTTTGCGAATTCAATAGATTCGATTGTTTGTATAGCTTTAAGGACGCCAATGTATCCCCCTATCCACGTGCACCAAGCCGGGGGCGGGAGCAGGGGAGAAGGCAAAGGTGTCATGTCAAGAGTGGGGGGGCGTGCATAACCAGTATTAGATGATGTACAGGTTGGTTGGTAGGTTTCTTACCTCAAACTTCTTTCGCTGTATGATTTTTGGGTCAATGGCTTCCAGATACGGCATTGGCCGAATAATTACATAAGAAAAGTTAGTACCGCTAGTCTGTCGCGTTATAAAGACAAACTGAGCGAGTCGTACGTGACCAAAATGGTCGATTGAAGTCTGCTAGTGTTGAGGTCGTTTAAGTCGCTGCGTTTTTGATAACAAAAGCTTCTGGCTAACCGTTGCAAGGCATGGGTTAATTAAGTAAAGAACAAAGAGATTAGCGGCCATTTTGGGACGTTTTCTTGAAAAGAAGGGGGGGGGGTGCGACCATGGAAAGGGACGCACTCAACTTCGACTCACCAAGGCGCAAAGTTGGTGGCACGACAAGAAAAAAATAATTCGGCGTGCACATGCACCCAGAGCCTACCCCGCGTTGTGCGCTTAAAAAGTAACATAAAATCAACCGACCGCCAAGATACAACAGGGTAGTAGTATTTTGATCGTGTTTTCTGTGTGTTTTTATCAAGTATGACGTAATTTAGCCGCAGAACTCACTTTTTTGTTCACAGTTAATTGAGTTCCTGCCCCACGTACTAAATTTTCCGTTAATTGAGTTCTCCACGTTAACAACCAGTAACAAATACGCTCGCAAAATCGAGCCGAATGCGCAGGGAATTTCGATGTCCGCAAAACTGAAAAATTCCATATTTTTTGTGTCTGTGTTGAATCTATTACCGTGCCTTTACGGGCAAAAAATTAAATTATCTTTTTAAATAGTAGAAATGGTACCTTCATGTTTAAATTTGTTCATATTATAATCATTTAAATCTACCCAGAGGTGTTATGCTAATTTTTAGGCAGTGAGTACCTTGTAGTTGAGTCCATAAATGCTGATTTTAAGAAAATTGTGGGTAGAGGGGTATTGGTATTGGGGGTGGCCACCTAGTTCGGTTATTTAGGAATTGATAACGGGATCGGGAGTTTAAAAAGTTTAACAACTGAAACAATAAATTAGTTTTTTTTCGATTAAGTACAGAGTGAATTTGGGATTTCTTTTCATTGAGGACTTTATTTCTCGTGAACACGCATCTTCCGTAATAAGTACTTAATTTCGTAAATCTCACCTTAACCTTAAACTCAATATGCCAAAACTGCAACAGAAGATCAATAAATTGTTCTTCAAAAATAGAACAGCGGCAAATATGGGCGAACTTATTTACGTCTATTTCCAGTAATTGGAAGAAATGCTCATCCGATACAGATTAATTGAAACAAGCCGATATTGCCTATTACGGCTTAGAAGACGAGTGTCGACAATTCATTCTCTTTCGCGGATGTAGAGGATGATCCGAGGCTGCAGCGTGTGAGTTACGTAACCGCGACGTACGGTGGTAAAACTAGGTCTAAAACTTCGTGAAATATGGATCTTCTACGTTCATCGGGAACGCTCTCACTTAAATAAAGCAGAACGGGTCTCATCATCATCTCGACGTCCTCGCATTAAAATTTAATGACTTTATTCCTAGCGAAGATTTGCATTCGCTTATGGAGGAAATTATGAGTTTCGCCCTTTTTGGCGAGGATTTATCGGAGATAATTTTCAATTATTGATGTACTGTTCGCGTAATTTCCTCGTCGATTTCAATCTGTCTTGTACGCGGAAGCTGAGTGCCGCGTACCAATCTTAGATTTACAGATATGGAGTGCTTTCGCAACGAGCTCGAGGGCAAAGAATTTATTGTGCGTGGGAGTTTACATTCCGGATTTGTTTTAGATGAAATACCTACAATTTATTTGCTTTCTGCCCTTGCGAAACGACCTATGTCGCACAATACAACTTGCCTTTGGAAAATAGTATCCCAGCCATGGATGGAGGTATCTACAGGTTCTCAAATGCCCGAATTCTTTCCCTTCAAGTTCTTCTAAAATTCTTCTCTAATTCACCCAAAGGCTTTTCTCAATTTCCTAAGTCGATCTTCGCAGGTTTCCCTAAAATTCCTCTTAAGCTTCCCATAAGTTTCTACCAGATCCTTACCAAGTTCTCCTAACACTCCCTTTTTCTTCCTCTCAAACTTCTTCTTACGAGCCTCGCAAAATTGAGCTCAAGTTACCCTCAAGTGTCACATCGCCCTCGGACTTCTCTGACCAAGAATGGCGCGGATCTATCGCTAATTTACGAAATTTGTACATATAAAAGGCGTTAAACGTTATTTTTATCAAGAGATCGTATTAAGTTAAAAGACGCACGTGGTAAAGGTGAGAAGTGGAATTGATTTGCGGAAAGACGTAACTCTCAGTTTCTGCCTCCCCTCTACTTGATTTTGCGTCTTCGAAAGTGAACACCTGTGTTTTCTTATCCGCAAAATCTGCTTATCTTGAAACGAATTAGCTTACGCAGCGATAATAAATTTGTTATAGTACAACCGGATTTAAATGAGACAACTCTAACAAAGCATCATTTCCAAATGTCCTAATCCTTCCAAATGTAGATATAAAATACTGCGCGATTATTTAAACAAAATTACACATCGTGAAATAAATAATTATAAATAAAATCAATAATGACTGCAAATTCATATGATATGATCAGGATGGTATTCAATCTCAAATTAGTAACCAAATTTGACGTTACAAATAATTGAAATTAGGCACATACAGGGTGACCCTTCATCATGACGTAGTTTAAACAAGAAACTATAACGAGTTCATTTAACATTATGCAATATCAACAGCTCAAATTTGCATAGAGATGACCATCTTTAATAACATTCAAATCAAAATTTTACTCAATAATTTTTTAAAGTTTTAATTTTACCTAAATAAAGGAAATGCATTCCTTTGTAGCAAAAAAAAAACATTTTTCAATGAAAGGTTTTTACTTTCGGACTACATACTGCTGGATTTCGTATGTCATACCCGAATCAACTGTCTTTAAACTAAATTGCGACCTACAGTTCCGTGGCCCACTAACGAATGCCTGCACAACTACTCCAGAATAACGCCTACCAATTTTTAATTAATTAACGCCTTCTTCAAGATGGCGTCTAGTGATTACGTGACCATTTTTTCTTAGAAACAATGAAGAATCACCCCCCCCCCCCCTGAAGTGCACAAAAAACTGTTCCTTTGCTTCCTAGATATTAAATTTTTTTTGCTCAGTTGCAATTTTACAGTGTGGACAGCTGTCCTTGCAACTAAAACCCTACTTACTCTTATTATCTACGACTTTCTGGAGCCGACGACTTCTGAGTACAGCACTATAGAATTTAAATACGCAGAAAAAAAAATAATTGCTAACCTTTGATTGAAGCTCAGAATTTTTAATAACAAATCTTCAAAGTCATCCACAAATCTTTAAGGGTTTTGAGAGTCTTTAAAGATCAATAGATGATTTCAGAACCTTTAATAGAATGCATTAGAGCCTTTAAAACCATTTATTAGTTTTTAAAGGCTTAGCTTTGAACCGACTCTTTAATGATTCTTACAAATTCTTATATTCTTCTAGGCGTATATCTCCAAAATTATTATTAGCCTTTTGCGAACATGAATTACTTTTTCAAAATTGTAAGGCCTTTCTGAACTTTTAGGACCTTTAGTCCGTTGCAAACTGCTTTTGCAAGAGAAGTTTCTAATGGTGTGTAACTAGCTTCAAGAGTCCTTACATAGGTACATTTGCGTTCTTCCTTTTTTATCGTAAGTACCGCCATGGCGCCATGTTGCATTTCGCTATTTAGGGTGTACCTTCTTTACTTTCGGCTGTAATTGCCATCGACAATTGCTGCTTCATCTACAATTAGCCCTTTTCCTCTTATTAAATACCGTACCTGGTACAGAAGCAGAATACGAGTAGAGCGAGGCCCTTCAGGCATTAATCAACTAATTGTATTGACCGAGCCCTGCGGCTTTGGAGGTGTTTCTCTTTAATTGATTTCAGGTTTGGATGCGTGAACTGAGCTCAATTCATGGCGTCAAGGTCTAACTTTATTCAAGGTAAAGGTTGTTTTACTTGTACTTGGCCATATACGTGCGAATTTTTGCCTGGAATATCAATTTATATCTATTTTTTTGATGATATTATGCCTACTTTTTTAACTGAGGTTCAGTGAAAGAACAAAAATATTTTGTACTGCGCTTCAAGATTGTCTTTAATTGCTGTTTTGTTTGTTTAATCTATTTTATGTATCTGTTACATCTTGCGCGACAGGAAAAGACAATAAAGACCTTTATTATTATTATTATTATTATTATTAGATATTATTATTATTATTATGGTCGGTGTTTCTTGTCAGAACTCAGGTCTAGCCTGGTTAACTAATCGCACGGATTAAAATTAAGTAACGATTAGTGTTTTAATTTCTAAGTTTTAATTTTTGAGCGTATCACCCGAGTACGCCGCTCGATTAGAAAATCCTAGTTCCATTTTCACATTTTTTGTCAGGGTGACCTCTTGGTGGCACTCGAGGTTTCCGTACCATTCCGCCGACTGCCGCCGCTGGTATCAACAATTTTAAAAAGTTTGTTGGCAATATTCGTATTTTAAATGTGTGGTCAGCGGCGTGCATACTTTTGCATCATGGTCAACTACTAGATTTCATTTTACATACCTATATTTCACTTTAATTATGTAATGGAAAATAGTGATATGAAAAGATATGACACCCTATAGCGATATATATAACAGTCTTAAAATTAGTTAATTTATAACAGTAATAATTATTTATCACTTACAATTTATAACATAACTCAAGCGCGTCGATGTTGGAACTAAACTCGAAACACAATTCGAATTGCTTATACAGCAAACAACATTCTTTCTAGAATGTTCTCAAGTGTTCAAGAGCGCTTCAGAATGTTCTCGAACAAACACGTCAAATTTCTCGGAAAGTTTACGGCACATTTGCTATCGTTGTTTATCACCGGCGACTAATATTTCATGGCGACTCACTTCTTTCCCCTCCAACTCCAATTATCTATGAAAGTACATGTCGTCTTGACGAATAACTTCGAAGGGTAGCGATGATATCATTGTCATGGCATGTGGTTCGGTAAACATGTAATTAATCCAAAACTAATGCTAGAACCCTGAAAAGAATTACATTTGTTCCCTTCGAACACCAAATTTAACCCACCTCCAATTAATAAGGGGGTTATTTAAAAATCAATGACAATAATACGGCAAAGGTTTAAAACTAGGTTTAAAGTCCAAATAAACCGAATATTCTACAAAAACCGCATAAAGTGACAGGTGGCTATGCAAATGGCGGCTAGTTACGTATTCAACAAATCCAACTTTATATCCTCCAAAATGAGAGAAACTCGATCCAACATAACTCGAGAATTACACAAAATCCAGTTAATAGTCACAAAACAACTACGCTTAATGTGAGGCCAACCAAAAGTGTTTTTAAGGAAAAAGGAAACAAAATGATAATAATTCACCACGAATCAAATAAGACATAATTAAAAATTACAGTGACCCTCAGACAAATTATACATGAGAAAATCAAAATGTTACATCTAATTGTGAAGACGATCACAACCATACGGTAATGAGATTATTGTCGAAAAAATATTGGTGACTGGAATAATATCGTCGCCGGATGATTGCTACAATTGCCAGGCAGACCCCCATGCTAGGAGGCTTTGTAAAATTAATGGCCCTTGACAATTTTCCTCTCCGGCATTGGAAGGTATACACGATTAGATTCTGCAAACATTTTTTATGGTTTTAAGTAGATTCTTAATAGAATTGGCGATTTGTAATTTTAAGGGGCTCTGGTTTCCGTGTGCATCGTGACTAGTGTTGGCTTAGGGAAGTTACTGGTGACAGTCTGTCTGGCGTTAGCGGGCGATAATACAATTTTAAAGGGGTTCACGTGCTCAGAATAGCCCATACGAGTCCATTGCAAGCATCAAACTTGCAACACTAACCAGCCGTGGGATTCGAGCGTTTTTGATTGGGGCTGAACGAATCCGTCTCGTTTATGGTTAAAGATGGCCGCGTTAACTAATTATCGTCATTTTGAGGCTAAAAAATAATGGTAGGGTTTAGTTCAGAAAGTACAGAATTAGAGCATTCGGTTTGAGACCGTTAAAGAGCTCACGTCGAGATTCCGTCATGTAACACGGAAAATTTACCGTTTTATTTTTTTGTACGCCAGTATTTCGCAAAGGCACGGTCCAACCGAACCTAAGCAAAGAAGGCATTTCGTTGAGCAAGTTTCTGAAAGCCTTAAAATCGTTTCCAGAGAATACTACATATAATATGGTGCTGTACTTTTTTTTTTATTTGTATAAAAATAATGATTGGTGCCCTTTAAGAAAATATTTATTTAACCGTATTAATTTAAAAATATTTCTTAATGTTATCGATCTATATGAACGGGCTGATTGGATTCACCTCGTGTAGTAGATACCGTTTATAAAAACTCTTCGACACTAACCTATTAAAGAGTCATAAAGCACAGAGTTAAGTAAACAGGCCATTAAGGCATAAAAAACACTTGTTAGAGGCTATAATGGACACTAAAGGGTTGTAGTGACCATTGCAAACTAACGGAGAGGAAGATACAATGACTCACAAATACTCCTAAACTCAAAGACTCCTACTGTGCGATCAAAAATGAGTTGCTGTCGAGTCACCTTGGAACTTTTGTTTACATGGAAAATCGTATTTAACTTGAACTTCCAAAGGCGACTCGACAGCAACTCATTTTTGATCGCCCGTTAAATGCTCTTATATGTTTTTAAATACTGGTAAGGTATTGTCTTTCTTTCTTTTTCTATGTATTTTTTGAGTGGAGTCGGTTGCAACGTGTCCCCCCCCCCTCCACCACAATTGTAATTCACCTAACTCCCACCCCGCTCTACTTTTACTCAGCGTTCGTAGTGCTACCTCTTTATGCATGACAAATTGTCCTTGTAAAAGTAGATACACCGAAATTACCAATCTACCTAAATAGTGCGACCTCATTTATACACTTACTTTGTCTTTATTTGGCACACACGACCAGATTTAAGCAAATATCGTTATCTCACTTGGCGTCAGTCAGACCATATCAGTATTCAAACTACTGTGGATACACTAAAACGTTATATTTTTTGTGTAGTGATCTTTTCAGATTGGCCTACAAGGAAAATAATGAAAAGAAATATGGTTCGTGTTTTCTTTGGTTGTATCGTGCTCCAGTGAGCGAATACTGGCAGTGACACCGTCCCATGAAAACCAAGCTGCATTCCAACCGCTATGGAAGGAGCTGTTATCGAAAGGACACCACATACCTATTTATAAATCTTGAAAGTCTACAAAACTATCCAGAAGTCTATAGAAGTTATATTGGGATTTTAAATTTAAGAATTCCGGAGTCACAAACAGTTTTAAAGAGTTTTCTGTGGACTTGAGTTTCCATATGTTGTTCAGAAGCTTCTCCGAGTATTTTGTAAGCTTTAGGAGCATTGATAAACTTCTAAGACTTCTAAGAGCCGAGGTTTTTAATAATCCTTGTGAACCTTTAAACCTTTAAGGATCTTTGGAATTCTTCAAGACTAGTAGATTTTTAAGTGGAGGACCAATAGCAAAGAATCCTACAGAATTAGATCCCACGCACCTGCTATTTCCCCTTGTGCTCCTGGCCCTTTCCTCCCGAGCAGTCTGGACCTTTCTGAAGTCAATTTAAATTACCTATCTCCCTACACTTTTCAATTATTGAAGGCGATCATTATGAGTCAGCGTCCACGTTTTGGGGTCTAGGGCACCGCATGGAAGGTATTGTTTCGACGAGGTCGAACTAATCTGTTTAAACAAAGCGAAGGTCGTCGCAATTAACAATGCAATTTTGGGTGAACCAAATACGAAAATTAATGGGAATTCACGTGCAAACGACGATCCAAGTTTCCACGCGACGCGTTCCAAATTTCGATTGAGAGAGACGATTAAGTGGTAGAGTATAAGTGCTAATTAGGTAGGTAATCTAGGGCGACGTCCTTAGCATTGACTATCGATCAATTATGCAGATATTGTTATCGGAATGGAAACAATGGCGACCTTAAAATGAAACTTCAATATCAATGGGCAGTTGGTGGAGTGGGGCTAATTTTAAAAAAACGTATATAAGCTAATTACGCCCAATTACGATATTGTACTGATTTTTGAACGCGTCAAAATGGAAATTGCTCTCTTACTGGTTATATCCACGTTTGTAGCCGGATTTTGGGCGATGAATAATTGTAAGTGTGGGTCACCTCATTTCTTTACTAATCAGCCTTTAGTCGCAGACGTACCGTGTGGTAGACGCAAGTTGGGCCGCGCCGCGAAGGTGGTCGGGGGTGAGAATGCCACAGAGGGCGAGTTCCCTTGGCTCGTCTCGCTGACGCGAAGAGGTGGGCATTTCTGTGGAGGATCACTGATAACCAAGACCCATGTGCTGACCGCCGGGCATTGTTTGTGCAGGTAAGTCCCTTGGCAGAAGTTCTGGAAGCCCACCATGGAATTCCTTAGTTCTTCTTGCATCTTCGAAGGAGTTCTGATAGTTAAAATTGGAGGTCTTAAACTCTTTTAAATTTAGATCTTGAGAAGATCCTCTAGAGATCTTCAGGACCCTAGCGATTTTCCAGGTGTTCTAGGCTTTTTCCAGATCCGTTCTGGATCTTCTAGGTGTCCGGTATCTCTAGGTAGGTAGTCTTTTTTCTGTGTCCCGTACCGTTTAGGACCGTACTGATTTTTCTAGATCATTTTAAACCTCTAAATCCTTTAGACCAGCTAGTGCTTCTTCAGATCCAGATGTATTAGGTGCTCTAGTTTTTCAAAATCAAACCTGTACTGTATAATCTTTGTTATTATTCTCAAAAGGAGTCGTCTCTTACCAGATCCTACTCAGACCGCGGCCTTATGGTTTATTGTACACCCCCTAGTATTACTCTTTTCCCTTAGGATATCAAAACTATTGAAGAATCCCTGAGAACCCAATCCTTGTGCCTTGACGGTTATATACCTCACGGGGTGGCACTGGGGGGTCAGGTGCGGATCGGCAAATGCGAGGTATGAGGATCCGTACACTAGCTCGTTCCTGCTCCTTCCCACAGACAGCCCTAGGACAACCCATTTTCGTTTACTCGCTCTTGCCTACTTACTTGTCATCTTCACCCGTTTTCGGGTTCCCTATGGCTTTGGAGATGACCCTGGTGATGCTCATAGACCTCCTCCAGCGTAGCCCAGCAAGTCTGGTCCATCCGTTCACCTAACTGGTGCCCTTTCCAGTGAACTACTAACTCTACTCCAGTGGTAACGCCGGGTTTGGGATAACCACGCGCTTAAGTATCTGTTCCGGTTTTTTTATGGGACGGCTCGAGGATCCGAAACCAAGCCCCTTCCGGAAGTGACCCTATCACTGTACGCGCTCATCCACTCTAATGTAGCCTTGCCGAACCAGGTGATATCCAAAGCCCCTCCGGATCAGTGCTGACGCCCAATGAAGAGGGGTACAACCATTCCCTCCTGGACCTGATCGATTTCCTTGAGGGTCCAGGTCTCAGTACGCCCTGCCAAGCACAACTTCCTGGTTTTGATGGATAAACGTCATCCGGAAGCTTGTAACAGCCGCATCGATAAAAATCTTGGCTTTTTAGTCTTTTAACCCTCCGGCGTAGCGATCTTACACGTCTCCACTGAGATGAGCTTTTTGGTTGGTGTATAACAGGGATTACATTTCAGGGGGGGCCACTCCAATCTAAAAATCATGAAACTCCCACTATTCAAATTTTTTATTACTGATTATTGGACTTGCAATGGAAAAGTCCTTTTAAACGTTTCTATACAAAATGTTTGGCTCGCGTTTGTTAAGAATGTTTCTAGTTGTTTAAACTTCGAGATTCTACTCATCAAATTTTTTTAAGAACGCGGTCCGTATTGAATACAAATACAAAAATACAATTTACCTTACTCATATGGCATCTAAATCTACCCTTTGAGCAGTTCAACCTTAGAAAACTGGATCCCCCTCGATGTAGGGTTCGTAGAATGGAACCAAAAATAGCCAACGTTAACCTCTGAGTCATAGAGGGAGGTGGGTCCATTGCTGTGAAATCCAAAGGAATGTCGATATGGCGTAATCCAATGACCGAGTTAATTTGAAACGTATTAATTGCACCCAAAAGTGCGCTTGCGAACTTTACTCTTATTCAAACTACTCGCGTAAAATCTCTCGAGAACCAAACGAACGCGACGATATATAGTCGCAAAATACCTTTTAATTTCTTCCTCCCATGAGCATCCCTACTTTTTCCAATTTGGAAAAACCACTCACAACTGGCGCTAATTAGGAAAATCGTTAATTATTATTGAATTGAATTCGTTTAGACCAACGAATTACGCGCACCAACAGCCGTTTGCAAATTGAGCCCCCCTCTCCATGGTCTCATTCCGCATCATCTTGACTTAGCGATATTGAGTACGTAAAACCTATTAATATTGTATTATCGCTAGCTAACGCCCGACCGACTGTCGCTAGTTCTTCTCTACGCCATTAATTGGTCATGATGCATACGGAAACCAAGGACTCATAAAATTATTGATTGCCAATTTTATAAAAACCCAAAAAACTCTAAAGGACCCCCCGTTGCAGGGACTGGCTTGACATTGCCCTTCCCACCTGTTTGCTTGTTGAGCAGCTTTTTTTTCTTAAAGTTCAATATAGAAGGTTTTCTCGGTCCCGGAGCACGCAGTCGTTCAGCCGAGTTCATCTTCGAGCCCTCCCTGTAAACTTTAGATCATTTACTTCTAGACCTAGATACGCTATATCTAGTAGATCATTGAGTTCTTCTAGATGGTCTAACGGGGTTGAAATTTTCCAAATTCATAGATCCTTCGCGTGCCCGGTTTGTGTTTGCAATTCTGGCACACTCGCACCACCATACGTTCTTTAATAGCAGCATACTCTGTTCAACTAAATGAGGAGGCCAAAATAAACAATTAATCCAAAACTCCATTTGCAGCGGATCGTCTCCCATACCGACAAACCAAATTAGAGTGACTGTAGCCCAGCACGACTTGGTCCTTCCATCGCCTTACAAGTACGAACGGTCGGTACATTCGGCAATCCTACACCCAGAATACATCTGCAATAAGGTAAAGAATGACTTAGCCATCTTGGAACTGGAAAAGGAGCTGGAATGGTCAGACCGTGTTCTTCCCGCTTGTTTACCCGAAACAACTGGCGGTAAGCAACTGGACGACGTTTTGGCGACCGTCGCAGGCTGGGGATGGACGAATGAGAACAACCAGTTGGGTGGTAGAGCGGACACGCTGCAAAAGGCGACGGTGAACATACTCAAAATGGAAACGTGTCGTGCGTGGTACAAGTCACAGGGCAAAAAGACCAAAATCCATGACACGCAAATATGCGCCGGCTACGAACAGGGAGGAATTGACTCCTGTTGGGTGAGTGATTTGAAAATATTACGCGGTTATCAAGTTTTTTGTAGGCCGATAGCGGGGGTCCACTAATGGTGACTACTAACTCCGGGGAGCAAATGGTCGTCGGTGTAGTATCTACCGGTATTGGATGCGCAAGACCTCTTTTACCAGGATTATACACGCGCGTCTCCGACTTTATCCCATGGATCGAGTCGGTGGTTAAGAAATGATTATCCATCTCTGGAGGTGAAGATCTGTGATATGATGGTGTAGGTACCTACCTCAACATTTGTTCTAGTCATATTTATTATTAATTTATTTATGGTTAGAGATAGGGGATTGAGTAAAGATTTGACGAAATGCAAGTGTAAGTTTCACCTTATCTGGTTTGCACAAACAGAATACAATAAGCATCGACACGATCAGGTAGCTAACCATACATAAAAATGAGCTCTTGACCATGATGTTCATGATCCTTAATCTTAAAATTAAACTTTTACTCGAAATACTACGCATAATACCTCCGCAGCTCACTACTTTATCAATGATCCGGAATGACCCGTCGTCCTCACGTAATTTCTTACTAATTAATGAACGCTTACAAAATGGCTTCTTATTAACAAAATCGGACATCTTTAATTTTGATTCGTTTGCTTCATTCCCTAATTAAGATAACTGAATATTATGATCCAAAGTCCCGACATCTCGTCACCAGACATCCGGAAAACATTAAGAAAACAATGCTCTACAGAAATTCAAACATGGAAAAGGGGCAACTTTGCATTTCACTAAATGCTTACATATTTATTCTTACAATCCAATAATTTATTGGCCCTCTAAATTTCGACACCCCGTAATTTTTTATGATATATAATACCTAACCTGCTCTAACCCTGGAAATTAAAAAAAAACATCAACTTATCAAACCTATCTCTATAGAATTCGAAGAAAAATTAGGTACAAATTGTGAAGCTACCGTTACACCTGTGGGTATCCTTTAGAGCTCCATTGGTATTCCTTTAAAAAGTTCTAAGCCGTTTTATAGAATTGTTGCAGAAATTCTTGAACCACCCCAAAATCGAAAAAAAAACTTTCATATGGTTGCAGCATAGATCACACCACACATTGTTGGTCGCAGATTTACAGAGGAAAAATCATTTTCCATTAGATTCTGAGTAAGCAGTCAATTCCGGGCTCAGTGGCAAAAAGCAACGAAAGTCCAGGGTCTTTTTAACAGGGTCCCTTGGCAAAGCTACAAAAACTGAATAGAAGCCAGATTATTAAGATCCTTACGGGGCCCTGGATGGTCATCAGCTATCATCTGCATGGCATTGGGTCTGTGAAAGAGCCCACGTGCAGATTCTGTGGCGAGTTAGATGAAACTACCGAGCATCTGGTCTGTTAGTGTGACGGGGTTCTCTAATCTAATGTTTCTCTATACGAGTGGTTTAACTGTTTCCGTAGAGCAAGTAGCTCATACAGGGCCATTCTTCGCTGTATCTGTTGCCTGCTCGGATCGCAACTCTTGGCATCTTTGCAATACTAGAAGGAGGTCCTCTAATTAACCTCAATGTGCAATAATAGACTTTAAGACGAATACTCACTACCTGGCGTTCTCGCATGTACGTTTTGTGTTAAATTATGGTAGCCGAGGCTGTAGGAATAGAGCTCCTCTATCGGAGCTGGGTACTGCTCGCGAGCGTTTCGCTCGAAAAAGCGCTTGCGAGCGGAGCACTTTTCGAAGCGGCCTCTTGGTGCTTGATACTCGAGCGTTTACTTAAAGTGCTCGGCGTTCGAGCGCTTTTTTTCTGCCCGCGAGCGGTTATTCCGCTCATGAGCGTTTTTTTTCCGATCACAAGCGCTTTTTTCGCTCGCTCGCTCTTATTCCGTTCGGAACTCGCAAGTGGTTTCGCTTTGCAAAACGACTCGATGCTCGCGAGCAATTTTGAGAAAATTAGAGCGCTCGTCGTTCGTCGATCGAGCGGTTTTTTAGAACGCTCGACTCAGCTCTGCCCTCTATTTTGATGTTTTTATTTAACTACATGCAATTTACCATTTTAAGAGTTGTTTGCGAATTGTGTCAATTGAACCGTACGTGTGTTTTGTACTTGATCTCATTTATCGTGTTTTTTACTTGGTTTATGATGTCTCTTGTGTTTCGTTCTTGTTGATTTAACCGCATTTTACTCGATAGCAGATGTTTTTTGTAGATTTTGAGACATTTCCTTTGTGTAATTCTCTTTTGCATTTTGTTGTATAGTTGATTTATTTCGTGTATTGGTGTGAGTTGTGCCAGGTTTTTTGTCTATAAAAGGTTTTCCCGTAATATATTCTATATTTGTTTAATTTCATTTATTTGTTTACTTAATTTATTACCTATCCCTCTCTTGTTCTGGGCACAAAAAATTCTGCAATTCCCTTCCCAAGTACGTCACCGGCGTGAAGTTACCCCCCCCCCCCACATTTTCATTGCAATCGTTTGTTGGCGTTTGTTAGCTATATTTTTACAGTTGTTGGTTGATCGTTACTGAATTATTGAAAATTCACAAATTTGGGCGTATAGTTAACCCCCCACTTTTTGAATTTTCAAAATATTTTTATTGCAATCGATTGTTTCTTTATTGTTTGTTTAATTATTCAAATTTCAAGAATTTACGCATATAATTAGCCCCACTTTTTAAATTTTTCAATTATTTTTATCAATCGTTTGTTGCCCGTTTGATGGTGTTGTTTAGTTAGGTACATTTTTACGTTTGTTGGTTGATCGTTATTAAATTATTCAAAATTCAACAAATTGGGGGTATAGTTAGCCACGCCACCTTTGAATTTTAGAATTATCTGCATTGCAATCGTTTGTTGAGGGTTGGTTGTTGGTAGTTCGTACAATTAAAGATTAAGGATAGCCCCTATACTTCCTAATCCCTAATGATTTATGTGAATTATCTAAAATAAATCCCAAAGTCCTATATTGTACAGATACAGACAGAAATACTTCATTTTCTTCTTCTTTGGTCACATCTAGGGAATAAGGGAATGCTATACCGGGATCGCTTGGGACCCGCAGCAATTTTGCGGGATTAATCCCGTACGGAAATGGAGCCGGATCCCGCGGGATTGTCAAATTAATCAACCAAGCTTACCACGGGCAAGAAGTTGTTTAAAATTCATTAATAAAACGCGTAACGGAGAAGTGAAGATATGTACAGGTCATTTCGTACTTTTTTGGTGTTGCGGTTCATGCAATAATTACGCACTAACTTGTATATATGTTATTAACTTTGTTAAACAGCTAAGAGTGCGCAAATCTGTCTTATTTTGCAACTGTTTTAAACGTAGGTGCCGTTATTCCTATAGACAACATGTTTAACTCGTCGATTGTTTATAAAGACTTTAGCAGTAAAAGTGGCTGTACAGAAATATTGTAGTGAATATTCTAGAAATCCAGAGGAACATGGAGACACTATTACAGATTAGTCACCAACGATATGAAGCGAAGACGACTGTGACGCATTCTTTCCGGGATATACGACGTGTTTTGTTCGAGAATACATTTAAGATTTTGGGGGGTCGAAATTTTGCTGCGGGATTGCAATGTCGCACCCATTCACTTAAGGGTCTAGGACACTTCGCCGAATGGATTTTTTGATGGTCCATATCGCCAACTAGGAACACTACGCCGACGGACACTATCCCGATTGTGCCCACATCTTTGCAATAAAAATATTTTGAAAATTCAAAAATTATACCTACGCCCAAATTTTGAAATTTGAACAATTTAATAACATTGTTTATCACCATCTTATCATAAATAATTATCGCATTAGCTCATAGGCAGCAGGAGTCTTACGCAATGAAACAACGTTAAAGTATGTGAGCATTTAATTGTCATAAGACTTAACAATATACAAGTACGAGATGAACTGACATACATGCTATATTGACTGGATAAACCAATAATAATGCACATTCAGCATTCATACTCTTACAACAAAAGGAAATTCGTTCGCCCTCCTCCCCCCCTAACAAATAGAATGAATGCATTATCTAGGAAATCTGACACACATTATAATAATCACGGTTATGAAAAATGGAGCGTAATTAAGAACAAAATCAATTATATAAACTCTAGACTATTTTAAATACAATGGCAGATTGTATGAATTAAAAGGCACTTTACACATCTAATAATTATTATTATTATTACATTGGCAAAACTGGAAGGTTTGAGTTTCATAATTATTTATGTTACATATGTACATTAATTTATTTATCTTCGTTAACTTAACATTAAATGTATATAAGCTCGGGTTGTTCGACAAATACAACTAGAAGGATCTAAAGATGATTGTTTCTTTATCTACACTTAGCTACAACTTGAAAATTGTTTACCGCACGCGCGAGGCTTTTTTTTCAAATTCTCGTAGTACCCTATTGTTCCGTTAAAACTCTGGAAAATGGAGCGGTAAAGAAAAATGAGAAAAATAAATCAAAATTTATTATTTAAAAAAAAAATTAAAATACACTTTATGTACATAAAGAAAACGAAACCTATATACAAAAAAAGAAACTAAGAAAGCAAATACAGCGAAAATTAACTTTGGTTGTCATTTGGACTAGTAAGATATACAAACATTAATCATATTAATAACTTAAGTGAACTTAAACAATAATAGGTCCCTAAGTTTGTAATCGGAGGTTCTTATAATTAGGTACAAAAAACTGTAACAGTAACAAAGAACGCGCGAAAATTATATCTACAAGATCACAAATTCGTGGAAAATCCGATCGCTCACTCGCACTAAACAATCTGCAAAAGTATAAAAATAAAAACGGAAAAATTACAAAAATATTCTCTAAAATGTACCCTCAATAATTTAGTGGTGGGAGCCAAATTCGTAAAGCGGCCCGACAACTTAACAACTATATAACGACATTTAACAACTGTCAACATTATTTAAATATTAAAATAGTCTCAATCTTGTATAATTTCACAGTGATGCACTGTTTTAATTCAGTCCGTCCGTACGTATTGCATCTGTCTAAGTTTAAATCACAATAACAACGAGTATTTTTGATTCGTTAATGAAACACAAAAAGGAAAAATATCACGTTCGATGTTTGCACTTCTACACTTATAAGACGTAGAGGATGTCCTCCATGTCTCAGACAAGATGTCCCTCCTGCTCGCTCACACCGTAACCGTTACCGAAACTGCTCAGCTCCTTCTTTTGATTTAACGTTTGAGCTTGGAGTATCTGCATGTTTTGATTTGTGTTGTGAAGAACGTCGGGCGGGACGGCTACGCGCTGGTGGCGGACGAGGGAGCCGTTCGCCGGCAAGGGCGGCGGGGACGGCGTGTGGGTGTGCGTCAGGTGAGGGTGCATCGGTATCGGTGGCGGATTTTGGAAGTCCAAAGGCGGAGGGTACGAAAGGTAGCGATCCGACATGTTGTAATAGGAACCGTCGGCAGGCGGCGCTGGTGATGGCGCGCTGATGTACGATGATTTCGCTATAAACGAAACTCACCCTCAGATTTGGTTAGTATGGGGTTAGTGGTGCGTACCTGACATGCTTCCCGGTGGGTAGGCCAGACTTTGATCATCTCTAGCGCGCGGCCTCTCGTGCATGTGTTGGTGATGGTGAGGATGCGGAAGCGTGTGGGTTTTGTGGACCATGTTCGGCTGCAACTGCATTTCGAACCTGGTGAAACCAGTGTAAGGGGAGGGTTGGTCCTGTACATCCATTAGGTAGGTGCTAGCGGCTTGCTTGCGGCCCTCATCCTTAAAAATGAAAACAATAACGGCCATTCGGCGACGCCACAATCAAACTTACCACATAATCAACGTTACTGCCTTCGTTACTGTAAGTCTCACTCCTCTCACTAACGGACGATAAAGTCTCACCGGTCACAGTGTCATTGTAGCTATTCGGGGCGTACATTTCAATGGTAGCAGATTTACTCGTCTGGTTCGCTTGTTCTAAAAAGGTTTTACATTTGAAACAGTGTAAATTGAGAGAATTGGAGAAGTTGGCAAAAACTTGTGCTTCAAGCAACATAATTCTAATACTCTTTGTACTTCTGTAATGAAGAACCCGTTTCAGCCGTCGCTACCATATAATAACGCTGCAGTTCATTCGCCGTTTGTAACCGTTCCCGTCTACACACTTCGATTATCTTTGTTGCATTCGAAAGTTCGTGTCATTTGGAAGACGACAAATTAATATTTTAAAATTTTCTTATGGTAATTTAAAACGAGGTTGATGCCGTTATCAGGTTGATAAGCGTCCTTTATGCCGACCTGAGAAATTCCAATTAACAATAAGTGTTAGTTGGACTACCGATTTTACAAATTTGAATCCGGTCAATTAAATAAGTGAAATTAATAGTAGCTAAATAAATGTGTTTCAACGTCATTCCACCTAGTCGTGTGGGGTATCAAAAGAAGCGCTCTTAAATGATTTGAATTTTGGGCCCAATTACCGATTTTCAGGACGTGAGCAGGCCGCTCAATGAATTAACAAAGTTTGATAGTATTAACCGAATACCACGGCGACAGCCTTTTGCACTTACGCAAACTCGGTTTTGTAAGTATCATAATTTTCTGCTTTTCCGTAGATTTGTTTAATTTATGCTTTTACATTAAGTTTAGCGCACCGTTTGCTTTTTATTGGACAGTAATTTCTACCGCTCCACTTAATTCCATTAAGGGAGGGATATTGTTTCGCTCTCCCGAATTTGCTTTCCCGTAGATACCGCTACCGAATCCCGCCACACAGAGCATTAAAATTACGTTTCGTAGCTCTAATTAAACTTTTGCCAACTTCAACTTTGCTAGATGGAACAGAACAAACCTCTGGATCGTCTAGCCTTAATGTACAGGCATCCGACAATGATGCCGACATTAATGAGAACGAGAAGGATTAACACCGACGAAATCATGACGTAATTTTGATTAGCGTCCTGTTTGTTTAAAAATCCATCGGGCGAAACCTTTTCGGACGACTCGAACGGTAACGCTAAGAGAAGAGAACACAAACATTTAATTACCTGCAATTCTCTTTTTTGATCTTCTATGCAAGCAACAGCCGATTACTAAGACATTCGATACAATTAAAGCGGTCGCTACAATAGTCCCAATTATTATAAGCAGTCCGGGGAAGTCTTTGAAGCCGCGCTCGTCGGAACTTGGAGAGGTGTAATGCGGAGGTATTTGATCTAATTTAAGGAAGAAGAGTTAGTAACTACTGGCGGTGCAAAAGGTATGTAAACTGAGGCGTAGATAATTTTTTTTTACCACTGCGCCTCGACCAATCGAAGCGCGGTGGTAAATACTACTTTCAATTACAAAAAAGTAATGCCATCCGGGTCTACATACTTTTGCGACGAGTACCCATCCCCATAAGTAAGTGAGCCCATAACCAGCAAGAAAACCTAACGTACTTGTAGTGCGCGCCATCGTAATGTCTGGAAGATACTTGCTGCTCCCCAGCTTGTTGGAGGCCATGATGGAGAAGACGTATGCCGTGTCCGGCTCCAGCTTGCCGATGGTAAACTGGGTCGAGTTCGACAGGATGTCTTCGTACTTATAACGGTCGGTATCCAGAGTCCGGTAGCGTATCTGGTAGCTAGCCTTCATGCCACCGTCAAAACCGGGCACCCAAGAAACCACGACGGAGTTGTGGGTGACGTTCACGATCGAGAGAATGCTGGGAGCGTCCGGTGCCGAGGTCACTTCCAGCCTGGGCGACACCGTCGCGAAACCCAGCTCGTTCTTCGCGACGCATTCGTAGTTCCCATAATCTGCCGAAGTCACGTGGGTTATCAGGAGGACCGATTCGGAGACCATGCTGTCTATCTGCCGATACGTGACGTAGTATTTCCCTGTCGTGTTCGTGCGTAGCGGGCTACCGGAACGCGCCCAGGAGTAGCGGGCCAACGGTGACGATTGACTTCTGCAAGTCAAGCGGCCGGTATCGCCGGCGTCGCTCGCGAACTTCATAAGGGACGGTGATTGATCTATTTCCGGTTTATCTGAAAAATAATTCGTTTAATATCGCGCTAAAACTTCAATTTGCGTATTTCCTATCCGCAAAACTTGCTTATCTTGAAACTAATTAGCCTATACGCAGCGATCACAAATTTCTTACAGCAACGACCGGCTTTAAATGATAAAACTCTAATAAAACAACATTTCCAAATGTCTCCAATACAAATCAAACTACTACGCAATTATTTAAACAAAATTACACATCGTTGGCCACAACCCGAACTTCTCAAAGATAAACTTTCTGGCAGAACTGGGCAGAATACTTTAAAAAAGTATTTGAATACTAAATAGTAAATACTTTACACAAATCAAAGGTATTTGAATACTAAATACTTTTACGTCCAGCACAAGCGAATACTAGATACAGATACATTGAAAAGTATTCAAATACTTAAAAAAATAAGTATTCAAATACTTTAGATTTTTAGAATGTATTCGAATACTTTCAAAGGTATTCGAATACTTTCAAAAGTATTCTAATACTATCAAAGGTATTCGAATACTATCAAAGGTATTCGAATACTATAAAAAGTATTCGAATTTCTTATAGAATGTGGCCTGTAGAATCCATAATTTCAAACAGTTCCAAGATTGGGCTACTGATTCAAAAGTTACAGCCCTTTGAATTTTCTTTCGAAATTGGTTTCTAGTCTATAACTTTTGATTGAGAAGTCTGATCGAAAAAGTACGAATTGTTTTGAATTCTACGCACCAAAATTAATAAGAAAAAGTGTTTTCCCGAGAAATTTTGGTGCAGTCGATTTTTGGTAAAAAAGGAAGGTTATACACTGCCTGTTTTTGAGCCCCGAAAAAAAAATGTCGCAGATCGACCCGGAAAAAAATTGTCTTATAGAATGTGGCCTGTAGAATCCATAATTTCAAACAGTTCCAAGATTGGGCTACTAGTTCAAAAGTTAAAGCCCTTTGAATTTTCTTTCGAAATTGGTTTCTAGTCTATAACTTTTGATTGAGAAGTCTGATCGAAAAAGTACGAATTGTTTTGGATTCTATACATACCAAAATTAGTAAGAAAAAGTGTTTTCCCGAGAAATTTTGGTGCAGTCGCTTTGGTAAAAAGGCAGGTAATACACTGCCTTTTTTTGAGTCCCGAAAAAAAAATTGTCTCAGATCGACCCGAAAAAAAAATTTTCTTATAGAATGTGGCCTGTAGAATCCACAATTTCAAACAGTTCCAAGATTGGGCTACTAGTTCATAAGTTACAGCCCTTTGAATCTTTTTTCGAAATTAGTTTCTAGTCTATAACTTTTGATTGAGAAGTCTGATCGAAAAAGTACGAATTGTTTTGGATTCTACGCACCAAAATTAGTAAGAAAAAGTGTTTTCCCGAGAAATTTTGGTATAGTCGATTTTTGAGGCCCGAAAAAAAAATTGTCTCAGATCGACCCGAAAAAAAAAATTTTTCTTATAGAATGTGGCCTGTAGAATCCACAAATTCAAACAGTTCCAAGATTGGGTTACTAGTTCAAAAGTTACAGCCCTTTGAATTTTCTTTCGAAATTGGTTTCTAGTCTATAACTTTTGATTGAGAAGTCTGATCGAAAAAGCACGAATTGTTTTGGATTCTACGCACCAAAATTAATAAGAAAAAGTGTTTTCCCGAGAAATTTTGGTGCAGTCGATTTTTGGTAAAAAAGGAAGGTTATACATGCCTTTTTTTGAGGCTCGAAAAAAAAATTGTCTCAGATCGACCCGGAAAAAAAATTTTCTTATAGAATGTGGCCTGTAGAATCCATAATTTCAAACAGTTCCAAGATTGGGCTACTAGTCCAAAAGTTACAGCCCTTTGAATTTTCTTTCGAAATTGGTTTCTAGTCCATAACTTTTGATTGAGAAGTCTGATCGAAAAAGTACGACTTGTTTTGGATTCTACGCACCAAAATTAATATAAAAAAGAGTTTTCCCGAGAAATTTTGGTGTAGTCAATTTTCTGTAAAAAAGGAATGTTATACACTGTCTTTTTTTGAGGCCCGAAAAAAAAATTGTCTCAGATCGATCCGGAAAAAAATTTTCTTATAGAATGTGGCCTGTAGGATCAATAATTTCAAACAGTTCCAAAATTGGGCTACTGCTCAATTGTAATCTTACAATTTGGACAATGGACTGTGCAGTTTTATGTCGGCTGTCTAAAAAAACCCTACTGAGATAAGATTACCTACTCTTATTATCTATGACTTTCTGAAACCCACGTCTTCCGGAAGGCATTATTAGAACAACACTATAGAATTTAAATACGCAGAATAAAAACTAAGTAGCTTTAATCCAAGCGCTCGTTAGCTTTTATATTGAAGACTGTACTTACGTTTAACAATCAGCAGGACGTCACGAACAGTCGCATTTCCAATGCCATTATTAGCAACGCACTGAAAGTGACCCAAATCCTCTCGAGTAACCGCCGTTATCCTCAGGTACGAAGTGCCATTTTTGTCGTACATAATCGACGTGCGGGCGTCGAAATCGGGAAAGTCGCTCCGTCGCCACACGATCGAATCGTCGCGCAATGGGTTCCCGTCGACCGAACAGGAGAGGGTCGCGTCCTCCTGCGAGTTCGCGATGACGTTTTCGCTGATCGAGGTGATCGTGGCGGAATCTACGAGCGAAACGTCAGTGAGGGGTGCTTGCGCCGTCGAGTGCCACTTACATTCGACGCTAATGTTGAGGTTCATCACTGAGCTGCCTTGCGAATTTAAAGCCTCGCAGGTGTACGTTCCTCCGTCGTGGCGACTCAGCTTGGTGATATTGAGGACGGAGCCGTCGGAAATAATCCGCTCCAGTCCCGTACCGGTCGAGGCCTGGGCGATGGGTAAACCATCCTTGGTCCAGGTGTACGCGATGTTCCCGGGATTGCCGTCGGCTTTGAGCGAGATGATCAGAGGCTCGTTTTCGATGCCGGTCACGGACTCCTCGTTAGTCTTATCAAACATGGGCTTATCTAAAGCAAGGCGTTACGCTAGAAACACTCGGGAGTGAGTACTTACAAAGAACTTTGAGGGTGATGGCGTCGTGCACGGACTGCTGTAGCGCTTCGTTGGTGGCCTGGCACGTGTAGACGATGCCGTTGAGCTGCTCGCTTACGTTCAGCTTCATCTCGATCGTGGAGACTTTTCCTCCGTGCAAACCCGCCTTGGAGGTGTTGTAAAGGCCGTCGACTGGAATTCCCTCTCGCCACCAAGAAAGCCGCGCCGGAGGGTTGCTCGAGCTCGAATCGCAGATTAGGGTCGCCTCGATTCCCGGTTTCAACTCGGGCGGCTCCCTGCGGATCTTAACATGTTCGGGTGGAACTACGGAGGGGCGAAGTTAGAGCGGTTCGATTTGGGGGTGCACTTACAGTAGACGCTCATTGTGATTGTTTCGAAAAGCGGTATTTCTGTCGCGGAATTCGCAGCCTCGCATCGGTAACGGGCGTCGTTGTCGGTGACGTTGGTGAGGATCTCGACCTCGGCCGTAACTGATTTGTCCGTCGTCTTCACTTTGGAGTTTATCTTTTTGTCGTTTTTGTACCACGTTATCGTCGCCAGAGGGTTGCCGCCGGATGACGTGCAGGAGATCTTTTGGGTGGTGCCGGCTGGAATGTTCGTTCCCTTGGTGTACCCGTGTATGAAGGGTTGGCTCGGTGGATCTACAGCGAGATGGGTGGGTAAGGTGGTGGGGGGTGAGGAGTGCCTTCACTTACATAAGACGTTAATCGTGTGAGTAGACACCACGTTCTCGGTCAGTTGCATGTTTAGACCGTGACAGATGACGACCAGGCTTTTCCTGTTGGGTTCGACTATTGCAGTGATGTTCGAGGTGGTGATCCACCCGCCTTCGGGCGAAACCATGGTACGTGAGGTGGCATTTCTGACCTGTCGACCGGCGACCATCCACTTGATGTCGGCTGCAGGATTGCTATTGGCTGTCGAGCAAGTTAGCGGTACCGGATCTCCCACTCTTGCTTCGGTAGGACCGGATATGGTGACGTGAGCCGGCGAGACTGCGTACAACCGAATTATATGCGACTCAACTACGCTTTTTTATACTTACAGTAAACCGTTAAATCGACCTGAGCTTTGAGCGGCTTGGAAGACATCACGTTACTAGCCTCACATTTGTATCTGTAACAAGTATGCTTTTTACAAACACCCTGTATACACTTTATCGGCTGTTAGGAGTCCTTTTAAAACTTTTATTGTCGCAAATGGTTTCTAAGAGCTCTAAAAGCCTTCAAAAATTGATGAGCCTTTAAGGCCATTAAGAAGCACTTGAGTTTTAAAAGTCTTTAAGAGCTCTAAGGGTCGCCTTCAGTTTCGTTGAGTCGCTGGCTTCGACCTTTGAAACGCTATGGTGCCTAATGAGGGTAGTTTAGAGAACACCTCATGTCCCTTACCTCGCCTTGTCATCGCTTGCATCCGCTGTAAATGTGTAAACGTTCTCAGATACTCGACCGGCCGTTCGGTACGCCATTCGTATTTGCTCGCCGTTCTTGTACCAAATCAGCTGCGCCGGAGGATTTCCCCCTCTACTCTTACAGACGAGCTCAACCGTCTGCCCTCGCCTAATCGTCTCGCCCTCCGTGTAGCCCTCGATATACGGCGGACCGGGCGGATCTGCGAACACAAGCGATCAGCTCTACTTTCGCATTGACCGATCATACTCACATAAAACGCTCAGATGTACCGTCGTACGCATCGGCAGATCGAGCGAAAGTCCCTCGTGCCGCGCCTCGCACGTGTACTCGGCGTAATCGTCTTCGGCCGTCGGCTTCAGCGATATTCGCGAGTTGGTATCGAATCTGACCGCCTTTTTATTACCGGACTTCGAGACCACCTCGATCGTTTGATCTTCGCGATTAGCTGCAAACGAAAGGACTGAAAATGGGTAGAGCGGGCGGATACTTACGGATATTGAGCTCGATATTTCCGCGGTACCAGACGATTTTGGCGGCCGGTTTCGCGTTTTTAACTCGACACTCCAGGTGGAATTCTTGGTTCTCCCTTATCTCAATTTTGGAATTTGCTGGATGGTCCAGTATTTCTATCGAAGAAGGAGGTGCTGAAATGAAAACAAGCATTAGTAATGGAAATTATGCAAATGGTTTCCATATTAGCCGCTATTAACAGAAATTAGAAATAATAGGTACGGAAGAAGATAAACTGAAAATTGGAAATTAGAAACCTGACCCACTATGGGTGCTTGTAACTAGAAAACAGGACCCGGTAACTGGGAAAACGGGACATAAAGCTTGGGCTTTACTTGAAATAAAGCTAGAAATTGAAAAGCTGCAATTGGGTTGAACAAAATTACCTGGAAACATGAAACTGTGGTCTAGAACTGGAAACTGAAACGGGAAACTGCGGAGGTGGACAGAGGAAATGCTAAGAAGAAACCTGAAATAAACCTCGCGTTACCTGAAGCAGACCATAATACCAAGAGACTTCAAATCATTTCGTGAGCAAGAAACTGCAACGATATCCTAAGGAAACCTCACAAAAATCTTAGAAAGTTCAAGATATTGGTCCTTCCGACATGCTTCAGCTTTCTTTTAGGTCCTTCGAATACTTTACCTGCTGCGGATTCTTCAGCTTCTTCAGAATCGTTGGACTTTGATTAGCATCGACTTTCATTGTTTAATGAAAAACAACGTGGTACAGTTTGGGTCGAAAACTACCCCTTACATTGTATTGCGTAGGTAAAGCCGGGTATAATCAGTTCATTAAAAGCATTACGCGCCCGCAATAGTCGCGGTCATCCCCCATTTAACGCTAAGAAGACAAACAATGGAGGAAACGTAATGCCGAAGGCGCTTATTTGATTAATCAGGTATTTTAGGACGAGGGAAAATTTATTAAAGGACGAGGCGCGCGTGTTAATTTTGCGACTGCCCGATGTTTTGAGCCAATATTTATCTTTTGCCGCTTCTGTCGATATGGCATAACCGCGGCCAGATGCTATACGTGCCCGAAATCTAAAATCGCCCGCTGTATTAGTTTAGATAAACTCTACGCCGCAATATCGTCCTTACAAAACGCATGGCCCGCCGAGGGCACTAATTGAATTAGACCTGGTGCAGGTCCTTTGGACGTGATGAAACTTGCAACGATAATGTAGGTTATCAGTGCCTTGGTGATAGGCTAACAATTCGGGAACGTCCATGTATTTGAAGCTGAATTAATAATTGTTCCTGTCGCGTCGGGATGTATTAAAGGGTTGGCGGTGGTCCAGACGTTAGTCTAGGCACGTTTTCGGTCATCTGCGATGTCACTTTATTAGCTCCAGATTCTGTCCGAATCTATTCCAGATGTGCTCAATCGACGATTCTTCTGGCAGGGACAATGGTCATTAATCAAGGCGTCGTGCTGAACGCCACCCCCCGCGAGAAGAAGAATTTACGTTACGAGGGCGTTTTAACGTAACGCGCATTACAATGTTTATGTTTTTTTGTTTATGGCATCATACGCACCGGAATGGGGCAGTTAAGGGAGAAATTTTGTAAACGGCTCTATAATACAGACTCCGCCTTTACGAGGTTAGCGCCTGTCTCGTTATATAAAGGATCATAACGAGATATAATAACCGGAAGTCGTTGAAAAATTAATTAACAGGCAGGTACAATGCTGTTTTAAACAGGGCCGGAGTGGACGGAAATTTCGGTGGGCCATTCTTGTCTATTAAAGGTTAAAGCGTCTCTGAAAACTATTGGGACTCTAGAAGTCCCGGGATGCGACTCCTGGAGACTGTGAAGACCATGCCAATAACAGCAATTAAACTCTTAAAGACTTTAGTGCGCTCACTGAAAACCATTACAAATTTCTTGAAGGCTCTCTGGTTTTTTTACACATTTAGAGACCCTTGAGCTCATAAAGGCCCTTCAAGTCTTGAAATCACTCGTAAACGCTATTTAAAGGCTGTAGCAATCATTGACTTTACACCTGAAATGACCGTTGCCTTTGGGAAAAATGTAATCAGTTCCTCCTGAGCTGGGGGGTTTTCCATACCTCCCAGACCCCCCGGTGCTACATTCTCCTCTAAAATATTTAGAACGACCAGTGTGGTTATGCATATTTTCTAGGGAAGGCCGTTAGGTTTCTCTTTTCTGAGATATATTGTGTACACGAGAGTTTTGGGGGGAACGTAGAACCGGGGAGTCTGGGGAGTATGGAATACCACCCAGCACAAGAGGCATCGATTACCTCTTTCAAAAACGACCATGATCATTGGCTTTGGGAGGGGAGGGAGGTATTCCATACCCCCACGCCCCTTACTGCTACATTCCCTTCAAAAATGGTTAGAACGATAAGTGTGATTATGAGGAGGCATCGATTACCTCTTCTCGAAAGAGCTACCATGACCGTTCCGTTTGGGACAAAGGTAATCAGCTCCTGACGGGCTGGAAAAGAGGGGAACACTCCCCGGTGCTTCATTCCCTCCCAACATATTTAGAACGATCAGTGTGACTATAATAATTTTCTAGAGAATGCCGTTAGGTTTCTTTTTTCTGAGATACCTATATTCTATACACGAGAGTTTTAGGGGGAACGTAGAACAGGAGAGTCTGGGGAGTATGGAATACCACCCACCACAAGAGGCATCGATTACCTTTTCTCGAAAGCTACCATGACCATTGGCTTTGGGAAATGGTAATCAGTTTCTCCTGCGCAGAGGGAGGGGGGGGGGTATTCCAAACCCCCATGCCCCTTGTTGCTACATTCCCCTCAAAAATGGTTAGAACGATAAGTGTAATTATGGAGAGGCGTCGATTACCTTTTCTTGAAAGAGCTACAATTACCGTTGCGTTTGGGCAAAAATAATCAGCTCCTCCTGTGCTAGAAGGGAGGGGACACTCGCCGGTGCTTCATTCTCCCCCAAAATATTTAGCACGATGACTATATGATAATTTTGTAGGGAATACCATTAGGTTTCCCTTTTCTGAGATAAAATCCATCCACGAGAATTCCAAGGGCCGACCGGTTTGGGGAGTAACGTAGAACCGAGGGGTCTGGGGTCAGTTCTCCGCAATATTGCATTTTCCTTTTTTTTCACGTCGACGGTAGATATATTTCGCCTAGACGTTCCAATCGCCCTTTGAGAGTATCTTCCTTCGGCACTTCATTTTACAGTTATCATTCATGTGTAGAAACCATTCCTTTCGATAAGACCATTAATTTGAATGTCATGCCCCCCCCCCCATTTTCAATAGATTTACTTGGGGCCACTACAGACAGCATGCAAAATCTGCGACGATTTGGTTGTCACGTGCAAAAGTTCTACACGTTTCGCTGTCAGACACTCGGGCTCGGAAAATAATTCATTAGGGAGGAGGGGGGGGGGGGTTAAGAAAGCACTCAAAGACACGTCTGTCTCCTAAAGACAAGTATGTTAAAGACCCTCAGTCTTTTGGGCTTCAAGATTCGGACATTAAGTACCCTCAACGATTATTAACAGCGTTTAAGGAGCTCTTAAAGGCCCATAAAGGCGGTAAAGCCTCAGTAAAACTTAAAAAAATCCTCTTGTGACTTTAAAACGTGTAACGGTTGATCTCGATTCAGATGAGGAACGAGATACATATTTTCTCTCATATGGAGGCTATAAATTGAATTCTAGTGGATACATACGTAAGTATTAAGTTTTCTGTTACTGAGCCAAATTAATTATTGTCTAATTATTCCGGAATTGTTTTTCATTTCTAGATTATGGAAATAAGATCGGTAGCGTCAAATCGTTTGGATACCTTGAACAAATTTCGATTTTTTTAAATCCACGTCATAGAAGAGACCCAAGAGATAATAAGATTCCAAATATGTAAGAGATCCAACACAATAGATGGAGATGGGGAGCGGCGAGACCAAAGGAATCGCAGTAAACCAAGAAATTTATTCAACAAGTTCGAAAGGTTCAAAAGCCACCTGAAACTGCAAAAATTTGATAGGTTCAAGGCACAAGAAATCCAAAAGATGCAATAAGTGTTGTAAAATTCCTCCGTTAGATGTCGCCTATCGCCCATTTTAAAATGAAATCTCTTCTTCTGCTTCTTCTCGTCTCCACAAAAGCAGGATGTAATTTATCGAAGACTTTTCCCCAAGATATTTACGCCTAACCAAGCAGATCAAAATCCAGAACCGTGTATTCCATTTATTCATTGTTTCTGTACATTCTCGACGGATGCCAAAATTACTTTTCCGTTTATTTTCCACTTCCAGTCAATTCATTATTCATTTCTTTTAATATGTATTTAGTTTTTATTCGTTACCCATCTTAATTGCCTTGCTAGCCATAACGATAGTTCCTGTAGGGCATAGCCTGTGGACTTCCGTTACCTAGTACTGCAGTGATCTTTTTTTTGGGTTCGTGCTTTAGGTCGATTGGCACAGTCCTCCGTGATAGTCGAAAGATTTAATAAGGGCTTCTAATAAGGGTTGTTCGAATCGTTCGGAAGAGTCCTTTAAGGAACGTACTCCAGGTAAGTCCTGGGCGATCATATTTAGAAATCACAGGGCATTCCGTTTTAAGGAGAGTAAGTGTCGTACAAACCTGGGTAGGGGTTCAGTACCTAAAATAAGACAACCCATACTTTAGTCCAGCAAAATAGGGACCTGAATGCGGCCTGGGGAAAGTCAGAAGGCGTTCTAAAACCTTGAAAAAGAGTAATGTGAGTTTGTATCCCTTCAGAGGTTGAGCAAACCCCAAACATTTTCGGACTTTCTTCAGTTTTTCGCTTATAACTCCTAAACAACGCAGTCCAGCGAAACCTTGCCCAGAGACAAATTACAGAGCATTCAATTCTGCGTGGATTGACCCAGGTCACTTTGAGGTGCCCCCAGTTTCAGATCTAATGGTCAAATGATATAAAGATCTAAGATATCAAACGTTTTACAGAGAACCTAGAGCTCAAAAGAACCTTGGCCTTTTACTGTTACCTTCATAGTGGATAAAGATAGTCTCGAGATGTTTTAGAAAACCATTGAAAAGTTTAAGAATTTCATTTCAAGTTCAAAGGCTCGAAACCCTCTTCGTGACTCTTGAAATAACTTGAGGGTCGTTGAAATCTCTTGAAA